CACGGTTCTGTGGCCGCAGATATCATTATAACTAAGATGGGCGTATATGATGTATTTACATTTCACCTAGTAGGTCCCATCGAATAGATTGCCGGCATGTCCGTGTACTTGTAGCTCGCGCTTGCCAGAGACATACTGTAGAGGGCCTGGAGATGAGCTCTCTCTTTACATACCGTCCATGTGCACATTCAAATGGTAAATTCGTGTCGTTCCATTGTTGCACGAGGCGACAGCACTGCTCATGTGAAAGGGCTTGTTCGAAACCTATCGTGAGTGTGAGATGGACGTACGAATTGCTGTGTGACAAGCATGTGTAGCACAGGCCTGGTATAATGGTGGAGGTATATGACGTGCCATGCTCATCCATCCCTCGGCATAATGGACTGTATGTTGGACCTTAATGGGTGTATGTGGATGCTCGCAAACCCAGGCTGCCGTCGTAGCTGTCACAGATAAGAGTTCAGGTATCTTATTTGGCAGACATAGTGATTCAAATGGCGTAGGTACAGCATGCATCAGCCATTCATGTGGACAAGATGATTTCCGTTGGAAGGTCCACCCCCAGAAAGACAAATCATTCAGTGTTTCTTGCGTCAGTGAGAGTTGGAGAGTAGGAGGATTCGTCAAACTGCAGGACTGGCCTTCGCCGTTGAGACAGGCCAATAAATACGTGAACAGTAGTTTCTCCAAGCGAACGCGCTCGTCTACAGCATGTTGATCCATGCATAGCAGTGATAACGTGTTTTCCACTTCATCTCTGTTGATGCACATGATGTATTTTTGATCCACTTGCGCAAGAGGTTGTGTGGTCGCCAGCGACGAGGGTAATATGGCAGGCATTGCAGGAGTATCAAGATCATTTCGTTGCATTTGAACGCTGGGAGTCACTGTAGTTGATGTCAAAAAATAGGGACTTATGCGAAATGCTGGTCTAACAATAGTGGGAGTAGGCTCTGGTAGAGGACAAGATGGGTATATTTGTCCCATGAGACATGAAAAAAGCGTAGACCAGTTTTTGACAATATCTTTAGGCTGGGACTCTGTTTTCTCAATCCGCAAATGGAACGCTAGGATGGTGGTAGAAGGAAGGGAGAACGTATCGAGGAGATAGGTAGCCCAAGATCGGCCCTGCAAATCGTCCCGAGTATTGTCCCAAGGCCAAGGAAGATGTGATGCAGCCGCGGCAAGCAGTCCTTCACTCCTGGATATGATAGGGATCCCATTCACTGAAAGAAAATGGTGTGCACCGTCTGCCTGGCCAATAAACCCTTCCAGTGTCGCATCCCATGCGCTTTCGATGGTAGTAAATACTACCCGGGCATGGACAGACACAGTTTGTCGCACATGTGGCATGAAGCAGCGCAATCTCTCTTTTAGAGAACACGGCTCATACGTGTGGTGGCCTGTAGCTGTAATACGTACATGGGGATGTGCCATGGCCATGGCACGTAAAAGTTTTGATACGCGTTGTGCCATTTTATTCTTGTGCTTTGCAAGCATTTTACAGCGCACAGGAAACTGTGTCAGTAGTAGGGCAACGTACATGTCCGAAGATATCATACAATTGGACCTTTGTTCCGTGTACATGTGAGCGAGGCACAAACGTGTGAAGGCGATATCCTGACTGCACCCAAGCTCGTGTGTTGGTACTTTGTGGCAACGATACTTGGACTACAACACTGCCGACCCAGGCTAAGCATGTGAGAAGGGAAGCCGTGTATATGCTTTGCCTCGTTGGGACCAGTGTGTTCGGCTGAGGTGGTGATAGGTGCTGTCGTGCATTGTCTGTGCAGGCGATGTATCGATGCTGTATATCAAGGATGAGGGCAATTCGATCAGCTCCTGCAGATATCGCACGCCATATCAATTCCAAAATAATATGTTCCCAACTTGGAAGACGCAGAGTGGATATGACATCCCATGCTGTGCCAGCGCGCAGCCGCTGCACAGACCGTGCCATGGCCAATGGATGCAAGAAATTGGGCCAAATGAATCGAGGTCCGTTCGCTGACCTCCACTCAGGGACGCGCATCACCGCGTCTCCCTACAACGCGTCGAAGAATGGTGAACAAGTCGCTCTTAGAAGCGTGCCGCACGGCCCTACAGCGCCACCCACCACTACTAACCGAGGGAGGGACGCTACGAATACAGACGCTATTTAGTCGTCCACGTCTGCTCCGAAGTCTCTTTCCTCTAGCGCACATCCATGCTAGTGACCCGAGCCTCTCGCCAGAAGCTTCTGTACCTGTCTGGCAAGAACATGTGGTTGTTACAGCTGCCTGGACTGCGAAGGATACGGAAGAAAAGTTGATCTATGCAATGGAACTTTATGTGTATACATTGCCTCAGCAAGAGGCCGCACTTGTATATGTGTCAAAACTCGACACGACAGGCTATGGTCCTCGACCCTTGCCTTCGACAGTGCGCGAACATTTGCCTGACGAACAACGGCATATACCCACATTGACTACCATACTCACATCGACATGTATTGATCATTTTGCTTCACGCGCTCACTGGGATGCATCGACACCTGTCTCACACGTGTCTGTACATGTTCTTGCGCGTGCACAAGGCGCCTACTTATTCCCATCCTCGCCAAACTGTGCACAGAAGCGTGTGTTATCGGACAGTGCGCTTATTCGCTGGTGGAGAGCATGTCTTAGTGATGTGGTCCTTCGTCGTCGTAATGCGCGCGATACTCGCGTAGATGCTCACTACCTTATTCCCGGCTACCAACGTCTTGATTCTCATGCCATTGTGCCTCTGACTTCATCCGCCACACACCCGGAAGTGGCAAAGGCCCAGTGGAAGTATGGTCACCCGTACAGCGAACGCGGTGCTAGTGTATCGTCCAAGGACGAGCTGCCACCGTTACCGCTTCATGCTCAAAAATGGGAAACTCGATTTGAGAACATGCCTCATACCGATGCATTGGACCAGCGTGTTATTCCCACACTACTTCCTGTTTTCCCAGACGATCCTAAAGGTCGGTTTTTCAACGAATTATGCGGTACAGCTTATGAGCCAGGCAGTTTATTCACTGTAACTTCCACGACCGTGAAACCGTCGCTCGCTCATCGCGGCGCTATGGCTGAACGGCATGCTTTAGAAAAGCTGAGCATCGATGGATTCTGGGAGCGAATGGGGTTTCGACAGGAATGTTGCTCTGGCAACGCAGTAGGAGTGTTTGTTGTTGGTTGCACTGCTACATCTTCCTCTGCTTCTACGTCTTCACCCTCTAATAATGCTCCCACGGCACAAACATATGCACTTCCACACCCCATTTTGGAAGAGACTGTGCTGAAATATATGCTGCAGGATGCATGTGTCTGGTCCGACGACACAGAGGCCATCAAACTCACTCGGCAATGGAATCAAGCCATCGAGAAAGTTCTCCAGCGCAAAGGTGGCGCTAAGCCTGAGTCACAGTCCCTTGTTGGTCAAGATGTAGTGTGGACGACCATCTCGCTCGAACGTGTACCGAGCGATGTAGTTGATGCGGCTAGCGTGCGTGCCCAACAGGCTGTTCCTGCAGCACGTGGTGAGGAGGCACCGGCCGTGCGCGTTTTGGCCGTGAAGCGTAGGAAACGTTCATAAACATAGACGTTATTCGATTGGCTTCTCTGCACGTGCAGAAAAAAAAATCTTTTCGGTGAACAAGTACGTGGCCCAAGACCAGCGCTTAGGACACCCACCAAACTACCATGGCTGCTCCTGTGGAATTCTTTACGCTGCGCCTTCTTCCTGGTGAGATTTACCACCTGGATACCATCCGTGATCTTCAGATCACCAATGTGAGCTATGCTGATCCGGAGAACCTGAGTGGCAAGAAGCGCACTGTGCTTCGTGTTCACTACGCTGGCAACCCGATCGACCTCGATGATGACGAGGAGGACGAGGATGACGATGTTGAAATCGAAGACGATGAAGACAATGGAGACGATGAGGATGATGATGAAGAGGATGAGGACGATGAGGATGATGATGAAGAGGATGAGGACGATGAGGAGGATGACGAGGAGGAGGATGACGACGAGGACATGATTGACGTGGAGCCTCGTGTGCCTATCTTCACCGAGGAGGACTCGTACGTTGTCTGCTCGCTCATCCCCGAGAAGGTCGAGCAGGTCACTCTTAATCTCCAGATCAGTGAGGAGGAAGAGGTTGGTCTCTCGGTGTCGGGTAACGAGCCTGTGGATATCATCGGTAACTACCTCATGCCGTCGTTGAACGACTTCGACCCAGAGGAGTTTGACTACGCTGACCTCGAAGACATGGAGGACGAAGACGAGGACGAGGGTGAGAACGATGAGGATGATGAGGACGGTCCTCTTCTCCTGGAGGGTGGCGATGCCGAGGACGATGAGAATGAGGATGAAGATGAGGACGAAGATGAGGACGATGACGAGATCGACGTGGAGGACCTTGAAGACCTGGAAGATGGAGAGGACGATGACGAGGATGAGGATGAGGATGAGGATGATGAGGATGATGAGGATGACGAGGACGACGAGGCTGTGCTCATCGAAGAGGTTGACGACGAGGATGACGAAGACGAGGACCATGACGAGGAGGAGATTGTTCTGGTCCCCAGTAAGAAGCGCTCGGCTGCTGAGATCGATGCCGACACGTCGGATGTGAAGCTTAGCCGTGGTCAGCGCAAGCGCCTGAACAAGAAGCTGAAGGCGGAGGCTGCTGCTGCGGCTGCGGCTGCTGCGCCAAAGTCGCGCGAAGACAAGGTACGAGACGTCATGGCATCCATGCTGACTGACGTTTTGTTCAATATGTAAGACGAAGCTCCCATCTGGCCTGATTATCGAGGAGAAGAAGACCGGCACGGGCCCCGTGGCCAAGCCGGGCAACCGCGTGAGCATGCGCTATGTCGGCAAGCTCCAGAACGGCTCGATTTTTGACTCGAACACCAAGGGTCGTCCGTTCTCGTTCCGTCTCGGTAAGGGTGAAGTCATTAAGGGTACGTGTGCATGCTATGGACGGCCAGCTGACGTATTTGTTAGGCTGGGATGAAGGCGTGAAGGGCATGCAGGTGGGCAGTGAGCGCCGTCTTACCTGCCCCCCGCATCTCGCATATGGAAAGACTAAGTTGCCTGGTATCCCGGCGAACTCGACGCTTATCTTTGACGTTAAGCTTCTGGAGATTAAGTAAATGGTCATAGGCTTTCTATGAATGTGTGCATCGTAGGCTCGCTCTCGTATGTGCGTCGAGGTTCTATGTCACGTGGCGCACGGACGGTGGTGGTGGACGAGAAAAGTGTGACGTGCGTGCGCAACGCTGGCTCTCTTTTCCCAATGCCTCCCAAAGGTAGGTCCTTGCACCCTACTCATATGTCTGCAGCTTCTACACGTACCAGAAAGAGCACAGGCTCTACCTCTACGCGTGCTTCGTCGACTACGAAGCGCGCTTCGATGGGCTCCAGTGCCTCGTCTCGCAAGCGCGTAGCGCCTGAGGGCGAGGATACCAAGGGCAAGCGTATGCGCACGTCCACACTGAACGTGGCACCTGCGCCTGTCCCTGCACTCCATGCCTCCGATTTTGAGGCAGGGAAGGCAGGTGTACGTAGCATGGGCGCTCTCTTCGCTACGCAGCAGGCTCTGTCCTCCACGACGTCCGACCACGTCGTGGCGCGGAAGCTGTTTGTTTGGGGGACAGGTGAGGCGGGCCAACTGTCCCTGGGTGGCCCTGACGACGATAACATCAACAAGCTGACCAAGCCCAAGCCTTTTGGCAACAAGGCCCTTTCTGTGCAGACAGATGCAGGTGAGCTTGGCGTCGGTGGTGCTGAGATGATTGCTGCTGGCGGTATGCATACGCTTGTGATCGATGCCAACGGTCGCATTTTGTCGTGCGGTAGTGACGATCACGGCACTCTAGGCCGAGAGTATCGTGAGTCCGATGCGTCTGTGGACGAAGACGAATGCTACTATGTCTTGCGCCCTGTCGATGGCATTTCGCCTGATGGCAAAAATGCAGCCCCCGGCAAGGATGGACGTGTTGTGCAATTCCGTGCCACTCGTGCAGCTGCTTCGGATGGCTGCAGTGTCGCTCTTGATGCGGAGGGCCGTCTTATGACATGGGGTCATTTTAAGGATGCGGAGGGCAAAGTCTGCTTCTCTGATACCGATGCGAATGGGGCACCGAAAGAGCAATGGTCGCCTGTTGCCCTCGCAGCATTGGAAAATGAGCGTTTCGCTCAGGTAGCTTGCGGAGAGAATCACGTCTTGGCCCTCACGCTGGATGGTCGCGTGTACTCCTGGGGCCTCAACAGCATGTCGCAGCTCGGTCGCTTTGCAAATATCTATCATATCCGCGCTCGCTACGAGAAGCGTGATCCGCCGGCCAGTATGCTACTCACACCGGCGGTCATCCCCGAGCTGAAGAATATCACCCACATTGCCTGTGGTCTGAACGCAAGCTTTGCTGTCGATGCTGATGGTCGCGTGTTTGCCTGGGGTCTCAACACTCGGGGTCAAACCGGCACGGGTCTGAAAAAGACTACGGTGACACGCCCCACACGTATCAAGGCATTGGAGCCGTCACATGTGGGTGGGGCTCATGTCGTGCAAATCGCTGGCGGTGAGTTCCACACAGCCTTTTTGCTCTCGAACGGTCAAGTATGGATCTGCGGTGATAGCGACGAAGGAAAACTAGGCTTGTCATCAACGCATGAGATATTCCAAAATGCGCAGGATGGTTCGCCTGTGCTCCTTCGCTCCCCTGTGCAAGTGCCTATGCCCCAGCCGCCATCGCATGCGTCGGCAAATGCCAAGAACGTCGATGGATCTACCTCGATCATTGGCATTGCAGCCGGTATGCGCTTTACCTTCGCGCTGGCCGCGGATGGTACGCTGTATTCATGGGGCACGACATCCGACGAGGCTATGGGCCAACCAGCCGAACAATGGGGCGAGGACCAAAGCAAAGCTACTCCTTCGCCTGTGCCGATGCCTGGTGAGCCGGGTGCATGGTCCATTGTGAGTGTGGCCACCGCTGGCCAACACTCTCTGGCCCTTGCTGCACGTGCACCTTGACGGAGTTTCGCGTCGTGGACGAGGAGGGGCCGACGCTAGCGTAGCTCGACGTCGTGTACCACGACAGTGATGTCCCAGTGCTTTATCTCGACGCATAGTGAACAAGGGAAACTACCTTTTGTCACACACTTGTTTGTATTCACGCCAAATAGATCCAACCTACGTACTAGTGCCAACCACGACGAAGCGAGGCAGCGTTTTGGGTTTGCATCACAGGTGTTATCCTCCACATCTGATGTGTGTCTATTTTGAGCAGTGATTCGCACGGCACCAGGCCCGATTTGTGATGCGTGCGTTGTAGATGAGAAAAATCACACTCGGCGCAAAGGCCCCGCGTTTAGGGCAGGCGACGGGCCCCAAACACTATAATGAGGATCCTTCGAGCATTGCACACGTTTTCTTCCCTCCACCAAGTTTTTTGAATCTGCAATGCCAGCTGCTGCTGCCTCGTCCTTGAAAGGTGCTACCAAGCGTGCCTCTGCTACTAAGAAATCGACTAACATGACGTACGAAGATATGATCAAGGAAGCCATTCTTGCCCATGGCACTGAGGCTCGTCTGGGCCTGGGTCGTCCCACGATCAAGAAGTTCATCCTGGCCAAGCACCCTGACACGGGCAAGCTTCCTCTCGCTTCTTTCAACGCCCACTTTAACCAGGCCATCACCCGTGGTGAGGAGAAGGGCGTGTTCCTTCTGCCCAAGGGTGCCAGCGGCAAGGTCAAGCTGGCTGCTAAGGCCAAGGCTGCAACTGTGAAGGCTCAGGAGGCTAAGAAGCCTGTTGCCAAGAAGGCTGCGGCTCCATCTAAGAAGACCTCTTCGACGGCGACCAAGAAGAGCACGACTACGGAAAAGACGACGAGCAAGGCTGCGCCGAAGAAGGCCACGGTGACGAAGAAGGCAGCTTCTTCGACCTCGAAGAAGAGCGCAGCTACGAAGAAGGCGAGGGCGGTCACGAAGGCTGCGGCGACCAAGAAGACTGCTACCAAGAAAGCGCCTGTCAAGAAGGCAGCCACGAAGAAAGCGCCAGCCAAGAAGACAGCTGCGAAGAAGAAGTAAAATGGTGCTGGTCTGAGAGAGTGACGTTCATTGCATGCAAGTGGACCTGAGGCTGTCTTCTCTTTAATGGCCCTTCTTTACGTGTTTCTTCTTCTTCTTCGTTGCCCCTGTATTTATCATGCCATACGCATACGCATCTGCCTCTGCAGTACTATCTTTCTACTGGCGTATGACGGTGTGCTATATCGGCTATGCTGAATGGGACGGTCTGTACGCTTGTTGTCTGCAACCATGTATTCTGTAGCTGTCAATGGTTTTGTGTTTGTCTGTTGTTTTCCTTTTCTCTTCGTGAGTTGGAGGGCCCGCGGCTGAGACACCACAGCACTAGCACCTGACGCGCGATGCACGCGCGCTTTCTGGCAACTCGACGCGTCGTGGTTCCTGTTCACGTGATTCCAAGCACGTGATTTAGTCTGACTCCGCGAGCCTTGGCGGAGGAAGCAGGCTCTTCCAGTGCATGCCGATTTGGCGCTGGGCACGTCCTTGGATAGCTTCAGTTCGTGCACGACCTCGACTTGTACATCGGTCTGTACCTTTGATCCGTACAGTCTCTATATCCATGAGTGCTCCCAACCCTGCGCCCGAGAATGCGCCTGCGGCGGGCTCGGAAGGCCCGTCGAAGTCGGCGCTGAAGAAGGCCGCGAAGTTGGCCGAGAAGCAGGCCAAGGCGGCTGCCAAGAACGCTCTGAAGGCTGAGAAAGGCAATACTCCCAACCCAGCTGGGGCAAAGAAGGAGAAGGTGAAAAAGGAAGTGAAGCAGGAACCGGAATGGGTCGACAAGACTGTGCCTGGCGAGATGAAGGATTTGTCGGATCCGATGGAGAGTGGCTACAACCCCATGCACGTGGAATCGTCGTGGTACGCTTGGTGGGAGAAGAAGGGCTTTTTCACGCCCAAGGAGCCCACCGAAGACGACCCGATCGACCCGAGCAAGACGTTTGTCATTCCTGTGCCTCCACCGAACGTGACAGGTGTCCTGCACATTGGTCATGCTCTTACTCTCTCTATTCAGGATGCGCTTATTCGTTTCTATCGTATGAAGGGCTACCGTACGCTCTATGTCCCTGGTTTCGACCATGCGGGTATTTCTACGCAGACTGTGGTCGAAAAGCGATTGGCTAAGTCGGAGGGCAAGTCGCGCTACGATTATGGTCGAGAGGCCTTTTTGGAGAAGGTGTTTGAGTGGAAGGACCAGTACCAAGCACGTATTGCGAGCCAGATGCGCCGTTTGGGTGCCAGTCTAGACTTTACCCGTGAAGCGTTCACAATGGATCCGAATCTGAGTGAAGCTGTGAAGGAGAACTTCTGCCGCTTGTTCGAGGATGGTATTTTGTACCGTGAAAACCGTTTGGTGAATTGGTGTGTGTATCTCAACACCACGCTATCGAACCTGGAGGTCGTGCAGAAGACGCTCACTGGCCGCACGCTGATGAATGTGCCGGGCTACCCGCCGAATGAGCGTATTGAATTTGGTGTGATCGTTTCGTTCAAGTATCAGGTGAAGGACTCGGATGAAACTATTACTGTGGCTACGACGCGTCCTGAGACGATTCTAGGTGATACCGCTGTGGCCGTGCACCCCGATGATGAACGATACAAGCACCTGCATGGCAAGACCCTCGTCCATCCGTTCATTGCAGACCGTGAGGTGCCGATTGTCACGGACTCGATCGTTGTCGATATGGAGTTCGGTACGGGTGCCGTGAAGATTACGCCGGCACACGACCCGAATGACTACGAGGTTGGTAAGCGTCACAATCTGCCGTTTATCAACATTCTCAACGATGATGGTACGCTGAATGCCAACGCTGGTGAGTTTGCGGGCATGAAGCGTTTCAGTGCTCGTCGCGCCGTGGTTGAGGCGCTTAAGACGAAGGGTTTGTACGTTGAGACGAAGGACAACCCCATGGTGGTCCCTGTGTGTGAGCGTTCCGGCGATGTGATTGAGCCGGTGATGAAGCCGCAGTGGTGGGTCAACTGCAAGCCGTTGGCGGAGGCAGCTGTGGCGAAGGTCAAGAGCGAAGATATGATTATTGAACCTGCTCAGAGCAAGCGTGAGTTCTTCCGCTGGATGGAGAACATCCAGGACTGGTGTGTGAGTCGCCAACTGTGGTGGGGTCACCGCTGCCCTGCTTACTTTGTGGACATTGAGGGCGTCGAGCAGGACCGTGCCGAAGGCCGTTGGTGGGTCGTCGGCCGTACGCCGGAACAGGTGGAGGAGCGTGCGAAGGCGATGGCGGATGGCCGTCCGTACACGGTGCACCAGGACGAGGACGTGCTTGACACATGGTTCTCCTCTGGTCTGTGGCCCTTCTCGACGCTAGGCTGGCCGAAGGAGACGGCAGATATGAAGACGTTCTACCCTACGTCGATGCTCGAAACGGGCTGGGACATTCTGTTCTTCTGGGTCGCGCGTATGATCATGCTGGGTGTGTACCACACTGGCCAGCTGCCCTTCAAGGAAGTGTTCTGCCATGCGATGGTGCGTGATGCGCATGGTCGCAAGATGAGCAAGTCACTGGGCAACGTCATTGACCCCATTGATGTCATTGAGGGTATTTCTCTGGACGGCCTTCACCAGCGTTTGCGCGAAGGCAACTTGGACGAAAAGGAGATTGCTAAGGCCTCGGCGGGCCAGAAGAAGGACTATCCAAAGGGTATCCCGCAGTGTGGTACGGATGCACTGCGTTTCACGTTGTGTGCGTACACGGCTGCTGGTCGTGATATCAATTTGGACATTATGCGTGTCGAAGGCTACCGCAAGTTCTGCAACAAGCTTTGGAACGCCACGCGCTTTGCACTGCTCAAACTGCAGGATGGCTACGTCCCATTGACGCTTGCTTCTCAAGCGTCGTTCGTGCCACAGAGCCTTGTGGAGAAGTGGATTTTGTACCGCTTGAACGAGGCTACAAAGCAGCTGAATGACGACTTGCTGCAGCGTTCTTTCATGAGCGCTACTACGGGTGTGTACAACTTCTGGCTGTACGACCTGTGTGACGTGTACATTGAGGCGATCAAGCCGATCACTGATGCGAATGCCGAGCCGTCTGCACGTCTCTCGGCTCAGCACACGTTGTATGCCTGCTTGGACACAGGCCTGAAGATGCTGCATCCCTTCATGCCATTTGTGACTGAGGAGTTGTGGCACCGTCTTCCGTCGCGTCCTGAGGAGACAAGCGAGACGATTTCGCTCACTCGCTTCCCTGAGTGGAATGCTACGCATGACTTCCGTACGGAGGCAGCGCAGTTTGACGAGGTGTTCGCTAGTGTCCGTGCGATTCGTGGCCTCGCCGCCGACTATGGCCTCACGTCCAAGATCCAGGCCTTTGTTGAGGTGCGGGATGACTCTGCGCGCAGTGTTATGGATGCCCAGCGCGGCGTGATGCACACGCTGATCAAGGGCTGTGAAAAGGTCGATGTGGTGGCGCAGGCTAACGATGTGCCGCCGGGCTGCGTTGTAGCAAGTGTTTCTGCGTCGATCCAGGTGCACTTGCTCGTGCGTGGCCTGGTCGATATTGATCAGGAGCTGAGCAAGTTGGCCAAGAAGCTTACCCTCAACGAGACGCAACTCCAGCGTACGTTGGCTCTCACGCAGAAGCCCGAGTGGGCCAAGACCCCCGATGATGTGCGTGCAAACACGGAACAGCGTCTGCAAGACTTGCAGGGCGAGAAAGATGCGCTGCTTCGTGCGCAGGCCAACTTTGAGAATCTCCGTGGGTAGATACATAGGCGCCTCGCTGTCGGGATGCAATCCTGTAGTGTCCATCTTCTTGACTGACCTCCACCCTTTCCGGCCACCCCAGCGCTGGCTTTTTTTTCTCTCGAGGCGACCAACGATGCGGCACGTATCGACGTTGGCATGGCGGACGTGGCCCTCATCCACGCAGCCATGGCACGGTGTCGTCCCAGATACAGAAAGTGATGATGCTGTCTATGTATACCGTATGGACGGTGAAGACGATGCGGATACGTCGCAGCTTACGCTAGCGCGCTTAAGCGATGCTGGGACAGATGAGCTGGCTGTGCTGTCAGTAGCTTGTGCCCCACCAACCGCGCCTGCTGTCGCTGATTTCAGGCTTCTTGCCGATGGCGGAATGGCTACTGAGAATGTGTCGACGTTGTGTATCGTGACAGGCGGTGGTGATATTGTGCTACTCCCCCTTCGTGACGACGACGCTTTCCCAACGCCTGCCGATGTAGTAGGCTCTGTCGAGGCGGGTATTCTAGCTGCAGCATGGAGTCCAGAAGAAGATGTACTAGCGCTCATTACAGGCGAATCTACGCCACGGCTCCTGCTCATGACCAAGGAGTTCGATGTGATGCACGAGGCTGCGTTAGCAACCGATGCCTTTGGCGATGATCAGCCTGTGAATGTTGGTTGGGGCTCTAAATCGACGCAATTTCACGGCTCAGAAGGCAAGCAGGCCGCTATTAAGGCCGCTCAGGCGCCAGCGGAAGGCGACCCACGAGGCCCACTAACGCCAGATGACGACGGACGCCCGCGCATTTCATGGCGTAGTGACGGCACATTCTTTATCGTATCGTCCGTGGAAATGCATGTGGACGGAACGCGCCATCGTATTCTTCGTACATTCACACGCACCGGCTCGCTGAGTGCGACGTCAGACCCTAGTGTGCGTGGCATTACGCAGGTGCTGGCATGCCGTCCTATCGGCAATCTCATTGCGACGTCGCAGCGTATGGGCGGCGAATGGGCACCTGGGCGTGCTGGACGTCATGATATTGTGTTCTTTGAGCGCAATGGGCTGCGGCATGGCGAGTTCTCGCTGTACGAAGACGATGCAAGTCTGCCGACATTTGATACAGCGACGTCCTCCTTGCCTCCCTTTGCCTCGTTGCATACTATTCATGCTGTGGCTTGGAATGTGGATGGAAGTATTCTTGCTGTCCACCTTTCGCGTGATGGGCGTCATGTGCTCCAGTTATGGACGACAGGCAACTACCATTGGTACCTTAAGCAGGAGCTGACCTACGATGTGCTGCATGCGTTTACATGGCACTCTGAGCATGCCTTGACCTTATACGTCGCGCATACGCATGTGGAAAAACGCACTATGTGGCTTGAGACCCCCTGTTCTCAGGGTGCCCGACCACACGATGCAGCGTGTGTGGCTGTAGTCGACGGTGCTGCGTTGATGTTGACGCCGTTCCGTCTGCAAAACGTACCTCCTCCTATGTGTGCGATGGCCATTTGGGATGCGCCTCTTGCATCGCCTAGTTCTTCTTCCACCCCACCGTCACCACCTATGCATGTCGCCTGGACGACAGCCACACACACCGATGGCACGACATCTGATTATATCGCGTTGCTTTACCCACGTGGCCATATCCACGTATGGCGCGTACCCTATGGCGTTCTGGGCGCTTCAGCCCCACGTCCACGTCCCACGTATGTGCCGGAGCGTGTAACGACGATGCATTTGCCTGCAACTGTGCGTGCCTTCCAAGTGGCATTGGCCTACAGTGATGCCGCTCTCTATGTTGCCGCACTGGGTATGGAGGAAGAGGAGCCGATTTTGTACATGGCCTCTACCTCGGACGTCCAATTTGAACCTTCGCCCCTGGAAAGTCAAGCGCCTTTCTATCGTCTTGTCTCGGTCCCAGGCCGGATTGCGTTTGCTGTCCATGATGCAAGCGGCGATGTGATGGTGCATAGCCCTGCTTCGCCGCCTCTACGCCTGGACCCACTGCCCAGCTTCTGCGCCCACTTGGTGATTTTGGAGATGGACGATACATTTGTTCCTTTGGGACTAGCGTCCGATGGACGTTTGTTGTTATCGGATCGCATCCTAGCAAAAGATGCGACGTCCTTCACGACCACGGATCGTCTCGTTGTATGGACTACGCAGACGCACGAAGCCTACTTCTTGCCACGCATGGCCCTCACGGAGGCGCCTCACATCGTAGCACTCGGACGACGTGTAGAGCGAGGAAGTCGCTTGGTGGCTGCTGTGCCCAGTGCTATGGCCCTTGTGCTGCAAATGCCGCGTGGCAACTTGGAAACAGTGTACCCTCGTCCCATGGTCCTGGATGTGATTCGCGACGCTTTGCAAGCGCATGAATACGGCACAGCCTTGCGTTTGTGCCGCTCGCACCGCGTTGACTTGAACTTGCTACACGATCATGATCCAGCGGCGTTCTTGGAGCATGTCTCTACCATGGTATCACAAGTGGCAAATGTGGATCATATCAATCTGTTCCTCTCAAGCCTGCGAAATGAGGATGTGACAGCAACATTGTACCGTCCATGGGACCCCAGCCAACACAAGCCGATGCCTGACTTGGATGGCAAAGTGAACCGAGTGTGCGATGCATTGCTGGCAACATTGCAAGAAGTGGACCAACGTCGGTACTTGTCCTCGATCCTTACAGCGCATGTGCGAAAGGTCCCGGCAGATTACGAAGCCGGCCTTCGTGTTCTTCGCTCCTACATGGATACCGATGTGGCCGTCGCGGATGAAGCATGCAAGTACATTATTTTCCTTGTCAATGCAGATGAGCTGTACAAAGTCGCGCTGGGTATGTATGACTTCGCCCTTGCGCTCCTTATTGCACAACACTCGCCACGCGATCCTCGCGAATACGTACCTTTCTTGCGTTCATTGAGAGCAAAGGAGCCCGAGGCGTACCAGCGCTTCTGCATCGACGATCATCTGGGACGCCACGCCAAAGCATTGCAATGGCTTTCGCAGGCTGGCGATGTGCATACCGACGAGGCTATGGCATATATGGTCGAACACAAGCTGTACAGAGAAGGTTTGCTAGCATGGGCGAAGGAGCCTGCCCATCTTCGCGAGGCGTACAAGCGTTTCGCTGAGTACCTAGGCGCGCACCAACGTCCCGCAGAAGCAGCTACCGCCTACCAGCTCGCCGGCGACTTGATTTCCGCAGTACAATCCTACAAAGAAGCCGACCAGTGGCGTCAAGCCCTGACAGTAGCGATGGAGGCCCAATATTCCACCGCGGAGATGCAGACGCTAGCCCGCGCCATTTCAGAGCAATTGGAGGAGCAGCACAAGTATGATGATGCTGCGCGCGTTCTCTTGCAAGTGCAAGATACAGAAGCAGGGATTGCGATGTTGTGTCGTGCGAATGCTTTTGTCGATGCCCAGCTCTGTTGTGCGACGCATCAACGTATGGATATGGTCGAGACACATATTGCCCCGGCAGCGTTGGAGCATCAAGCCGCGTTGCTTGAAGAAGCCGACGAAATTGAGGCTCAGTTGACGAAGCAAGTGCAGCGTCTGCACGAGCTCGATGCAAAGCGTACACAAGATCCAGCTGCGTTCTACGTCGAGGAAGAGTCGCGTGGCTTGGATAACATTGATGTAATGAGCGATGTGTCGCAAGTGACGCAGTTTACCCGCTACACTACGGCGACCAGCGTTGCACCGACCATGTCGACGCTCTCTCTCGGCTCGAAACGGTCTTCACGCCACAAAGCGAAAGCTAAGAAGGAAGAGAAGAAAAAGAATGCCGGCAAGAAAGGCAGCGTGTACGAAGAAGGCTACCTGCATGACTCGCTCCAGAAACTCTTGCAAACGCGCCTGGGCCAACTCCAACGTGACGTAGCGCGTCTTCTTCCGATCCTTGCAACCCTAGGAGAAAAGCAACGTACAGCGGCCAAGACCCTGCAATCGCGTCTTCTGTCCCTGGAAAAGCGTGTGGCCGAGGCCAAAGTTGATCTGGATCAACGTTTTGCAGCGCAAGAGCAAGACCGATTCGAGCTTATGCAAACTCTAGCTACGCAAGTCGCACAGCTTGCTCATGCACCGGGGGCCGGCGATTCAGCCAGTGCCGTGCTATCTACCTTGTGGCGTTGGCGTCAAAGTCAGGCACCGAAGCCAACACCTACGGTATCCAATGAAACATGGAAACTGCATTTATGGGACGAGCCGTCATCTACATCACGTACGTAGGCCTGTTGGCACTTATAGCTTGGCGAATGTCGGCTTGGACTTGGACAGAGCAGCGCCGATCGCTTCCATCAAGTCATCTGACTGGAGGAAAGAGGCGTTGAGGTACTGCATGTACTTCAGGCCTTCGTCCACACTATGGTCGCGTGCATGAACCAACGACATCTTTGTTCCCACCACAGCAACAGGCGACAGCGAGGCGATGCGCTGCGCGGTGGCCACCGCAGCGCGAAGAGCTTCATCACGCGTAGCAAACACTTGACTCACAAAGCCAATTTGCTGAGCCTCAGCTGCGTTGAAATCACGCGCGGTCAGCGCCAACTCACGCGCAACCGAATCGTTGCCCACAATCTTTGGGAAACGCTGTAATGTACCGATGTCTGCGGCTAGGCCAATGGCTGCCTCGCGAATAGAGAACGTTGTGTCCTTTGTGGCATAACGGATGTCGACGGTACTAAGGATGTCGATAGCCAATCCCAGTGCATGACTGTGGGCAACACCAATCACTGGGCGCTCACATACCTCGATCGATGTGATGGCCGCCTGGAAACGGTCGATCAGTTCACGGAAATTGAGGGCACGACGAGCCACGTCGGATCCATTCTCTTTTGCCTCCAAAAGCATAGGATCTTGCACTAGTCGCGTAAGTACATCGCAATTACGCACGGTCCAATCCTGCTGTGAAGCAGCGTCCCTCACCAGACAAAATCACAACACGCACATCACCGTCGCCTCGAATATGGTCGAAGATCTTGTGCATTTCTGTCCACATGCTGCGGGTCAGTCAGACTTGGACACATACGGGACATGAAATGCATTGACAGGGGCCCTCTGGAACGATACTTGAAGTACATGCTCAGAAAGCCACGCAAGCTTGAAGAATTCCGCAGCGCCAAATCCTTCGTAGGGAGCAGGGTATGACATGTTTGTGCGAGATGTGCAGCCGGCCCCCGCACCGCCGAGGTCCCTACGTGCGCCGGTTTGTGCACCTGATTAGTCATGGCACATGGAGATGTCAAAATTAAGCTTCAGGAACGCATAGCACAGACGCATACAGAGTGTCCATGACTTTTCTCCCGACCTCAACATGGGCTTGCTGTCTTCGCTTACGTCTCACATTCAAGAGCCTGATTCAGGTGTACCAGCTGATTTTTTTACATTTCAAACATGCTTTGCGTCCCTTTCTTTGCATATGACAGACCGAATTCGCTTCATTGGCTTCTCTCCAGAAGCACTGGCGACTGTACGCCAAGTCGTTCAGCAAACGTGGCAGCCAGGTATTCAAAATGAACGGCCTTATGGTGGCTCACACGAAATCAAACTTTATGGAAACCCATGGCGAGGCATCATGGGCGAAGCCATTAGTTCGCGTCGATTGATGCGCAACATTCTTGCGGCGCTGTATAGCCAAGGCTGGATATTGACGATCTCGACGGATATCAGTAAAAAGGTGACCGACAAAGATACGTTAATTTTTCGTCACCAAACGCCGTCGCCACCCCCCTGTGAGTGGATTAGCATTGCATTTTCAAATGCCGACCTAATTCGATTTATCAGTGCACCGCGGGAGCTTGTGGATGATGTAGCGAAAGATCTTGGCCCAATATTATCCAGACCGACGCCATTGCAACACTCAGAAGGCGTTTTGGAGTTAAAATTGTCTGGTTCACCATGGTATGCTGAAGGTCGGGCTACCATGTCAGCTCGTCAAGCCATTCTGCAGCTGGTGATGACACTCGAACGGCATGGCTTCAGTGTGTATGCCTCGATCGACCAAAAAGAAACTGGGAGACATGGGCATGAATCTACCGGCTCATCAGAGACAGATACGTGGCATCTATGTCGCACCGTGGGCTGGCAGCCTGGCTTGCCAATTTTCCATCGATAGAATCATTTATTTACCATTGTTACAATATACATACTAATGTCTTTCTTATCCTTGGACAGCGTACTTACTTCGCGCTCGCAATTGAGGGCCGTATTTGTATAACAGGAAGGGAGCAGGAATGCCGACTATGGCCACGATGAGTGACAAGAGAGACAGACCCCACCCGACTCCTAAGTTGTCGAACATGGTGTTAGAGAACAACAAGAAAAGAAAGGCCATAAGAGATCGAAGGGAGGTAGTGGCGCTGATGGCTGATGCAGCATAGATGGTCATAAGATCGGCCATGTATAGTTGTACTTGCAGAATGCTTCCAATGAGGCCGGCTCCCACCAAGAAAAGACCAATGTCTGGCGCAATCCATACCTTGTGGTACTCGGCTGTCCAGCCAAAGATCAGCATTCCAATTGGTAAGATAAATACTGTGATCATGAGAAAAGGGAGTTTGTATTCCGGACGACGCATACCATGTTTTCTACACATCGATTGGTACACAGTATCCACGAATCGACCACCAATCTGTCCGAAAATGATAGCGCCTAGGCCCATGGCAATGTTGTTTAAAGAGGAAATGCCAATATTGTAGTGGTAAATAGTACCGAAGACCCGGGGCAAGGATACAATACACAAATAAAAGCAGGCGTAAATGATCGAGAGATACAAGGCAGGAACAGCGACGAGGACTTCCGTGAACAGGAAAATGATAGGGCGTAAGAATACACGCTTGATTTTTTGCCATACAGTTTCCACGCGTAGCTCAAAGGCCGAATGGTATCTCTTGTCTCCTGTCTTCTTGCGTAGTGTGCGGGCTTTGAGCTGAAGAATGCGAGGCGCATATGTTTCACGCACTAACACCAGTCCCACCAAGAATATGATCCCAGCAATAATTGTACCGATCCAGAACGTCCAGGGCCATTTGTCCTCGCCCCAGCCTTGAATGATCCAACCGCTAATGACAGGCGCGAGACAAGGTCCGAGCAAGGGAGAGATAGAGTACAATGCCATGGCAACGCCTCGTTCATGTGGGTGGAACATGTCAGACACAGCACCACCCCCCATCGGCATGATAGCGCCGCTGAAAAATCCGGCAAAAAATCGCAAAACAAGGATTTGTGCCTCCGTTTTCGAAACGGCACATCCAATGTTGAATACAATGAACAACACACTGCATACGAGCAAAACAATACGGCGACCATATGCCTCACTGATAGGTGCCGAACACAGGGGACCAAAAAAGAAGGATAGCATGAATAAACCGACCAAGAGGTTCTCTTCCAGGGACGAGTGGAAGCCCAGCTCTTTGCCAATAGCGGTGGCAGCCGGCGAGGCCATGGATGAAGCATAAGGCCCAATCATAGAAAATGTGGCGTACAGAACCAATATGTATAATCGGTACGGATAGGACCAGAATCGCGGATTGTCTTCGTGTGAATCGGTCGATTCGAAGGTCACTAGGTAAGGGTCATCTTTGTCGTAGTTAGGCAATGGCTTAGGTTCAGGTCTTGTAGAACTACTTCGGAAACTTCGTAGTGGATGGTTGGTTACATTCTCAATATCCGGACGTGAATGGACTGAAGGGGCTTTGCGCGATACCCTCTCCGAAGGCGTTGAGTCATGTTCGCGAATGTCATCAGATTCGTATACATTGTCAGGTAAAGATTCACGTGTTTCAGCAAGACGATATTCAAACCTAGCACCTTCCTCGGCATCTTCGATTTCGTACTGCGAAAATGCGTTATGAATGCCTGAAAAGGCACGTTCAAGGCGGCTAAATAGAGCCGGGTTGTTAGCATGGTCCGCTTGGACTGTCTCGCTAGGTGTTTGTACAGCGGTCTCAGTACCCCAAGCCTCTTTTAGTGCAGGTACGGGCCAGGATCCACGCCGAAAATATTTACCCGGTTGCGGGCATGTGTCTCCCTGCTCTTTGCTCAGCGACTTGTGAAAGAGCGAGCGCTGCTCCGCCGCATGGCTAGACCGAGACTGAGAGTGGCATTGATCTTGACTTGGCTCTGTGGGAAAGATTGGCTCGGATGTACTTGGTGCTGTCTGACCCAATTCTAAATTTTCAACTCTGCCATGGTCAGAGAGAGTCATAAAGACGCAAGGTGCATCTTCCGCGTAAGGTGGAGCGCAGGCGAATGTACCTAGGCCTAGGCGCAATCTGCGCACCTTAGCTTCACGTGATGCCTGAGGGGCAGAGAGAGCCCGGGTGGATCGCTCCTCCACCTGAAACAGTCGCAGCCTGTTCTTTGGACGACGATGAGGCCGATGCTGAGCCTTACCGGCCGTGTGCGGCATGCTCTAGCAGGCGGCCGGCACAGCTGGATGGGAAGCGCAAAGTACGCAGTGCCTGTGGCATATGGGTCTCGCTCTTTCAGCATCTCTGCTTATGTGGCAGAGAACACTCGGGCCCGACCTCGGACGCCGCCGCCGCGCTATCCCCCGCGTGAAGCGCCGGAGCCGATTTTGTTTGACGAGCCAGCCATCCCGCATCCTCATAGGGCTGCTAATCAGAATGCCGCCTTCCGACGTGGGACTCGCTTTGTCGGCATCGGTGGTGCTATCATTCTGGTGGTTGGTGGCATCGCGTATGTGGGCTGGAACTCCATCCAAGCTGACACGAACACTCCCTCTGGGCCCTTGGCCTCGCTGGAGTCACTGTACTCGGATTTGAAGAAAGCAGTATCTGAGTCTCAAGACACTGCACAGTTCATGTTGCTCTCGCTGAAACGTTCTACGGTTATTGTCAAGGCCGTGGCTTTGAGTGTGTGGGACTACCGCCGCGTTCTGAATGCCAAGTATGCTACGAAGGAAGAGGAGAATGAAAGCTTGCGTCTTTGTCATTTGCGTTCGGCTCAGCGTGTGCTTGTGGCTCTGCAGTCGAACGGCGGTCTCTACATCAAGCTGGGTCAGCACTTGTCGTCCGTCATTTTGCTACCGCCAGAATGGACAGACACAATGCGGCCGCTGCAAGACCAGAATGAACCGACGCCTCTACCTGAGCTTGAGGCGCTGTTCAAGGAGGAGACGGGCAAGTCCTTTGACGAGGCATTCGCCTGGATGGACCCCAAGCCGCTGGGTGTTGCTTCCTTGGCACAGGTTCACCGCGCTTGCGATCGCGAGACTGGCCAGGTGCTAGCTGTGAAGATGCTTCATCCGAATGTTGAGCGATTCTCGGACGTGGATATGCGCATGGTTACTGTGTTGGTCCACTGGGTGAAGCGCGTATTCCCGCAATTCGCATTCGACTGGCTGGCTGACGAGATGAACAAGAACATGCCGCTAGAACTGGACTTCCGACATGAGGCTGGTAATTCTATGCGCGCACAGGAAGACTTTAAGCAGTACAAGCATACCGCTGTGTACTTCCCCCAGGTCCCATGGGTCCACAAACGTGTCATGGCCATGGAGTTTATTGAGGGTTGCCGTCCAGACGACCTGGCATTTTTGGCAAAGCATAAGATTGATCGTAATCGCGTCTCTCAGCAACTTTCCCGCATCTTTGCGCAAATGCTGTATATGCATGGCTTCTTCCATGCGGATCCGCATGCAGGCAATCTGCTTATTCGCCCCAAACCATCGTCAGGCTCCCGCTCGCCGGAGAACTTTGAGATCGTCTTGCTCGACCATGGTCTCTACTTTGAGATCGACGAAGAACTTCGAGCCAACTATGCACGCTTTTGGTTGACGCTACTTTCGCGTACGACACCTCACATCTCTCGTGAGCGTCGCAAGTACGCCAAGCTCATCGGTAACATCGATGACGACCTGTACCCAGTGTTGGAGAGCGCTATTACAGGTCGTTCAGGGCTGCAAGGCAGTGATGAAAAGAACCCGCATGGTGTGAATGGCCGTGAACGTATGTCCTCCCTTCTCGATACCGACTCAGGGACGACGATCACGAAAGAAGAGCAGGATCATATTCGCAAGACAGTGTTGGAGAAAGAAGGTATCATTATCAATGTCATGGAGCTCTTACGGCGCGTCCCTCGTGCTATGCTCATGGTATTGAAAATCAACGATCTTACTCGATCCCTTGACGCGCACTTGCACACAACGCACGGCCCGGCCCGACCGTTTATTATCACAGCTCGTTACTGTGCTTTGGCCGTCCGACAAAGCGACGAAAAGATCCTGCGTGATCGCCGTCGCTTGGAAGGGTTGTCGTTCCGACTGTTCAAGGACTATCTCTGGTCATGGTGGAACTATGTATATTTCTATGATGGACTAATGCTCCTTGAGCGTTTGTCTGACATCAAGGCCCGCGTTCGAAAGTGTGCTCTGTACCTAGGAGCTATGTTCTCTGATGGGTTTGATCCCAAGGCAGCTGAAATGGCCGCCGCCGGCATCGCAGAGCAAGTGAAGAGCGAGCAAGAGGTCCGACGCGCGCGCGACGAAGCAATGCATGCGCTATCGGGCGAACGGTGAGGGACAAACCAGCTCGCTATTTGTTTCCTTGTTGCTTTTCTATAATACAAGTCTATACATCGACATTAGTTGGCAGGGGTAGTGCGCTGCAACAGTGCCTGTCGTAGCTTTTTTATGAACTCATGCACTTCACCCGTTTGATTGAGCTGTTTTACCAGCAACTTTACCGTGGATGAGGGCAGCGCAGTGTCATGCTTAGGCACCGAATAAGTGGGCTGCGATACGTCCAGCGTAAACGTATACGTTCTTGTTGGGTCTTCAGCATGCAACAGAGAGAAGCCAAGATCAATGGTACCAGCCTGCACTGATGGTGAAATTGTACACCCTGTCAGCATTTCCAACTGAGCTAACTCCGGTGCATTACGACGCACTTGTTCACGAAGGCGCTGGATCTGTTCTTGCTTGTGGTGTTTCCGCGTTTCCATTTGCATTCGCATCTCTTCAACCTCTGCTTTGAGATTTCCAATACGCTGCGTCAATGTCTCTCTCTGAGCATGCAAACTTTGAACACTAGATCGCAGTTTAGCATCCGCTTCGCGTTCTGAAGCCACATCTTAACAGTTAGTGATTGAATTTGGGTACGCACTTTCCCATAAATTTTTCTGCGCATGCTTGGCATCCTCACGCTCCCGCTCTAGTGATCTAACTTTCTCCTGATCTTGTGTCCTTTGCGCCTCCGACTCAATTCTTGCCTGTTCGCAAGAGGCAACAGTGGTTTGTACATATTGATCAAAGCGGCGTGTAAATGACTGAATAGCCTGCTCCAGCTCAGAAAAATCGAGAATACTTTCTGTCACAACTTCTTTCGGGTGACCTTCAGCAACATGTCCGTCTGACATGCTTCCCTAGCCTGCTTTTGGGATGCTTTCCGCACCGTGAAGTCGATGGTAACGGATCGTGTTGCGTCGCGCAGGTGTTGGTGTTGCTAGTTGTCACGTGGGAGGGTCTGCCACCGACACTCCTTGCCTCGATATGCCCCTCCCCTCATTCGTCAGGATCACGTGGAGTGGAGGTCTAGGCGGCAATTGACACAAAACACACACAGAATTAGGTTTCGAGTGAGACCAGCATGCAGCCGGAGCAGCCGTACGGCGGAGGTCGCGATCCAGTCTCGCGCGACGTGCCTGCTCAATCTTCACCCTTTCGTACCAAGGAAGCATACAAGAACCAACCATTGCCGCAGTCCAATTCGCGCCATGCTCAAGCCACATCTATGAACGCAGCCACCTCTTTGGAAACAAACACGAACACTGCGTCCAAGCGGGATAGTATTCTCACAGATGGTGCGTTGGGTATGCCAACACCATCTACAAACGGGGCCTCTGCATTGAGCCGTACAGCTACGCGAAGCTTGAACCCTGCTGATACTCTGCAGCCATGGGAAAAAGAGGTCATTCAGCTTCCTGAAGTGCAGCGTAAAGCCACACTCGCTCAGATTTGTATGTTCCGCAATTAAAACTTACATGACAGATTTCTTGAATCATTATTTCGACTCGTTGCGATACCTGGCAGACCGACGTGAACGCTTGAGCAATTTCGAGAAGTCGATGCGTGAACGGGGTTACCAGCCTCCTTCAGATGATCTTACCCAGAGCCTGGAGTCGCTCTCACTCGCAGGTTCGAAACGGGCAGGTCAGCAGATGAGTGAGCGAGAGTACCAGATTCGTCGAGCTAAGCACTTTGAGCAGGAGCGTGAGCTACTCCGTAAGCGCCGAACCAAGCTGCGTCTGCAGCAGTTTCATATCATCACACAAGTGGGCCAGGGTGGCTATGGTGAAGTCTTCTTGGCTCGCAAGCGTGACTCGGGTGAGCTTTGTGCATTGAAGCGCTTGCAAAAGAAAGTGCTTGTGAAAATGGATGAAGTGCGCCATGTACTTACGGAGCGTGATATTCTTACTGCGACGCGTTCTCCATGGCTTGTTCGTCTACTGTATGCGTTCCAGGATGAAGCACACGTCTATTTGGCAATGGTACGTTTTTTTGTTGATTAACATGCAGGAATACGTGCCAGGAGGTGATTTCCGAACACTCCTCAACAACAGTGGTGTGCTACGGGAAGAACATGCGCGCTTTTATATCTCGGAGATGTTTGTTGCTGTCAATGAACTGCACAAGCTTGGTTACATTCATCGTGATTTGAAGCCTGAGGTACGTACAGGATACACATTCTTATCCCGAGAACTTTTTGATTGATGCCACGGGTCATATCAAGTTGACCGATTTTGGTCTGGCCGCAGGTGCGATAAACCCCGGCCGTATCGACTCACTGCGCCGTCGTTTGGATCAGGTGAAAGATACGGATATGGTCTACCGTACACCGGCCGAGCGTAGTACACTCTTCCAGATGATGCGAGAGCAGAATGTCAAATTTGCTGATTCTGTTGTCGGCTCGCCGGATTATATGGCTCCCGAAGTGCTTCGTGGCCGTGAATATGGAACAAGTGTGGATTACTGGAGTCTTGGGTGCATTCTCTACGAATTTTTGTGTGGCTTCCCGCCTTTCAGTGGTGCTCATCCTGATGAAACGTGGGCAAATTTGAAGAATTGGCAAAAGGCCTTGCAGCGCCCTGTATATGACAAGCCTGAGGATCTTCAATTCAACCTGACTGATATTGCGTGGGATATAATTGTTCGGTTGATCAACACGCCAGAAAGGAGATACAACTCCTTGTCCGAAGTGCAGGCGCACCCCTTCTTCCGTACTGTTGATCTGACACGTATGCGAGACGTGCCGGCACCCTTTATCCCTCAGCTGGAGAATGAACAAGACACCGGCTACTTTGACAACTTTGACGACCCCGCTGATATGGCTAAATATAAAGAAGTGCAAGAGAAACAACGCCACATTGAAGCTATGGACCCGAAAAACAGTGCTGCGGGTGGTGGCCGAGGCATGTGGGTCGGCTTCACCTTTGGCAAGAACTGGGCCAAGAGCAAACGGCCCCCGATGCCCGATTTGGACCGGGAGGCATCCACTTTCAGCACGATGTTTTAGTGGCAGCTAGTGTGATTGGTTAAGCGTCAAAACGTATTCTCCATAATGGCCCATGCACGTGCACGCCCACTGGTACTTGCGTGGCACTCCGAAGTGCTATTCGGCCCGGCCGCTGGAAGAAGCCAAGGGAAAAGCCATCCCACGCTCATGATAATTGTAGCAATCGTGTGTAGATGTACTAGGTATAGATTTTGAACGTATATCTTCTACCTAGTGTTTAAATCCTTGTTGAAAGAATTACTGAATGCCAAGGAACGACTTCAGAGGCTCATAACCAAGGCTGAAGTTGTACACACCAGCACCAAGCGTCACAGCCAGCGTAGTCAGGAAGCCAACCTTGCGCAGGATACCGTTGAAGCACTGGTTGACCATGCCAACAGAGTGAGCAACACGAGCAGCAAAGAGGGTGGCGTAAGCACCGTGAACCCAAGCGGTGGGGGCACCGTTCAGCTCAGCAAGGAACAGGAGACCGAAAGCAAAAGGAGTGTACTCAGCGAAGTTGGCGTGGGCACGGACAGCGGCCGAGAGGCGAGCGTCCGACTCGTTGTCAGCAGCGCTGAACTTCTTCAGGTTGCAGCGGTGGTAAGCCACGTTACCCGAGAGGAAGGTGTAGAAACCTACGCATTAGAACAGAAACGAATTGTATACATACCAGCAAAGAGAGCCGAGTGGGCGAGCGAGGCCTACATAGGTGTAAGTGAACTGCGGAAAACCAAAACACGTACAGGCGAAAGCACGAAGAGAGGCATGATAATGTAGTAAGTGTCTAACGAGAAGTGGTACGGGCGCGGGGAGTTGGGGTGGGAGTATTTGACCGGTGCTGAAGATTTTAGTGATTGGCTGGAATTTCCCGCTCAAACGAGTAGTTCCGCTTAAGCACCTGTCGGTGACGTTCAATATGCATGAATAAAAGCCCACGAAGACTGACAGCTCAGACTAATGTTCCGGTTAAGGGAGTGAGAAATGACGTGCCGGTAGAGTAGACTATAGCTCCAAGCCTTTGTTTGAATGGAGAAGATGGCTTCACATTCGCCACAGTATGGATGCACGAATCTAGCGCGACAATTTGTGCTGAATATGGAAGGAACAGCCATTGAATTGCGTTGTGTAATCAAATTGCTGCGCTAGGATGAAGGTGAATCGTCCGTAGTCAGCGTCATGAACATAACGCTACAGACGAATCCTGAGCAATAGAAATAAAGTGACTATGAGTATAACAATAGAAAACTTGTGCTAGATGGGGAAGCAGTAGATTGTCAAATGTTTGATAATACATGACACATACGGGTATGACCATTGAAAAAGTCCAAGTCATGCCCTGCGAAATAAGCTAGATATAGGTAGCATTAGTAGGGTATGCGCTTCTATGATAATGACAAAGTGTACATAGTCATTCTTTCGATATACAACGTGGGTATATGTGCATCTAATACTTGTATTTAGGGGCACCTGTGTATTTCGATAGGTCGCTTTTTAGCAGGGTCCTACAAGTCGACCTGACAAGAACTGTTTCTGAGGCAGTCACCTAAGCGTCTCCACATTTGCCAAGTGATGACTAAGCGCATCCACCTCACGCCAGGGCTGGCCACCGCCTGGTTCGACTTAGCTGGCAGCATGGCAGAGTATGTGTGCGAGGAAGTGAGAGACTAACGCATCAGAGAGAGGGAACCGCCTCAAAATGCTACATTCATGGCTATACCAGCCGCTGGTCTCGCTCAAATGCTCTCCACCTTGCAGGGCGAAGAAGGAGGTAGCGATGCTATCAACCCATTTGCTTTTCTGACGCCTAGTAGTGGTGCAATTCCTCTATCAGCATTACGGCACAATCGGAGTATGTCACATGAATCTGAGCCTGGGGAAAATGAGAACCAGACTGCTACGGAAGAGGAAAAGCGGGAGGCGGAAGAGAAGTTGGCCAAAGTGTACGAACGCTTTGATTTCGAGCCTCTTTGGGAGCGCTTGGGCGAAGCCCTAGCTCGACTTCACAGTGACCCTAGTTCTGCACAGGTGCTTCTGCCTACTATTGAGGTATGTTTGTGGCGTATTGACATAGAAAGAGTTTGATGGTCGTGTCGCAGCATGTAATGCGTTCGCAAGCGCCAGACGATGATCCTTTGATTGAAGCACCCACCTCTGAGCCTGGAACACGTCGAGCCAAAATGGAAAGTGATTTCTACGCATTCACAGAGAAACATCGCAAGATCCTTAACTTGATGGTGCGCCAGAATCCATCTTTGATGTCGGGCTCGTTTGCGTTGTTGGTGCGCAATCCCAAGGTGCTCGACTTCGATAACAAGCGCAACTATTTCTCACAACAGCTTCACAAGGGTCGTCGAGAACACTATACCCCTCTTTCGCTGACAGTTCGGCGCCAGCATGTGTTTTATGACAGCTTCCAGTACTTTAACCGAAAGTCTGGGCCCGAGATTAAGCATGGCAAGCTGAATGTGCGCTTCCACAACGAGGACGGTGTGGACGCAGGTGGCGTTACCCGCGAATGGTTCCAGGTACTTTCGCGTGAAATGTTCAATCCGGATTATGCATTGTTTCAGCCATGTGCAGCAGACCGTACTACGTATCAGCCGAACCGTATGAGCTCTGTAAACGATATGCATTTGTCGTTTTTCAAATTTATTGGGCGTGTGATTGGTAAAGCGATTTACGATGGACGGTTGCTGGATGCCTACTTTACACGCAGCTTCTACAAACATATTTTGGGACGCAGTGTCGACTACAAAGACTTGGAGGCGGTTGACCCTGAGTACTACAACAGTATTGAATGGATGTTGCACAATGATATCACGGATGTGCTGGATCTCACGTTTACCGTCGAAGATGAGGTGTTCGGTGAGACTCAAGTGGTGGAGCTTAAGCCTGATGGTGCTTCGATCCCAGTAACCGAGGAAAACAAGCACGAATATGTGCGTCTTGTGACGGAGCAGCGCCTTACCAATTCGATCCGCTCGCAAATTGATGCATTCTTGGATGGGTTCCACGAGATTATTCCGCGAGAGCTCATTAAATTGTTTACGGAGCAGGAATTGGAATTGCTCATCTCTGGTTTACCTGACATCGACGTGGATGAATGGAAGAACAACACGGAACTTCAGGGCTACAATTCCAGTGATCCTATGATCCAGTGGTGGTGGCGTGCTGTACGTTCGTTCGACCAGACAGAGAAGGCCAAACTTTTGCAGTTTATTACAGGTACGTCCAAAGTACCGCTGGAAGGCTTTGGCCAGCTGCAAGGTGTGAATGGCACACAGCGCTTTAGCATCCATCGTGCATTTGGCGAAGACCGTTTGCCAGCCGCTCATACCTGCTTTAACCAGTTGGATTTGCCAACTTACGATTCGTACGAAAAACTGCGCAGTCAGCTGCTACTGGCCATGAACGAAGGTGGCGAAGGCTTTGGTCTTGCGTAGGGCAGAGCATCCGAAGCACTACGTTGGCTCATACAAATAGATAGCTTGTATACCTGCCACTACCTACTTGTGTATTCGAATACGTGCAATACTGTTTAGAATGTGATCCAGCCTCCTTGGTCAATAGTCGACTCTACACGGCGGGTGACAATGTTTGCGATGCCGTGCGTAAGCCATTGCTTGCGGAGCTCATCGTACCGCTGCATGTGTAAACGCTGGGGCCGCGCCTTGAGAAGGTATCGGTCGACTTCGCCGTGTGAGTTGAGGTACGGAGAGGAGGCGAAAGTGCCATTGGATTGATACAGCATCACAACCGCGTTGCTGCCGACACGGAAGTGCAAACTGACACGACCGCCGCACTGTTCCATGTGTTGATTGCATTCGCCACGCGATTCATCGTCTGGGTCACTGCAGCAATACGATTGCTCGCATAGCACATCGCCGCAGAAGAGACACAAGGAAAATGTTGGAGGCAACGTGCCGCAACGCTTGCACTTGCGCTCCTGCGTCTGTTGTAGTAACTCTGTGAGGTCCACAGGCAGAGGCAATAGCTCATATATATGGGGATGTTCCAAAACCAGGTTCGGTACGCGATGAGCCAATTCTGGGTGGATCGGTAGAGGACGGAAAAGCGGAGCGAGATGCGCATATGCATGCTTCGTCCAACCTTCCACGAGCATTGTCATAAGCTCATTGGGCTGGCCCTGCATCGGAAGCGCCATCGCCGGCGTGGGGATACGGAGCTCAGTCAAAAGCGAGGCGTATTCCGACTCGTGAGAGGGGGGACTGACATCGCCCCCTTTGGGCGCAGCCACGACGCGTCGCAGCAGGGCTGCACGGCGGAGGAAGGGAAAGGTGTACGCACACAAGGCCTTGGCCAGCTCTTGGTCGTTCAGCTGGTCAAACCCTAGCGTCATATTGCCACGGACGTAGCCGACCAGGCCTACAATGCTCGTCACCAACCAGCGTGCATGGGGGAAAATGCTGGCCGCTTCGTCCAAGTCCACGCCCTTCGCACTGGGCTTGGCTGGCTGACTAACAGGCTGTGCAAGGCCAAAGATGCATTGCACAAGTTGAACGTAGTACAATAGCGCCGTAATCTGCAAGAGGTCCTGTGGTGCAATAATGGCCGCCTCGATCAACACCCCCAAGGGCGAGCGAAGAAGCAGAGGCGCTCGTACGGCAGGTTCATTGGCCCAATGCGGCAGCAGGCGCTTCAATAGACCTTGGCGCATCCGGTCTAGGACACTTGCTTCGTCGTTCAAGGAGATATGGGCCATGGCACGTAGCGCATCCAGCAGTGTCTGTACCAGCTGGAGCTGGGCTGGTGTAATGGCCTCATGGAAAGGCTTAGGCAGCCCACGCTGACCAATTTCCAATTGGGCTAATGTATAACCGACAAGTGTATCAGGCAAGTACATTGCCTCGGTCGTACTTGCAATGGCATCCATGGCATTCAGCTGCATATCATGCATTCGGGCAGAGCGCGATTCATCTGCGAGGAGTTGCATCACATTCAAGTAGCGCTGAAGCATGTGGGATTCGTCGTCGGCAAAGACGCCAGCACCGTAGTCAGGGTTGTGGGGCTGCGGGGTGCCGTCAATGAGCCACGGAAGGAAACACCCTGTGCCACGCGAAGTGTCCTGGTGGTCCGCATGCACTTTGGAGTGAGCCGGTGTGAGCTTGAGGATGGAAATGTTCATGTGTCGCACCCACTCGCCCAGCGACATGTCGTTAAAGTGGAACGCCTCGTCATGGGACAATGTCGCGCCCAGCGCCGTACTAAACGCACTCGCACCAGGGCCAGGCAGGATAATGTTGCCAAGGGACTTGCACAGGGGACATACGTACTCAAATCGAGACAGGTCCTCAGGGTGATTCCGTGCCACTTGCATCGCATGCCTCTGCTCCGTGCTTTGCATGTAAGTGTGGAAACAGGATACATGCATGGCATGACCACACGACACAGCCACTAGCCCTGTTTGATGAGCCGAGGCAGGGTAGCCCAGTGTGACATGCTCTTCTCGGCGCGTATAGGTACCACGCGTCCGCTCTGCATTCGGGCCCGCCGTGGGCGCCCAGGACAGAGGTGTACACAGGACATCGTCCATGGACGCATGATCACGTGGCACCGAGGTACGAAGCAGCCGACTTTCTTGCACATGCATCAGCGTACCAAACGCTCGCTGCGCGTCGAGGCGTTCTTGACACAAAATGCACGTGCCAAAGCCTTCGTCCTCGTCGTCTTCGTCGCTAAATTCGTCGTCCAACTCTGCCAAGAGACTCTTTTGCTGAGCCGAGAACTTGTTGAGAATCGCCGCTTGGCGTGCGCGTGCCGCCTGGCGCTTCTTGTCGTCGATGGTAGGCTCGGCTGGTGGGCCACGCACCTTTGCCACCGCTTCCGCCACGTGGGGGACAGAAATCGCAGCCTTATCAAGAATGTAGTGGAGTTTCGCTTCGTACGCTTTCCACTTCTGATCAGCTTGCATGGTGAGCAGGAGAGAGAGCAAACTGTAAGATTCCGACTTGGGCTTGGACTCAGACTCGGATGAGCGGGCGTTCGCTCCGATCTCTACCTCGCGTTCATGCAACAAACACTCGATGAACGGTGTGCCACGCTCTTCGATACCCTGTGCTAACAAGTGCAGAACGACGTTGACCAGCGTATCCGGTGGCTCTTCATACGTCCTAGCGTTGTGCAGGGCATGGAAGAGAACCACGCCAAAGAGCGGGCACAAGAAGACATCTGCCAGGGACGCAAAGGGCGTATCCGTGAGCGCATGCAGCTGACTGGTAGGGTACAGCGGCAAGGTAATGCCCTGCGCACGCTTCTCCGACAGAATTTGCTCCGCCTTCTCACGTTGGTTGCGTGAATAGTGGTGGAAGAAGGGTTGGACATCGGCAAGGTAAGCCGGCCGGAGTTCGTACATGCCATGATCGGCTGTACCATCCGGCTCACGGAAATGAGCCACTTGCGCAAGCTCACGGTCAAAGCAGCCATGGTCAGTAAAGCGTTCAGGAATTTGCTTGGTCAGCTCCGAGTACGTGCAGGGGCCAAGGGCCAAGTAGTGTACCAACTCGCGACGGACCTGAGCCTCAATAGGCCAGTGCGCTGGTACACTGATCTCATTGAGGAGAACGGCCAGCAGGAAAAGCATCTCTTCCGCCATGAATAGCATTTGATCGCGGTCGTACGTCGCGTGCCCTAGCCACGCACGACCGCTAAACCAATCGATTAAATCGAAGCGATCCAGCATCGTAGCCAGGAATCGGTCAGGTGAAATCAGCATCAAACCGCATTGCTGCAAAAACAGGTCCTGATCGTACATGATATCACGCATCCACATCGAGTCGCGATAGTGATACGCCTGCGACCGAATGGCAAAGCCATTGCGGACCCACAAGTTGCAGCGGATCTGTGCGAGCTTCACTGTCACGCGCAATGGGTGCTCGACAAGACCAAGCAACGCCTCTTCACCAAGAAGAGAGCGAAGTTCCTCACGGCAGCTTTTCATATGCAGATGCTTGAGCATCTCCGCCAGGAGCCAATGCATGGGATGGTGGAAGCTGACCGGCTCAGACGCCACTTGGAACGCCAAGACCTGGTGGTGCGTAGAGCCCACTTGCACGGTATGCATGCGGAAGGGAGGATGCATAGTCTCGTCCAGCGAGCTGAGGCGTGCAAGGTGCGTATGCATCGTCTTGCCGACAAACGCAATGGCCTCGCATAATTGGGCATTGTCTGCATGCACAAACGCCTCGCCCAGCAGCTTCGCAATGCGGCCGAGATGCGAGTTAATGTGGAACACTTGCACCCACAACTCACTCTCAAACTCGACATGGGCATGAACAGCCCGAATATCCGGGGCAATGGAGTGAAAGAGAGCAAAGAATTCCAGCCATGCAGCGAGATGCGTCTCAAAATGCGCCACTATATCGCGCTGGACATCCATGGCGCCTAGCAAGTAGCGGATGTCATAGAAAATATGGTAGCATTTCTGCTGGCGCAACAAGGCTGTATCTGGATTCGCCTGCCCCCGCGGTGGAAGCGGCGCAGGAAGCACAAGCGATGTGATCCGTGTATCGGACTCGTTCGCAAACAGGGCCTGCAAGACGTAGAGGAGCACGACCAACAAGCCACGCTCTACCACCAGCTGTGTTGCGATGCTGGGCACACTAAACAGCTGCACAGTTAAGTGGTAAATAGAGTGTTCTGGCTCACGGTCGTGTAAGATAAATGTCTCGATGAGACGTGGGTATACCGCAGCGACACGCTGAGCCACTTGGCGCTTTGCCTCGCGGCATGCAATCAAGTCCATCAGTAGACGACGCACCGACATACGTGCACCTTTCCACATTTTGGTATCCAGCAGCAACAATGTATCAAGCATACAGAGCTTGGTCGGGTCGAACAAATCACGACGGATCGTGACAGGCTGCTCTTCCCATTCCGCCACATGCCATGGGCGCAGCATGGTTTGCGTGAGAAGCGCCTTGATGGCACGGCCGTCACCTGTTGATCCAGAATACAGTGAGCAGCTGGCCATATCCACGACAAAGTCCAGCACACAACCAGCCACTTCTTCGACGTAAAAGTCAAAGGCTGGCTGCACCGTTACCAGTAAATAGATTACGCCGATACGACGGGCCATCAGAATCAGACGGCGCACATCATCTGACATAGCAACCACCTGACGACCCACACGGTCGACCTGTTCGGCAAAGTGACGTGCATCACGCGTCGTCATGGTTGTGCATACTTCCTGGATCTTGTCCGACACCTCATTGAAGCTGTGCTTTTCATCGTTCCACAGCAATGCGACAAAAAGAGGCGCCGGTGCTGGTGCCAGTGTATTGTCCTCGTCGTCATTGTCTGTGGTCTCCTGCCGGGCTTTGCCCTTGTCAGGGAACGCATGTTCAAGAGTCGGCTGTCGCTTGACACCATCCACCACGTCAGGGCCCATCACGAGCGGCGCTTGCTTCGGCGCATGGAGGAACGTCTGCAGCAAGAAAGAAAGCAGTAAAGAGCTAAACTCATGCAGCGATTGCTGCACATCGTCAGGCACTGCAGCGACCAGCGCCTCGAGAGTCTGCTCCCCTTGGGAGGCGACTGTATCGTTGGCAGGCTCGTTATAGGGGTGCAAGCTATGAAACTCGCACCCAAGATCACGCTTCCAAGCCTCTTCGTCGCCACAGTCGCAGCATGCACCGCCTTCGTCTGCGACAGAGAACAACACATCGTGGTTCTCACGCGCATGGATGGAGTGACGGAAGCATGTCACGCACTGAACACATGTATCATCAAACGAACAGTCATGACACCGGAAGATAGGCTCGCCTTTCCGGAACACATGGCCACAGGTCATACCTCGGCGGTTTTTTGAGTACTCTGGGAGCGCAGGCACGCCATCGTCGGACTGCTGCTGCAATAGAAGTGCTTCTGCACGTTGCTGGGCAGACGACACACGAAATTCTACTTGCTTTAGCAGTTTCCAAGCCTCGTCGTGTGTCGGCACGACATTCGAAGGAAAGAGGGAGGAGAGCGGCACCACGCTTAGAAGCTCATGGCACAAGCGCTCTCGCACTTGCAGCGCCTTTTCGGGCGGAAGACGGTACGAATCCGCATCACCTGGTGTGGGTATAGGCGCAATCCGTGGCAGAAGTTCTACCACGGCACCAACTTCTGTCATTGTCCTTGCGTCGCCAGCGGGGGCGTTCGTGGTTCGTCTGTCGCAAGGCTGCTGCACAGCAACGGCGCCTCCGACCGCCTGGCGCCCCAGCACGGACAGTGCGTATCACGTGATGGCGTGGACGATGCGTCCTACGTGTGTGGCTCTGGACGCCCGCGACGAACAAGCACGCTACGCCTCTATTGCGCGCAGGATGGAGTCGTATGCGCTACCGCCGACAACAGCGCCCAGTACGTCGTCATCAAACACGACAATAGGGACAGCAGATACGAAGGCATGGGCTGATTCTGCCCCTCAAATGTTTGATCGCGCTTGCACAACGTTGCTGTGGACAGAAATGGCACGCACACTCGCAGCTAGCACATCGTACCAAACTCGACGAGCAAACGATTTGGTATCGCAGCTACAGCTACATGATCCAGGCCCACATCTCCCACCACCTCTCTCGACGTCAGACGAGGCAGAGATGGCTCGTAGTCGTATGGCAGCTGTCGGTCGGCATGTGGGTGCCAACCTGATAGAGAGGTACGTCGTTTAGACGTCTGTATGTCGTACTAACCTGAACAGGCTCACGCGCGATCGCGCACGTTTGACAGATGCGCTGGACCGCGTCAAGTTTATATGCAAGGATCTATGGATGACAGTATGGGAAAAGCAAATGGACAACCTACGAACCAACCATCGCGTACGTCGACAATTTCCTTTCTCACAGGCCAGGGCGTATTTGTTCTACAAGATCATGGGTTGCGATCACTTTCATCGCTGCGGGCCAGCGATGCCTCCCAATCGTATGTGACTATGGTACGTATCATGGCTTCTCACACGCTCTTCACAGCACTTGGCCTACGCTGAGGGACTCATTCACGGCGCCCTCGAGCGCCTCGGAGTGACTGCGCATGTGCAAGCTGAAATGGATACCTTCCCTGGCTGTGCCTTCCATATTCGCCTCGTCCAGCCATCGCCCTCTTCCACCTCGTAATTCAACATAGGCATGATGCTACAGTACACTAGTCCATATCGCTATCGCTATCGCTCTCGCTGTCGTCCTCGCCGGATGAGAGATCCGATGCAGCCAAGTCATCCTTCGAAGCAGCACCGGCCTCGGCGTCGCCAGGCGTAGCCGGCTTGGGCGTCTCACCAGCCGCCGCATCGTTGAACTGCTGCAGCTGCTGTTGCAGACGCGCAATGCGAGCGGCTTCCTCCTCTTCATCCAAGTTCTTCTTCTTCAGACCACCCGTACCACGCTTGCGACCATCAATCGGAGCACTGGCAGGCATAGGCTTGCCATTAGGACCTAGCTCAGGGCCTTGCGTTTTTTTCTTCGGGCGCACGACATACTTGTAGAGCTTGTATAGAGTCTGGGGCGAGAGCTCGTCAATATCAAGCTCAATCTCCTCGTCTTCGGTACCCTGTGCACCCGCCGGCTTATCTTCGTTGATAATCCGGATAGCGCCTTCCAGACGTTCGTCAGAGAGCTCAGTGATCTTGGCCGCCAGCTCTTCCTTCTGATCGAACGTGACAGTGCGCACATCCTCTTCGTCTGAGCCAGCCATGCGCTTGCGTGGCGTAGGCGACGTACCAGTACGTGGCTTCTTTGAAGCCGCCGCCTTCTTTTTACGGTCACCACCCTTGCTCTTCTTGTCCATCGAAGTGGCACTACGCTTCTTGCCCTTGCGCTTCGTCATATCCGCTACACTAAGAGCACCAGCCAGCGCCGCCTGGACAGAGTTGAGCGCCACACGCGTGCTCGTAATCAAAAGAGGGTTTTTGTTTTTACCACTCTCAAGCGTCTCCAAAGTGCCCTCCAGCTCAGCAATCTGCTTTTGTAGTTGCTGCACAAGGACAGCATTTGCATCGTCCTCATCATCACCATCCTCATCGCCATCCTCATCGTCATCGTCTTCATCGTCATCGTCATCGGTAGGGAAAGGTGGTGGCACGGGTTTCTTCTGCATCTTGCCTTCATACACATCCTTCAGACGCGCACCCATCACATACACATCCGAGTCCGGCGGGTTGAATGTGAAGCAGTTCCGGAACATGAGCTGCATGTCGGCATCAAATGCAGCAAGATCAGCGTATCCACCGCTTTTCAGCTTGCGCTGAATAGGAATGAGAGCAATGGGCTTCTTGATGATTTGGTAATACGCAGGTGCCCAGTCAAAGTCCTTCGCAGGCAAATCATAAAACACCCACGCAAGGTCCTGGTTGGCGGGCTTCAGCAGATCATCAATAATTCGGTAACAGAACTTCAGCTCATCATTGATGACCTTCGACCAGTAAGATTGCTCGCGCGATGAGATGGCATCCACACTCTTGCCCAGACGAGCCGCTACAGCCTTTTTCGAGGCAGGGTGTAAATGCTCCTCCGTCCATGGCAAGTCACGCGATGGCGGCGGGTGAATCTCGCGCTTGGGACGACCACCATTGGTGGAACGGCGAATAGTGGGTAGCGAAGAAGAGTTTCGACGTGCCTTGGCCTCCGGCGAGTTCGCCTCCTCCGCCACGGCCACAGCCGACGCGAGGCCTTTGCGCTGCTTCTCAAAAATGCCGCGAAGTACTTCAGCATTCTTGGAGAAGATGTGTTCTGAACCATTAAAGCGAACACAGTTATCAAACACAAGGAACACATCTCGCTCGAATTCATCGACACGGCGATAAAAGTCTTTTTCCGGATCGATACGACCTGTATCAATCGCTTGCTTCAACTTATCAGACAATCGGCTCTGGACACCTTGCGAACTCTTCAAACGATGAGCTGTCAGCGCCAGCTTTTGATCGATCGTGCCCAAGTCCATAGGGTGAGAAATTATCTGGGTATAATGGGGGATTTTGAGGGCGATCGGGTCGACAGGCTGCAAGAAGGCACCAGCTTCACGACGAGACTTTAACGAGCGAATAGTGTTTTGCGCATACTTGACATGCGGCATGACCATATCCATATGAGTGAGGCCATCGGTGCTTGATGATCCCTCCGTTGTGGATACGACAGGAGTAGCTGGGGTAGCAGCCTGCGGCGCAGCAGGTCTAGCAGGCGCAGGTGTAGCAGCTGGGGCCTCAGATGTCACGGGCGTAGCCTCCAGCTTCGTCTCTATCTCTGCACCAGCTGGCGCAGAAGTAGCAGCTGCAGCGTCAGGGGCTTCGGTGCCTTGAGAGGGCGTCGATACTGTCGTTGGCTCTGGGGCTGGGTCAGAGGCAGGAGCAGAGGCAGAAGTTTCAGCTCCATCCGCAGGAGCTGATGTACTCTCCGGTTGTGATGTGGGCGCAGCCACCGTATCCGAAGAGGCAGGCACCTCACTAGGCTTAGCCTCCACCGACGACATTGGTTCGACTGTCGTCGCTGGTGTCGACAGAGGCTCGGTCACCCCTGTCGGCGCGGACGTTGGCTCCGTGGATGTCGCAACAGGCGCGCTGACAGTGGCTTCTACAGCCATAGGCTCAGCTGCTGCACTAGCTTGAGGCTCAGTGTGGGAGGGAGCTTTCGATTCATCCATTATACAAGGGGGATTGGCACTGCATGGTGTTAGAACGTCCTGGACGCGTGATATCAACACGACTTACCGAGACGAGTGGCCAACCGATTTGGGAAGATATTCGTGCAGCCTACGTGGAGAAGGAAGAGATCGCGCGCGTGCCGCTAGGTCTTCCCATTATATATTCTTAACAGAGGCGCGTTCGGCAAACAATCGGGCCAATAATAAAATAGACATATGCATGGTTTGCCCTTCGACCAGAATCTTTTCTTCGAAGCCACGTGACACTTGCTACAGGGCGTGGAGGGGTCATGTCGTGAAGTTTACGGTTCTCGTCGAAGTGCCGCTTGTACGTGATGGCGAAGAAAAAACGGGCGCCTCAGCTGGACGCTTGGTGTTGGTACTGCGAGTACGTACAGATGTTTTGTGCACTAACACAGGCAGTCGTGAGTTTGAAGATGAGAAAGGTATGTGCTTAAGGGAAGGAGTTGTGGTGCTTACGCATGCCAGTCTTGATTCAGCATCAAAAAGCAAAGCATTTCAAATGCCCACACTGTCCACGTCGTCTGAATACAGCTGGTGGACTGGCTGTCCATCTGGGTCAAGTGCATAAAGCAGAGCCGGGACGGTATGTAGAGAGCATGGCTGACATGACAGTTTGGAAAATACGCTACCTGGACGTGATTCGTTTGAAATTGAAATCTATGGCATGGTTGGTGTGCCGGATAGTGATTTGATTGCATGGCAGGTGCGCCGAAGTGGAGACCGGGCTGCGCAGGAGGGAGCACAGGTTCGTGGTCCGCCGATGCCGAAGCGTCCACGTATTGAGAAAGTGGCGTTGACAGCAGATCAGCTGCGTGCGCAACTTGAAGCGCACAAGGCGTTAATGAGCGGTGCTGCGTCTACCTCTGCGCCGCCCCATCTGACACAGCCACCCATTCCTGCTACGACGGAATCTACGACACAAAGCCCTATATATCATACCCCGCCTACCAGGACACAAGAAGCGGCGTCTGTGGTGCCTGCATCGCAGCCAGCTTCTACGACGTCGAAAGAGCCGCCGTCGATGCCACCTGGCCCCCCGCCGCTGCCCTCCGTATCGATGTCAGGTCAGCGTTCTCCAGCGGCGGCGGCGTCGCCTACGGTAGCCTCGACGCCGGCCCCTCCTACGGCGGTGGCGTCGGAGAACGATCGGATGATGCATCCGCACCGACGGGCCATCGAGCAAGGACTCAAGTCGCGTCTGGTGTATACAGACACGCAATTCAGTCCGGAAGAAAAAATGGCGGGTATGCCGCGCTATGCGTATGTGCCATCGGCATAATAGCTATAGGACAGAGTGAAAGGATGTAGCCAGTCGACATGTATACATAGAGAAAATGAAAGGAGGGTGGATAGAGAAGAAACGATACACCATCTACCTTGCCCAGCGCTGGGATCCCATGCAGATCACTCTACCCCAGATGCATAACGACGCAGATCCATTTATGACAGGGTGATACCTCCTTGGGACTGGCTATCTGTCCATGCCGGTAGTCGGCCGAGTATCACGTGCATGATGCGTGCCCCACAATGTTGGGAACGCGTAAAGCCGTTTTCGAGTGCGTAGCCGAGCTCGATTTTTTGCTTGCCAGCTTGCCCCGCCTTGAGACCATGGTTCTGGGTCGCGTAGCGTCCCAGCGGCGGCGCAACTACAACCAGGCGGCTGAAAGCTATCATGATGATGAAGAAGGATATTTTGATGATGAGGTAGGTGGCACGCATCGGGATTGGGACGATGGCGAGGTCGACGATAGGGCCCCGCGATCGGCGCGCCGGGTGAGCGACGAGTTTGGTGATGCGCAGTCCATGTACGATGATGTGGACGAGGAGCCATACGATGATGAGATGGACGATGCGATCTTGGACGATCGCCACCACCACGGCCACGACCCGCACCGCCGCCATCACCACCACCACCACCATAACCGACATGCCCCGCAGGAAGAGTCAACGACAGAGCCGTACGAGGACGACGACCGGAGCTATGTGGACGACTTTGAGGACGGTACTGAGTACTACGACGAGCCTGAAGATGGCCGGTCGTCGCGCCGGTATGGCGATGCAGAAGATCGGTACGAAGATGAGTCAGACTACGATCCCAACTACCATGCAGCCCATGGCTACCATGGCCGTGATGGCCGCTCGTTCCATCCTACCGATACGGATCATGCGACGAGGCGCGGACATGGTGTGTATGTGGAACACCCGCATACGGGCATGGAGGACGTGGCGCATGGCGCGTTCCCGGAGCCCAAGGCGGCGTCGTTCGACCCTCATGAGCCGGGTGTAGAGACAGAGTCGGCGGGGGATTTCCCGGCGTTCTTCCACCACAAGGTGGGAGACTACGGCGACTTTGGTCTTTTGTCACGCATATACCTTGAGATCCGCCAGATGATGATGTTCGGTCTCACGACGCTGGGCCTCACGATTGTTATAAATTTGGCGTTTGTGCGGTACATGAATCCCTTCCGCAAGCACTACCCGAAGGCGCGTGTGGACTTTGAGTTTGATCGCCGCATTACGGGTGAACGGTACAGTGAGCGTGTGGAATACTATGCCGAGTACTGGGGCTACAAGTGCGAGGAGTACGAGGTGACGACGAAGGGCGGCTGGATCCTCAAGGTGCACCGTGTGTCGGACCCGCGACGCCCAGGTGGACGTGGCTACCCTGTTCTGCTGCAGCACGGTATTCTGTGTACGTCGCTGTTCTTCTTTACGTCGGAGGAACGTTCGCTGGGCTTTTGGCTCGTCGACCAGGGCTACGATGTGTGGAGCAGCAACATTCGTTCGAACTATGGGGCTGGCCACACACGGTACAAGCGTTGGGACCCGCGGTTCTGGGCATGGGGTCTGGTGGAATTGGGCGACGACTTGGTCGACGTGGTCAACTTTGTGCTGGAAGTTACGGGCTACAAGCAGCTGGCGTACGTGGGTCACTCGCAGGGCACAGGCAGTATGTTCCTGGCGCTGAACAAGTTCCCGACGTTTGGCCACAAGCTCTCGTCGTTCACGGCGCTGGGTCCGGCTGTATACCCGGGTGCGTCGCTGAACCGCTTGCCATTCAAGGTCATGAAGATGACACCGTCACGCTGGGCGTGGTCGCTGGTGTTTGGTGTGCGTGAGTTTATGCCAGCGTTAGGCCTGGCGCGAGCAGTGCTACCCAAGTTCTTGATGGGCCACTTGGGCTACATCATCTTTGCATACCTCTTCGACTTCCACGACCACAACTGGGTCGATCGCCACAAACCGAAAGTGTTTTGCTCGACGGGTGTGTTGACCTCGAGTGAGTTGCTCTACTACTGGATCCACAGCTTCATATTCCGTGGTTGTGTATTCGACCCACGCTTGACACAGCCGTGGTTCAACAAGGCCTTCCCGCCGCTGACAGTCGCCTACGGCTCGATTGATCAGCTCGTCGTCGGCAAGCCGCTGATCGAACGCCTGCTGACGTACGAAAGCAATGTGCAAATCGTGCATATCCTGGAGCTCCAGGGGTACGAACACATGGATATGGTGCTGGGTGTGGACGCGTACAAAACCGTGTTCCCCAAAATCAAAGACACGATCGTACGTACGATCGATCCAGAAGACGCACCCATGCAGAAGAGCGTCATGTAAAACAGTATGCAGCGGACAAAGATACATTGGAATAGATGTGTGAATTTAGCGTAGGATAATAATCAATACATTGGCTCATTCTACGATACAAGCAGACCGCGGAGGCACAGACCCTTCACGTCGGTCGGAAGCCATCAAGGAGGCGTCTAGTGTACAACACGCAAACATACCATGGCCGCGTACTTACCAGGGCCCAGGGCCCGGCGCCGTACGGGGGGCAGCCATAGCAGCAAATTCTTCAGGCAGCCGGTCGTACTTCGGCATACCTGAACCGCTCAGCTGCATGCCACGTAGTGGCGCATACAGCGACGCGGTCATGTCAGGCGCACTGTCCGATGGCACTGCAGGCGGGAACAGACCCGCCTCCGCCTGCTTGCGCATCGCACCGGGCGCCGCAGCACCACGTGGAAGACGAGTGCTGCCCGGCGCCAACGATGAGGCGCCAGTCGAGCGCAGACCAGCACGACCCGACGCACCATGGAACGCCGTAGCGCCGCCACCAGGCCCCCGCGAAGCGTCAGGCGCACCGTGGTGCTGGCCCTGTCCGCGGCGGAAGCGGGGCGGCTCGCTGCCATCGCGCTGCAGCTTGCTCTGAATACGCTTGCCGTACGGCGTGTTCCGGATCGCGGGCAAAATCGGGCGAATGCACTCGACTAGCTGCACACGCTGATTTGGCTCCGCATAGTCCAGGCATGTCTGCACGACATAGTTCGCAAACGAGTCACGCAAAAGCGATTCCAGCCGCGTAGCATCCGTGAGCTCTGACACAAGCTGCTGGCGCAGATCCGTGTCTGCCACGCGAATGCATTTCTCAATCACATTCGAGCTGAACTTTTGCGTGGACAACTGGCACACATGACCCAAGAACTGCTGTGTCACAGACTGGTTGAATGCAGAGTCATTCAGGTCCAGCACATACTGCACCACATAGTTGCCAAACGGATCTTGGACCAATGTCAACGAATACACTGTAATCTCTTGCACAAGCTGGTTCCGTTGCGCATCCGAGGCATGGTCGATACAGCGCTGGAGCACGCAGCATCCATGTCGATGCGTAGCCACATCCACACACTTCGCCGCCACCGCATCGTAGATAAACTGGTTGTCGGTCGACGACAAGCGATTCAGGCATTTCTGGATCACGTGATTCCCATTCAGATCCTTGATCAGCGTGACGACGTTGCGCGAGAAGGCACCGATAATCGCCTCGGTTTGCGCTGACGTGGAAATGAAATCAATCGTCTTTTGCACAGCACGAGTGCCATGCATGTTCAACGAAATGGTTACCAGATCTTTCGCGATAGCCTCGACAATCTGGTCGCGCTGCGCATCCGTGCAGTACTCGAGCAGCTTTTGACACAAATAGTTGCCAAACGGATCCGTCATCAGCTCGGCAAAGTAGGGGAACGTCTCCGTGAAAATGAGATCACATTGTGACGGAACATTTTCATCCAGCTTCTTCTGCAGAAATCGGCAACCAAATTGGTCACGGCACAGCTGCGAAATCTCGCCACGCAGGTCCTCCAGCTGCATCATGGACAAGTCCACGTCCGAGCGACGCATACCACGGCCAGAAAACCCATGCTCGGACTCATCCGAGAAAGCGCGGCTGGTTTTGCGACGTTCGTCCTTGCGTGGGAAACGGCCATAGCGTGGCGCCTCACTGGCATCCGAGTGAGGCGCAGGCTGCGTCGAGGCAGGCGACATATCCAGTGAAGCACTCAACGACGGCGGTGCCGTCGCAGCCGTCGGCATCACCATACCCGAAGTAGCGTTATGGAACGATGGTGGGCGTGCTCCCACAGCAAGCGTTGGCAGCGCTGACGGGAAACCACTAAGACCAGCCGTAGGAAGACCTGTACCGCGTGACTCGTCAAACAGCTCCGGGAACGGTCGGGCAGAAGGCGATTTGTCATGAAGGCGCAGACTCGATCCGCCACCGATAGGGGCCAAGCCCGGGAACGACGGCGAGTGTGTTTGCGCACTAGAAGAGTCCATACAATCCGAGAATTGCTGCGTAGAATGAAGCCAGGGCGAGAGCGAGGAGGGGGCGCCAGGTGCAGGCGAAGTACCAACCTCCGCGGAGCGTGCGCCAGATGGCGGTGGCATTGGAGCGAGGTCCAGCGCACTGACAAACGATGAGAGCTGCGCGGCCGTGGGCGGCTGGCTCACGGTAGGCCCCTGCGTCTTCAGCAGAACAGGGAATTCGTCATCGTCAGCCGATAGATTGTACTTTCGCACAAATGCCGAGTCATCGCCGACCTCGTCATCAAAAAGGAAGCGTTCATTGAACATTGGCACAAGACGCTCAACGCCAGCCGTTCCGGGCGCGGTGTCGGTGCGAACCCCCAATATCGTCGCTGTCGAAGTAGGCGTGCCTTCGCCGTTTCGGGACGGAGGCGAGACAGCCGCAGCGTCGCGTGGCAGGGAAGAAGGGGCGTGGTCAGAGCTCATGCGGAGCAATGAACCAAGCCTAGATGGTGAAAGCACGTACGAACGGCGTCGGATCCAGCACGGAAAGACAACCGCGAGTCGTGTTCAAATCCACAGCGCCGAGCTGGCTGCGTGAAGAACCGACCCAAAAAAAAGTGGCGGCACACAGAAGGCCAAGACACAGAGCCATGCACTTGCGCGGCGCCATAAGAAAAAACCTACATTTCCACGTGGGTCGTGGCCCACGCGTCGGCTGTCCATAGGCCGCTATTTACTAAACAGCACAAACCTCCGATGGCCGCAGGCCTCCTGCCTGTCCAATGGCCTAAGCACGCACGCGGCGGCTCAGCGCCAGCATGGCTCGTCCTATCGTGCTGCCGCCTTGCCCTTCTTGCGCTTGGTTGGCCGGATGAGCGCATCCTGTGGTGTTAGTACACATACTTGGGATCGCTAGGCATGTAGCCTACGGCGTACCTTGCTGGGATCGTCTGCGTCGCCATCCGCTGCGTCGTTGTCGTCCGCAGGTTCTTCGTCCACCTGCGCCCTGTCAGTATCGTTCATACATACGCCATATGCGTCTTCGTTGTCCGGCGCACCTTCTGCCTTGATGGCGCGGGCTTTGGGCATCGCTGCAGAGTGCTGAAAGACAATAGGACTACAAGTCAGTGCGCGTCCATAGATACATACTGATCGCCTGCGTTATAGGCACGTGTAAATGCCGCCTTGACAGGCGCAGACAGTTTCTTCAGTTGGTCCTCACGACGCCGCTCACTTCCGAGCTCCAGCTCAACAAGCGTATCGCGATCTTCTGGAATGAGATAGTACTCATCCATCGCTTGAATGACCTCCGGAATCGCCTCTTGGCCACGCTGAAGAATAGGATCGACGACCAGCGAGAGCAGGCCAGGCACATACGACTGTCGCACATCGTCTTTCGAGCCTGTCGTATGCAGCCGCAAGCGCGTTTGCAGCTCCACCAACTGGCGCTGAAGCCGCATGCGTTTCGAGTTCTGGCCAAGGAAGCTGGGATGAGAGAATATCAAATACGTACGAGGGGAACGAGGGGAACGACGAATGACCGCCGTACATGTAGGAGCAGGGACGCACACTGCTTGCAATGCCATGCAGGGGCATGAGTGACCAGTGCTGTTGTGGTCCATGCATCAGCGTATCCACCAAATCGCCGTCAGAGATGGAATGCGACGCTTGCGCTAGCAGCTGCAAATGCTTCCACTCTCGCAGACGCGGGACAGATTCTTTCTGAGCGAGCACAGGCTGGCTTTTGATATAGTTCTCTTGAACCATGAGCGGTACCAACGAATGGTCCTGGAAATAATAGTCCAGTTTGTCGTTGAGCGATTGCCGATTCAGAGGTCCAAAGCGCTGTGGACTGGCCAGTTCGCCATACAGAGAGAACGGCGTTTGGAGCGTAGGCTTTTGGTTCGCCGCCCCGAACGCTTTGCTTTCATCAAATGTCATCTTGTGCTGCGACAATTTCCATGTCGAGAGCATATTGGTCACCGACCGCAAATCACTTTGCGCCGCTACAATCAGCTGGTCCATCACTTCGGCAGGGATTTGCAGGCCTTCGCGGAACGCGATCGATAGCATGCGTGAGCGAATTGCTTGCACCGTAGGCTTAGCAAATGTCATGTTGTACGTCGTAGAATAGAGGGGCTGCATCTTTGGATTGCGACGGTCGTTGCAGATGCAGATAATCGGGACCTCGGTCTTGCGGATCAGCACATTGATTGCGCCAATGCCACCGCGATCACCACCGGACATGCCATCGACTTCGTCCAGAATAATGGCCAGCCGGTGATGCGTCTTGGTCTCGCCACCATGCGCCCATCCCGCAATGGAGCTGTTGTGGATCGTGTTGGAGAGAGCACTTTCAAGGAGCTTCTTGCTGCGTGTATCGCTCGCATTGAGTTCTAGCACTTCGTAGCCTTCTAGTTGGCATACCAAGTGCACGGCTGTGGTTTTTCCAATGCCTGGCGAGCCGGATATCAGCATGGCTCGGAAGGTATTTGTCGCATTGGGCCCGGGTTTCTTGAAATGTGCCTTTAGCGACTTGGGCCAATCATGAAGCCATGCTTGCAGTTTCTCGATGTTGGCCTTGTTGCCTACCAGCTCTTTAACGCTGCGTGGCGCGTACTTGGACGTCCACAGCTGCCCAGGCGTCGTAGGCGCTTCCAGAGCCTTGGCCGCCGCTTGGACTTTCTTCTCTTCCGCCTGCATTTTGGACATGACACTGGGGTCCAGCTTTTTCGTGCCACGATCAGCAATGAGCGCAAGAAATCCATCTTCATCGAGCGTCTTGAGCTTGTTTTTCTGGATCGTCTCGAGTTTCTTCGGACCTGCGCCATCGCCCAGAACGACATACGACGTCTTGGACGACGGAGCTGTGGTGACTTTGCTGCCATGTGAGTTGTACGATAGATACGTACGCGCCATAGCGCTTAGCAAGATCCACTGCATCTTCGCGCGATAGGCTGGAAAGCTCGCCGGTGAACACGAGCGTAAGACCAGCTAAGCAGTTGGGCTGGCCTTCCGGGATCGGCTTGCTGCCTGGCGCCACAGGCCCTGCAGCGCGACGCTGTGCAGCTGACTTCCATGCCGGTATACCATCGGTTTTTGGACGCTTGTCCGGCGCTGGCGCGGAGGATTCGCCTTCGCGCTTCATACTTCGGCACGCGGTCGAGAGCCGTACGATGGTCGAGGGACGTGCAGGTGGAGGTCGCGACGCGTCGCTGTCACCGTCGCGTGGCATCGCGTGGACCTCACCAGGCGCCACGCCTTGGGACGCCTCTCGATCTGGATAGGCCCACTACCACCGACGCCCGTGCACGACGCCAGTGCTATGGCCACATCGAAGGACGGCATGGCCTATGCGTCGGCTGTCGTAGTCTCTATCACGCCCAAACAGCCGTCGTTTTTTGCGGGCGAGACGTTTGAATGCACCATTACCTTTACCAATACCCATCCCCCTATCCGGGCCGCAGAGCATCGTCGCTCTCTGTCGGCATCACCGCAAATGCGCAGGGTGGCCTCGGACGTAGGCTCTATGCATGCGTCATCTTCATCGGCCATTACCATCACGCCAGCCTCGCCAGTGGAGACGTGGCCATCGTCCGGGACGGAACCACCGTCACGCCTCGGACTTCTTGGACCCAGGACACAACATGAACGTGCTGGTACGCCTTCACGACGACGAACCACGTTTGCCTCTCGGAGAGAGGCTCCTAGGCCTGAGCGTGGTGCCAAAGCTGTGCCTTCGTCGCATCCCCATGCCCGGCAAAAATCCGTGGTAGCATACCAAGTGGAAGATTTGAGTCAGGCGTTTGGGCTCTTGCAAGCCCAGGAGCGTCCGATACCGAAAGAGATACCTACGTCGCCGTACCCAGATCCCTATGCTACCCACAACAAGGTCATGGACGCTGCGCTACGTGAGTCTGTGGCCAGCTGGGCCAACGATGCGCAGCTGTTGGAACATACCTCGCAAAGTCCGCTCTTTCCATCGCGCGATACCCTTCCGCCGGGCCACGAAAAGTTGCTTTGGGCCTTTGCTCAGATCGGCGGCACGATGGAAGTGGAGCGAGGGATTGTACGGCCAGCGGACTTTGACCAACTACGCATGCGCTTAGCGCGTGGCGAGATGCCCAGCCCTATGACCACAGCCTCGCCGTCGCCATCGCCGTCGCCAGCCCAGTCGCCCGCTACGCCTCGTACGCTGGGTGGTGGTGAGTTGGGCTACGATGCCGAATACGAGGCAGGGACCATTGACATCGAGACGGGCGCGCCGACGGCCACAGCTACGCATGATCTGCGTGCGTCGCACGTCCCTGCGATCTCTACGATTGCTGCGCTGCTATTCCGACCTATGCAGCCAACACGCTCGCCACATACACCGCGTCATTGGCGCACAGGCTCCACGTTGTCCGATATCCAAACGCGGGCCCTGCTGAGCCCGACGTTGCCGACGTATTCGGCACCGCCGACGATGCTGGATGTGGATGTAGAGCTGGCGCCAGGCGAGAGTCGGTCGTATACCTTTTCTCTACGGCTCCCGGCCGATCTTCCGCCCTCGTTCCATGGCCATGCGGTGCACTTTGACTACTACCTTACTATTGGAACCAACCGAGTCGACCCACGAGTGCGCGGAATGCAAGAATCACGGCTCTTGCATATACCTATCCGCGTATACAATCACGTTGTACCAGGTGCTGGCCCTCTTGCCTGCTTTGATCTGCTCAACCCCGTTGTGGCCTCGCAGTCGGAAGGCCACGTCGAGGTGCAGAGTGCCGTATCTGCAAAGCAGCCCGATGCAGATGACCACGAGGAACGTACGCGCCTCTCGTCGTGGGCGCAGGAACTGGTACATGGTCATGTGCATGCACATCGCACAGACACCGCAGCGCCGCTTTCGTCCATGGACGCCATCAACGACCTCGCACAGCGCGCCAGCAAAGTCACCTACGACATCGCGAAAGATGGCCACGTGGCCGCGCTTCTTACCCTCGCACGGGCCAAGTACAAAGTGGGCGATAGCGTCCAAGTGCTGCTCCGCATGAACGAGCCAGGGGCGACGGTGCGTATTGTCCGTGTAGCCGCCTCGCTAGAGTCGCATGAAGAGGTGGATGCGTCCATGGCGCTTCTTCCCCCGGGCCGTACGCAGACCATGACGCGCCAAGTCTATGCCACTCAACACGAGGCCACGCTCGATACGCGGCAGACGTGCCTCTGGCTCCCGATCCCCAGTGGCGCAACGCCGGAATTTTCGACCAGCGGCATTCGGCATCGCTGGTCGGTCCGCATCTCGCTCCTGACGCAGATGGCCGACGATGGCACCTCCAAGGTAGCGCCACCGCCTCATCTCATGTCGGACACACAGGCGTTTGCGGCCTTCCAGACATCGTTGCACGACGTGCCGGTGCTGTGTGGACGCCAAGGTACCACAACATCACGCTTGGAAATCGTCGAATGCTCCGTCCCTGTGATGGTCCTGCCTCATCGATCGCAGCGCAAGACAGATCCTGTGTTGTTGTATGCATAGACGCGCTATAGATCAAAGCTCATCCGACCATGGACGTGCTTGAGACCGGGGGCTATAAGTAGTCGTCGCAGATAGTGGGGAGATGGTATGAGAAGAAAGCGCATCGGTCAGCCGCGCAAGCAGGTCCTCCGTCGGCCCGGTGACACTCGGTAGGGCAGTAGACCCGATCGCGCTGGGCCGATCGTCGTGCACGACGTCTGAGGTCTCTGTCGTGCTCGGCATGGCCTCTGCAATGGGGTGGGAGGACGTCTCTTCGACATCGGTCGTTGCTGGGGTAGATTCATCTGTCATGGCAGGCGTGGCTTCCACGGTCATGTCTGGTGTACTCTCTGGCTCAGCCTCCAAGGACATGTCAAAGCGAGCATCAGGCTCGACTTTGGGTTCTACATCGGGCTCGACGTCACGCTCGATGTCACGCTCCGCCTCGGGGGCAGATGCAGGCTCCGCCTCGGTCGTAGACGACTCTGTGACGGACGGCCACGCATCGTCGAAATCAGAAACGGCATCGACATATACCTCGTCTGGTGTCTCCAACGCTGGATCGCTGATGCCCTCCGAGGGGAGCAGATCGTCGTGAAGTGCCTCAATGTTTCCACGCACAGACTCGTCCTGCATAATATCCTGTGACGTCCATGTTGACGGTGGCATATCTTGCATCGCGTCCGCACCTGCGGACGAGCCATGAGTATCACGCGGTAAATACATGTCATCCCAAGCTGTAGTCGACGATGACAACGATGACGACGGCGCACTATACGCAGATCCAGGCGTTGCCTGACTCGGCATGTGCGATGCGACAGATGTATGCATCGCAGCTGCAGCGGACGATGCAGCGGCTGCAAGCGACGACGCACCGCCCCATGCCCCTGCACCGACGTAGTTGGTCGCTCGCCAAGCGGTACCGAGCGCCCAGATCCCGCGGCTGAGTACGCGAACATACAGAATGTATGCGACGCATCCCACAAAAAACAGGATCGAGCCCGCAAGAATCCCGAAATCTACCAGCTCGGCACGCTCCATCTGACGAATAAGGGAGATGGAGTCGCGAAGTAAGTCATTGAAGGATTCATACTTTTGCGAGACTTGCGAGAGGACGTCTGACGACTCCTCCAGCAACTGAGCCGAGTAGCCCGACTTTTCTAATTCTCCTGACATAAGGGCCACGGTCCGTTGTAGGGCACTGGTAACCTGCTCTGACGTGGCACCTGCCCGGTCTTTGGGACCGTCCAGCGATGTGACTGTGGCTTTTGGCGCGGTGCCTAGGAGCGCTGTTCGCGCCGCCATATGTTGGTGTGCTTGCACCGCCCTGTGGGCCGTTAGCAAGGCACGCCGGGTATCTTGACGGAGGGCCTGGAGCGCCTTGCGCTGCTTGTGTGCCATATCCCGAAGCGCCTGCCGTTCTTCAGGCGTCTCGCCTTCCTCGACGTCATCGTCGAGCTGCTGTACAAATGAGGCTATTTTGTGGAGTGTCGCTTGCAGCTCTGCCTCAAGCTCAGCCAGGTCACTGGCGCTCGTACATGCCACGAGGCGTGGGACTTGTACTTCCTTCACATCGTGGAGTCGGCGCTCGATGGCGTCGCACAGCGACGAAGGCGCTGGCGCACGTACCACGTTGGCCATCCTAGGAGACCGACCGACACAGCGACACACGATGACGCACACGCATGGCCCCCTCCTGCGAGATGACATGTGCTGAGGTAATCTCGCCGCCGGCGCACCGGAGGATGCGGGGAAGGCAAGTGTGAAATTCGGCCTCGGCGACCACGCATTGCCGTGCATGAACGTGGGCCTACTCTGGCGTCTGCGCAATAAAAGGCAGGTCTGGCCATCCCAACGAGATTCGCATAGCCCCTCGCATATCATGTCGGATTTCAAGGCGCCTTTTACGCTGGACACGATCGTCAACTTTTTGGACGTGGTGCCGTTTTCGGCACCCTTCCTAGTGATTCTGCCGCTCGCTGCACTGGTCATGGATCGCCGTGGCCAGAGCGTCTCGCAGATCCTGACAAACCTGCCGACGCTGCGCGGCTGGTACGAGCTTTTGTCCAAGCGCCATGTGTGGCTCTACCGCATCATGATTGTCGTCGTACTGCGCCTGGTCAGCAAGCGTCTTTCGCGTCGCGCTATCAACCTGGGCGTCCCGAAGGCCGACCGTCCCAACTGGAAGAAGGACGTGATGGTGATCACTGGTGGTGCCACCGGTATCGGTAAGGTCGTCGTTGAGCTGGTCTCGCGCCGCTACGGTGGTCGCATTGCTGTGCTCGACGTGGCCGAGCCGACATACGCTCCGGCCGCGAACGGCGCCCCGGAGATCCTGTACGTCCGCACGGATGTGACCAAGGCCGAGTCGATTGCCGCGGCGCATGAGAAGATCAAGCAGACGTTCGGTGAGTCTCCGTCGATTGTTGTGAGCTGCGCTGGTATCGCTATCGGTGGTAGCATCCTGGATGTGTCGACCAATGCATTCCGCCGCACGTTCGAGATCAACGCGCTGGCGAACGTCAACCTCGCCAAGGAGTTCCTGCCTTTCATGGTAAAGAACAACCACGGTCACTACATGACGGTGGCTAGCTCGGCTTCGTACTACTCGCTGCCGATGCTCGGCCCGTACTCGCTGAGCAAGGCGGCGGCTCTGGCGTTCCACGAGACGCTGCGTGCTGAGTTGCGTGCTGTGTACAATGCGCCGCGTGTGCGTACCTCGATTGTGACGCCGACCAAGGTGAAGACGCTGCTGGGCTACGCGCTCAAGGACACGAAGAACCAGTTCATCAACCGTGTGCTCGAGCCGATTGAAGTGGCTACCGCTATGGTGGACGCGCTGGACAGTGGTCTGGGCCACTCGGTGTCGCAGCCGTGGTCGACAAAGATCCTGCCTTTCATCCGCGCTATGCCGGAGTGGTTCCGTTCGTTTATCGCTGCTACGGGTGACACGGACCAGGCCGTGACGGCCGAATCGATCGCTAGTGGTCTCAAGGCTGGTTACGGTAAGAGCCTGGGTGCCGAATTCTCGGATGTGTTTAATGAGATGGCCTCGCGGGTATGTATGGAGCGCGGTGACAGTGACTAACTATCTCAGTTCGGCGGTACGAAGGAGTAGACCATAGCCCTCGATAGGAGAGACGCCTGCCCCGTGCGAGATCTGGTCATGTGACGCTAAAGCGGAACGAATGTGCCTTGCCGTTGGTACATCTACGTTCTGGCAAATCTGGCGAATTTTGGCGTACGATGGATCGGGCGGCCTTCGCCGCGTTCCATGCCGCTCACTTTGAGGATCCATCACAGCGCAGTTGGTTCGCGCACCATCTTCAACACAGTGATGTGACAGTCCCACCCACAGCTGAGATAGCAGAGTGGACGGACGAAGCATGGGAAGATACATGGACGCAGCTACGCCCAGGCGAAAGCCTAGAGCAGTGGCAAGCACGGCACGGCGTACAGTACCTTACACCGGGCGCAGTGCGTATGTTTGACCAAGCGCGTCGATTTCGCGAGCAACACACCGATGCACCAGATACCCACGCCGTGGCGAAGCCAGGTGACCAGACTGTGCAACCTACGTCCAGCACGACGACATCCCAGCCGGACGAACTTACTCAGCTACGTGAGCGTGCTATAAAAGCCATGAAAAAAGGACGTTCTCACACGTCGTCTCCATCCAGGTACGTGCACCTATATAGTTGCATGCGCGTCTCGTTCGAGGATGTACCGTCATCCTTATTCGCGATTTGTGAGCGAGTATTTATCTGCGTTGGTGCCGTGGCCTGCCTGTCATACTGGATGGCAACATCGCAGCATGGCAGCCAGATCCGGCCGCCTCGCCTATGCCTGAGAACGAGGCGCGTACATACGTTATCACAGCCGAACCGCGTTCTTACCTTACCAGGGCTACGAGCACCATCACGTGACCGAGCAAGTGCCGGGGGCGCCCGCACTCGGGTCACCTGTTACGACCATAGCTCCTCTTTTTCTTTGTATCCATATTTGCTAACTATGTCGTTTGTCCGTGCTGTGGTTTCTCGCTCGGCTGCTCTCCGTGCTGCGCAGCCGACGCTCCGCCGCTTCAACTCGTTCACGCCGAACCCTGAGGCTGCGAAGGCCTTCATTGACGCTCGTCAGCACGCTTTCGAGCACGCTGCTCGTATGTATCCATCAACACAGGGGCCTGTCTACACAGGCCCCTGTGTCCTCAAGAATCAGAGCTAACTAGACAGAGTCGACTTCGCTGTGGCGCAAGATCAGCCTGTACGGCATGATCCCGAGCGGTATGTATCCATATGGACGATCAATGGCGCTAACACTACGTAGCTGCTGTTCTGGCTGTGTACATTTACAAGATCGAGTCGGAGCACGCCGCCCACCAAGCTCACGTTCTCGAGGAGAACGGTGGTGAGCTGCCGGAGCGCCCAGACTACGAGTACCTGGTACGTGGCACTAGGAGGCAACCCGCTAACTATACAGAACATCAAGAACAAGAAGTTCCCTTGGGGTCAGCAGTCGCTCTTCTACAACCCGAAGGTGAACTACCCCTCGCCTGAGATGTAATGGTCCTTGATATCTGATATCGTAGCACACCGCTAAGAGTCCTTTTTTTGCGTACGTTTGAGTGTGTTGGTTTTTGTGTAGACCCCTCTTATCTTGGCAAGCCCCTCTCGCCTTGTCGCTTCCTCAGTAGACGTACCCCTGATGCTTGTGGTATGCATGCATTTATAGGTAGGTACGAGCGAGAGTGCGGTACAGCGCTCTACCTACCTGCCTGGCCATCATGCAGCCCTACTACGCGCACGGCAACGCGAGGCTCGCCCAAGCAAACGTCGCGAGCCCACGGCAAACCGAGAAACATTATATGACTGTGCTATAGGTACGTACTACATTTATTCCGCATCGCGCGAGCCATCCGCATCGTCAAAGAGGATCTCCTCGATGCGACGCGACAGGGCGGCGATCTCCTTCTCCGGTGCAATCTCCTGACTGCTGCCCATATCAGCATCACCAGCGCCCTCATCTTCACTGTCCACGCGCGCCTGCAATTGGTGCACGAGGCTCAGGAGACGGGAGCTATCGCGGATATGCTGTTCCAACTCATTGTTGCCGCTTTCCAGCAACTGAATCAACGTCCATACAGCAATGTGCTGGAACGTGGTATCGTCAGACTCGAGGAAGCGCACCAGGTAGCCATGCAGACCGCCTGCTGGCTTCTCCCACACGGCGTTGAATGGCGTGTAGTCTTCGGCTTTGCTGCTCAGGTTGCCCAGCGCCGCTGCCGAGTTGCCCTGGACTTCCACCGAGGGCGAGTCTGTGAGCGGCAGCAGCACCTCGCAAATACCCATGTCAAGCAGCTGCGGTTTCAAGTCTTCCGACAGCGCAAGCACTGCCGTGCAGGCTGTCATCTCACTTTGCACGCTGAGCGGCACATGAAGGACCAACTCCTTGATTCGCTCCACCGCACCTGCATCGATAATCGCTGCCTTGTTACGCTCACTGCTCGCGGCCAAGTTGCGCAGCGTGCTAATCGCATGGCATTGCAGCTCCTCGTTCTCCTCATGGCTCAGCAATTCAATCAGCGGGTGCAAGAAGCCCGCCTCGATGATCGGACTTTCGTTCATCGGGTGGATCGACACGTTTCGCACACACGCTGCCGCAGAGAGGATCAGCGGCAGGAAGGACGAACGAAGCAGACGCAGCAGCGGCGGCAGACCGTTCGAGCGCACAATCTCAATTTGGTACTTCTCGTCGCTCGCCAGGTTGCGCAACGCAAGCGCAGCTTGGCACTGCACCTTCAAACTACCGCTCTCCATGAGGCCAATCAGGCTCTGTACCAAGCGCGGCTCCGTCTGTGCCAACTTCTTGCGGTTCACAGAATCCACAGCAATGTTGCTCAGGGCCGTTGTGCAGTAGTACTGCACATCCGTGTCGGTGCTACCGAGCAGGGTGACCAGCACTGAAATTGCTCCGGCATTTACCAACTGCTGGCGGTTCTCATCGCTGTGTGTCATATTCAACAGGGCGCCTGCAGCATTACGCTGCACACGGATGTCCTTCGACCGCGCCAATCGCGTCAGTGGCACCAAGGCGCCAGACTTGGCAATCTTCGTCTTGTTTTCATCGTGCGTAGCAAGGTTGGTAATGCATCCCACGGCGTTGCATTGTACCTCAACATTGGGACTGAGCATCTGACGGATCAGCGGCTCCAAGCCACCAAGCTTGACGATCAACAACTTGTTCTCCTGGTTCACAGCGAGGTTGCCAAGCGCAGCACTAGAGGCTCGCTGCACTTCCACATCATGCGACTGCAGGAGGAATAGGATCGGCTCAAGCGTCTCACGGCCGACTTCCCGCACTTCCTTCTCTGTAATCTCAGCAAAGGCCAGCGCGGCACTGCGTTGCAAGTCGACATTGTCACTGAACGACAGCGTAGACAGTGCACGGAGTGGCTCACCAGCGAAAAAGTTAGTCTCCGAGCGGTCTGTCATGTAAGTCACGTTGCCTATACATACTCTCCAGGTACTGCAGCAGGTCCGCTACAGCATCACGCTCATTGTCCAGAAGCAAAGGCTCGTACTGCGGGCCTCGAGAACTCACACCTGTTGCGTCAGATGGTATGTCAGTCATACATACAGCAACTACAAAGATTTCCCATTTCGACAGGCTAGGCTAGGCTAGGCGTAGCTTGTCTGTCAGGCGCTCACGACGGCGGCACTCAGGTGCACAATGATGCCTTAAGTTCGTGGCTCACAGCTACCTTGCCACTGACAGATACGCCGGGCAGCCCATCGATTCTCGTTTCGGCCGATGCGTGTGGGAATGTGGAGGCGTCAAAGCGTCGCAGGGCACTGCTGCACCGTGCTGCGCCGCGCGACGTAGCCCCATTGCACCTGGGGATCATGGCTGCTGCAGGTGATCTACCTGGTCTATTTTACAGGAAGGAACCCGAATGTCCCGTAGAAAAGCGCGTAGAGAGTTGCGTAGCATCTTTAATAGAGCGTGACCGCGTACGCTCATCCATCAATCGTGAGCCTGCGCCCAGCACTTTGTCTTTATCAAACAACAGAGGCGCATACTCGCCATGGGCTTGCCGATCTTCTTCTTCACGCTGTGCACGTGTCTTACGAGGGGGCGAGCGCGAGCGGGACCGCGAGCTCGTACGATCACGATCGCGATGGCGCGAGCGATGACGTGAATGTCGCTCGTCGCTGTCCTCATCTCGCCGACGGTGGGATCGATGGTGACGATGCCGCGATCGATCCTCGTCATGTCCTCGACTTCGGTCTGAGGACGAATGCCGGTGGTGCTCATGGTGCCGGCGTCGATGAGATCGATCCTCATCAGGATCGCGATCATGAGAGGGCGACGATGTAGATGTGTGCCTCTTCAGCTCATCGCGCCTGCGCGACTGATACTGCTCCAGCAAGCTTTGCTGTCGATCCGCATTCTGTGGTTAGATAGACGGTACGTACCAAAGCTTGGACTTTTTCGCGAATGGCAGCATCACGAGCTGCTGCACGTTCACGTTCCTGCCGGGACGCGCGGTCCTCGGGTGTATCAATGCCACTGCCGCCCACGCCTTTCTGCAATCGCTCCAGTCTCTGAGCAGGCGTTTCGGTCCAGAGACGTTGCGCTTCCGAGGCACTTTCGCCACTCACATGCTGTGCCCGCCCTGTATTTTGCTGGAATCCACGAGCACGGAGAGGTCCTCCGCCCATCGGCCGGGCCTCGTTCATCGATGGCATGGTTAGCATCCAGTCAGGGCGGGCTGATGCGGCCGTGTCCTTGGAACGCCGTTCTTGCTCTGCCATTTCACGCTGGCGCTGTTCGCGCTCGGCAAACGCACGTACAGCTTCAGACACGGGGGTATCGGCATCAGAAGCGGTGTCTGTGGCCGGCATAGGCCCAATGACTTCGTCATCGCTTTCGTCCTCGTGCATCGACGGCATGCTCCACGCCGTCGCCGAGAAGGTATGTGGAGAGGGGCTGGGCGCACAGAGGTGGCGCCTTTTTAATGACCCACCCACGCCAGTCATGTGATCTCGCACGTACATCCTTTGGGCTGGGACCACCACGATGGCCGACGCGGAGCGACCCAAGGACAAGGTCCCGATTCCCGGCGCGGAAGGCTGGCTACGTGTGACCACAACACATGGGAATGTATTTTACGCACAAAAAAAGACCAAGCGATCCGAATGGACGATCCCAGAGGAAATTCGGCCACAAGTTCTTGCATTCGAACGATCGATGGGCATTGTGCATGAAGAGGACGAAGACGATGAGGACGAGGCGGTTGAGGCACGTCAGGTAAAAAGGGCACGGATGGAAGAGGATGATAAGAATGATGATGGAGAGGGAGACGAGGTGTCTGCGGAACAGGCAGCTGCTGCTATGGATCCTGTACCAACTTCTGACATGGCACCAGCGAGTCCTGAAGCGCAAGAGCCAGAGGTGCCATGGGAAGAGGCTAAGGCGCAGTATATGGATATGCTTACCTCGCTCAACGGCACACCCAAAGAAGTCAACCCCTTAGCTCCATGGGATCGGGAGCTGCCGAAGTTTGTACACCATCCCTCCTACCGCATCCTTCCTACGCTGCAGGATCGCGAAGATGTATTTAATGAATGGTGCAAGTTCCGTCTACGTGAAAAGCGAGAAAAGGCGCGTGAGAATGCCTCCGAAGACAAATTCAAGGCGCTGCTGCAGAAGCAGGTGCAATCGACACGTACTGAATTCAGCGCTTTTCGCGAGAGGTTTGGCAAAGACCCTACCTTCCAAGCTCTGGTGCGAGACAAGTCGGAGGCGCGAGCAGAGCAGCTCTTCCGTTCCTGGCTCCACGAACTAGGTGAGATCAAGTTGCGTAAGGCGAAAGAGGCGGAGGACGCGTTTCTGGTGCTGCTCTCAGAGTCGCTCTCTGCCTCCACTATTCTCCGTGAACAGCAAGCGTCGCTTCCCATTGACAAGGAAACGTCTAACAAGCTATGGGCTACGTCCAAAAAGATACCAGGTCTTGCTCAAGATCCTCGCTACGATGCAGTAGGCAGTGCTACTCGGCGCGCCGAGCTCTTCCAACGGTGGCTCTCTACGCCCGCGTCATCAACAACACCTGCACCCACTCGTCTTTCCAAAGCGGAGCGTCAGGCACTTGCCCTCGAGCAGCGCGAAGCCCAAGTGCGTCGAGAACGTGCTCGGCATCAGCACCATGCTACTGTTGCATTGACGAATGCGCTGGATGAGCAGCGTGAGCAGGATTTCCAACAATTGCTCATCGATACCGTTCGTGATCCATGGCTTATCTGGGAGGATGCTATCCCATTGCTATCCAAAGATGCTCGTTTCGCGCCAGCTCGACAAGTACGTGACTCGCTGCGCGACGAAGCCAAACAGGCCCTTTTTGCCGAGCATATACAGCGCCTGCAGCGGAAGCGGCGCGATCAACTTGCACGACTTTTCGCGAAACATGCCGAAGACGATCGTGGTGTACTTCAGCTGAGCCGCGGCTCCGATGTGATTCTGCCACTCGTTCGTGCTGATGAAGCGTATATTCAGTCTGGGCTTCCGCGCTTCGTGGGCGAGGATGCGGGCATGCACAAAGCAGCCGCTACGACGTCATTGGAAGCTGAATTCGAGGCATGGGACCAGTGGCGGCAACAGCAGGCGCGCGATGACTTTTTCACGATGCTTCGGGAGAATGCGTTTGTCGACTTCTGGGGCCGTTTACGCAAGGAGGGCGAAGGCAAAGACAATGCTCCTTCGACCTCTGCCTCTGCACCGGCCGCTGAAGATGAGGACGATGAGGACGATATGACTGTCTCCCTCCTGGATATGGCTTCGCAGTTGGACCTGCAGGCCATGGAGTCGGTGCTCAAGGTATGTTGTCTTTTTTTTTCACTAACTCTACAGGCGGACAAGCGTTACAAGGTATTTGCGCATCGACCTGAAGAACGTACGAGGATGCTCCATGATCATTTGCGCCAGCTGAATGTCCAGAAAAAAACGATTCACCAACACCACATAGGTTCTTAGGCCGGCAAGAACAAACGTGTGTCGAGATAAAAGCCCAAGGCGGTACCTGGGATACCGATGAACCAGGAAGACGATGGCGATGCAGGATATGTGGAACTGTCGTCACAGCGTGGGTATCGCGGCGTAGGCGAGAAAAAGCCACGGTTTTTGCCGAAGCCAAAGTCGGTCCAGCATGTCGCACATGCGCCGTTGGGCGTGGCGTGCCACAACTCGCCTGCATGAATCGGCGAGCCAAGCCACTGAAGGAAACGAGACATGCCGAAGCCCATCCGCGTATCCATGAAAGGCAGGCCTGATACATCCCACCATGTGGGCTCTGAGGGTGTGTAGAAGTAACAGGAGCTAAGCAATAGACCGATAATAATGGCACCACAATACACACTGACTGTAAGCCTATGACCATGCGAACGTACCATGGCCGCGTATGCAACGTGTAACTTATCAAGAACAGGAATAGGAATGCAGGTGGGGCAGCGGGAAAGGGCAAGAGGAACACAGGCAACCACCACCGCAAGCAGTACATCAAGGGACGAACGAAAAGAGCGAGGACAACCGAGCCTACGAGCGATTTGTGTGGAGGTGTGTGTCTGCGTGCTCTACTTAGGAGGAGGCAGCCGTGGCCGTCGCGGCGGGGTGCGGCAAATGAATGCGGTCCAAGAACGATTGCATGGCCTTGGCGATCTGCGGGTACTCAATTAGGAAACCGTCGTGGCCTTCCGCCGATTCTACCTTGACCAACTCCGAGTGGGGAATGCATTCGTGCATGAGTTGTTGCTCCTCCGGCGTGTACAGCATATCTGATGTCACAGAGGCAATGAGCACATGCGGCGCCACAGGGGATGTGCCCAAGTACTGCAGCACACTACGCAGGGTATCGTTATCGCCCGTCCCCTTCTGGACCCAGGCGTTTCGGTCACGCGCTACATCGTACGCATCGAGTTTGTCCGATAGATGGATGTAGCAGTTCGCATCGAAGCGCTGAATAAATTTAGCGCCGTGATGATGCAGATATGACTGCACAGCATACTGCTCACGCGCCTGCGCCTGCTTGATGGAGGAGACATCACCCATGTCATCTTCGTCGCCTCCTTCTTCCATGAGCGACGAGGCCTGCGACTCTTCCTGCTTAGGCGCTGCGCCGCTCAAGTTTTCTTTTCCGCGCAGCCGGCTGAACCGACGTTCAAAGCTGTGCGGCTGGCGGTAGGTAAGGAGGGCACACATACGCGCTGCTGCCAATCCATTGTTCGGCGGCTCGCGCAGGAGATAGTGCCCGTTTTGGTAGCGCGTATCCGCTTCAATTGTCTTGCGCTGAATCTCGCACCACGAAATGCACCAGGCTGACTGATGCGGCGGCGCGGCCAGTATCGCAATGGCCTTCACGTACGGCTCGCTGCCCGAGGGGAACGGCTTGGTAAGCGCGTCGTCCGAGGCCGGTTGCTTTACGGGGTAGCACAGTGGCCATTCCAAACTGGTGCAGCCACCCATCGATCCACCTGTCACGAGCGCCAGCTGCTCAATGCCGAGGTAGTCGAGGACAATCTTTTGGAGACTGTTGTCAATGAGGCATCAGATACGTACTGAACATCATCTCGAATCGTAGAGTGTGGCAGGTCCGAGCCCCACCAAATCTGCGTGTCTTGCTCCATAGGTGCATGCACATGGGGCGAGCATGTCCACGTTCCATCGGCCGCGATATCCTCGCCGCCCTTACGCGTGAGCGGGCTGAGCGATCCGTATGGCGAGCCAATGGCATTGCAGCTCACGACAAAGTACTTGGACGGGTCCAGAACTTTTCCATCGCCAAAGAGAGGCGACCACCACTCTGCTGTATCCGCATGCCCTGAGATAGGATGGCATACCAACACGGCATTGTTGCGTTCGCTATTTAGCTCTCCCCACGTTTTGAAAGCGATAGGCACATTACGCAGCTCCTCGCCACTTTCCAGCGTGAAGCTGGGGACCACAAGGTAGCGCTGTGTCAGGTTTACCGCCAATGGCGAGGTTGGCCCGGGAATCTCAAAGACGTTGCTCATCCCTGGTTGTCGTACGTAGGCAAGATGGACGTGCGACGGCTGGCGATATGCACGCAAGACGTGATTTGACTCCGATGCATCTATGTAGCACGTGCATCGTCACTGGGCTCGTCTATGGCAGGTCTTCTTCCATGTGGAGGAGAGTCTCCGCATGGGCCGAGGTACGCGTATGGGCAAGCAGGTCGTGCAAGGCAGGGCAGGCCGACGCGCATGGCGCCAGGTGGACCAGCACACGTAGCGCTGCATGAATGAGCTCGTTGAACTTTTCGACTTCTTGCTTGGTCGCATTGTCGCGCAGCTTACGGCTGAGAATCGCTTGCAAAGGCGCTACGACGTCATCCACCTGACCTAGCAGCCCTTGGCCCGCGAGGTCTGTCAAGCGGACCATCATGAGACATCCTAGCAGCTTGACACTGTCGTCGTCTTTCAATGCGCGGACGACACATTGGACCATGTCGACGACATGCAGGCCGGCCCAATGCGCATCCATCAACGTAAGCAGAGTCTCGTATGCATTCTTGCGCAGATCCAAGCCGTCATCCTGAATGACAGTGAACGGCCCCATAAGCACCTTGCGCTTGAGTTCTTCCCGCTCCCACGTAGCCTCGTACAGCAGTGGAAGGATCTGATGGGAGTACATCGAGAGTAGATCCGCACGACTGTTGATACCAGCGCGCAGCGCCATAACAGCCGCACGACGTACACGCAAATCTGCATCGCCCAGCGCCGCTACAAATACACCCACATGTGCATGAAGCATGGCATCCAGCGTATGTATACGGTCCAACGAGTACATGGAGCGCAGTGCATTCAGCGCCATCACACGCACACTGGCCTCCGATGCCTGCACCAAGGGCACCACCTCTGCAAACCGAGCCGGGTCTTCCAGCACGATGCGCGCTATGCAGTCGGCACAGGCGTCTGGTGCGACCTCAGCGAGGGGCATCGATGTGAGACTGGGCCATACCTGCGGCGCCCATTCCCGCACTTGGGCATCAGGGGCCATCAGCAATGCTTCGCGCAAGATTTGCACCGCCTCGCCATCATCTTCGCGCATCGCGTGCAAAAGCGATGAGAGGAATTGCGCATCGCCTAGTAGCATACCGCCCATAGCGACCAATCGCCCTGGCACGTCGCTTTGCTTTGCTTTGGCAAAGATCGCCGAAGCGTCAGGCCACCCCGCTAGCATGCCTTGGCGGCCTAGTTCGCCCACCGTGTAGTATCCAAGCGTCTGTGGTGCCTGCTCGGGCGACTGGATCAGGACCTCGACGCGCCCCAGGACGGATGGCAGTGCCTCGCTGGCCACGGCCGCCGCACAGAGGCATCGTGCAAACATACGTGGCGTCTGAGCACTGCGATCTGTGCCTTGCGACTCCCATGCCCGTTCCAATGCGCCAACCAGAGCAGGTGCAATGGCGTCTTCGGCGGACGCAAGCGATGTCAGCAGAGCACATAGCGCATCGAGGGCCGAGGACGAGATCTGTGCCAGTTGCGGCAGTAGAGACGGCAGGATGGTGTCCGCCACCGTACGTGCCACGCGTGGGTCATGCTGCACCGCCCACTCGGCTAGCATCAATGTGGGCGCTAGCGTAGCGGCTTCGGCTGGCGGGCTGCCCAGCGCTAGCACTTGAAGTACCGTAGGCTGCGCTTCTTGTTGGAGTTGCTTGGCTATGCTGTGCAGCGCGTGGAGAGCCATCACACCCACATCAGCGCGTCGCGTCGCTTCCGCCAACGGCGCGAGGCATTCACGTGCAAAGGCCTGGACCACTGCCACGTCACGCAGCGAGACGCTGGTCATTACATCCTGTACCACCTGGATGCATCGAGCTCGTGTCATCTCCTGCGTGAGGCGTGTGTAGACTAACGCCAGCATCTGCTCCATCCGTGGTCCCAGTGCCGTGGCTAGCGTGCACAGTGCTACATCCACGGCAACCAAGCAGGCATCACGGACCGATGCGTCTGTGTCTGTCTGTGCCAAGCGAGTACCCACCACGTCGCACAGTTCATACGCGCAACTTGGATCGCTCGGTGCCACGTACTGCAGAAAGCTGGTGGCTGTGGTCAATGCTTCCATCACAGTACGGTGGTGCGTCGATGCCATCATCGCCGCCAACGCCGCAGCTGCCCTCGGCGCTTGGGACTGCACTACGCCCGGGACTGAGGTGCACAGGTGCCGCAACAGCACAGCCCCTGCCATAGGACGTCCATGCTGCTGGGCATCTTTCATTGCTCCCAGGGCCAACTCCAAGGCTTTTTCAGGCATGGGCAGCGAAGGGCCCAAGATCGATGCCATCTGCGCCACCGCTTCCAATGCAGCCAGCTGCAGGGTAGAGCCACGCCATGCACACACGGTCGGAACGATATGGCTGTGCGACGAGATAGCATCCGGCGAGACTTGGAGTACATGGACCAGCGCACTGAGTGCTTCTGTACGCACGGTCTCTTCTCTCTCATTCAAACGCGAGGCCAGTGTCGCACACATGTAGGCTGCTGAGGAGGTAACAAAGTGAGCATGGTCGGTAAAAATTTCGTCAATCAGACGGCATGCATTTCGACGAACACGCCACGACAAGTCGTCGTCGTCTGACATTTCGTCCAGGAGATCGTCGTCGTCGTCGTCATCGATATCCTCATCGCCATCGTCGTCCATGCCTTCCATCCTGTTCGGATCATACGTAGCTTGCGCAGCCGCTGCATCCAAAATGGCATGCAAGGTATCGTGTTCACTCACACATCCACGGACCAACGCTTGCAAAGCCGATAGGCACGACTCACGAAAGTCTTCCGAGTCCTCTTTTTCATCTGCTCGCTGCAACGCTTCCAACAGATCATAGGCATACTGGGATCCATTCTGTACCAAACGCTGAGGCACTTCGCGAGCCAACGTGCCAAGCAGTTGTACGGACGCCGCCTCCGTCGTAAAGGGCGGATGGAGCCCTGCCAGACCTCGCGTTACCATCGCGGACATGGTCGAGGTACTGCACACATGGGACAATGTGCCTATCATTAGCAAAATACCCACACGTACCTAGACCTTGGATGGCTCGGCGCACCACGGCAGCACGTCGGTCGGCCATGTGCGTCAGCCACGTTTCGGCCACCGATTGCTCCCACGCTGGCTGGCCTGCGATGACCTTGCCGAGGTGGTACACCAAATCATTCATCGAGTCCAACGCACTCGTCTGTAAGCCATCTGTCGTTGATTCCACTTGCTCTGTGAGCTGTGGCACAAGCGCTTGGACCACCTTTTCGCTGCTGCTTGTCGCTTTCTCCCCAGCCTTAGCCACCTCTGTCATCATGGTCCGCAGTGCTAAGATTAGCATGTCTAGAGCATACCTAGGCATCCGATATCACGCTCTTCTTCGTCGCTTGAGCGAGCAGCCTTGCACAATGCCTCTAAAATCGCAGCAAAGCTCGTAGGCCGAACCTTCAGTGTACATGTGCCGAGTCTGCGCAAGTAAGCAGGCACACCACGTACGTCGTCACAGCCATGTTCTTCACCTCCGAATTCGTATCGCCTAGCAATGCCAGGGTCTGTGCTACGACCGCTGGCTCTGTCTTTTCGTCCAACGGGTGGTATGCATAAGTCTGCGATAGCGTTGACACCAAATCGTTCAGTGCCATATATCTAGACTGTGAGAGAATCGACGTATGCATACCGCAAGTCGGAATCTGTGGATTTCATCTAGATCTAAGCGTGCAACTTGGCACCTACCTTGTCCAAGAGCGCCTGCACATTTGTACTGCTCACCCCCATCGTGTCAAAAGCGCAAGGTACGATGCGTCGCAGGTTGGCCGGGACCTCCACTTCTACTTACGCCCTATGGGTTACGACGATGGCGTTTTCCGGCGCGTTGCGTGCGAGTGTCTTCGCCTTCATCGTCGTCGTCGTCGTCGTCGACATCGTCGACATCATCATCTTCCTCGTCGTTCCCTGAGGTATCCTGGGTCGAGGTGTCTTTCCCGATCGTGGCCATATGATCCCAGACTTCGTCGTCTTCCGCTTCCACGTCGGAAGGTGCATCATCCACGCTACGCTGCGGATCTTGTGCCAGCACCATGCCGTGTTCCACACCGGTGAAACACTGCTGCAACATCGTGCCACGACGCCTTTGTCCCTTGCCGTAGGCTTCGCCCGTATCAAAGATGCGAATGAGATGGTCCAACGAAGCACCGACGACCAACGGAGAAGCAGCGCCTTGTGGTTGGATGGTCAAGACATCCGTTAGTGTGCCGGTAATGTCCTTGTATTGGAACAGGACACGACCTGTACTTGCATCTACCATGGACAGGTGCCGCGCTGTATCGCCAACGAAGATGGCCTTCTCACATTCACTCACATGCAAGACACGCACCGATCCTTGGTTTTTGGGGAGGACTTGCCACTCGTGGGTATGCCGCGGTTTCTTGCTGGGCTGATAGGTCCGCAAGATTCCGTCCTTGGTGCCTACGACCACATGCATCGTGTCCCAGGAAGCGGGCTCCTCGGTCGACGGCGGCAGGAAGCCAATGGCGTGAATTAGAGGTGGCCGCGCTAGCGATAGATGGTCGTTGGGCAGATTTTTCGCACGCCACACTTCGCCAGGGAGCAGTTCACGTTGCTTACCGCCCTTGGAGGACGACGCTCGCTTCTTTCCTGTCTGTACAGTCTCCTCCCCTTTTTCTTCTGTGTTGGCCAACGTCGTCTGCCCTGTGTAATGCGCGAGGGTGCTTGAAATATCCCATACCGACAACAAGACTTGCTCACCACCATACACAAAATGCGTGGGGGAGGTGGATGACGGGGGGTAAAATGCTACATGGTGCAGCGGACTCGCTACAGACCACGTACAAGCACGTTCTTCCAGTTCCTCCGTGGAAGCGGCTGCCAATTCGTCCATACTTTGATAGGACAGAAGCGGTACGTAGCGGAAGAAGCCACCGGATGTACACGAGAAGAGGCCCCTGGGCGTTAGTGAAGGACATACGTACGTCTCTGTCCATGCCAAGCCGACCCATCGTTCTACGCCGACACGCATACGTGTCTCTTTGATGGTGCACAGCAGCGTGCCTGTTTTATCGTCGTCGCCACCAACGCGGGGCGCAGCTATCAAATCAATCGTAGAATTCTTACGTGCGACGGCCATCTGTGGTAAGTCCTCGCCGCATACGTACCACACAACGTGGTTCGTCCCACGGCATCCTTTTGCACACTAGCGCCTGGCATGCCATGCCTGGGCCGTATTTCGAGCCAGACACTTTGATCTCTTCGTACGAATTGCTTCGGGTATACAGTGCCTTGATGCGTCCTGTAGACTCTCCCACAAAGATACGAGCATTGGGCAGCTGGGCACCCATACTGGCCCTTTTTTCGTCGACCATCGGTCGTGGAAAAGGTAGGTAAGAGTGGAGGTGCAAAGCCTTGCATCTTTTTTTTTCGGCAACTCCACGTTTCTGCCACCTTCGCAGCGGTGCTACGTATCGTCGTCTCGTCGTCCCTATATCGGCAGGAGAGTGGGTCCCATCGTAGGAAGGTCTATGGACGTTCTATTTATATCGTAGTCTCCGTCTCAGTCACTATCTTGGCAGCGTCCGCGTTGTCTGTCTCAGACGACAGGGGCGTCTTCTCCGCGGTGGTCACGGCCTTCACCTCGACGTCCACAGGTGGCAGGCTCCGTGTCCCACTGGCTTGCCGCTGTCGTGATACAGAGGGATGGGATGGTGGCGGCGGTAAGCGACGGATTTCTTCCTTTTCTTTCCGCTCGAGTGCCTCGTCGAACTCGTCCTTAATGCCTGCTCGCTCCATCGCTTCCATCTGCTCGGGCGTGGGGGGCAAATGAATGTGTTCACCTTCCTTCAGTGTGCCCAAAGTCTCTTCCCATGCCTCATTGTTATTCGGGCCGGTAGGCATCGATCGTAGGTACTCTATCTTTTCCAGCTCGCCGGCTTGAGCTACACCGTACTCGGCCTCGCGCAAAGCACGGTACAGAGGCTCTGCCGCTTCTGGGATTTTCACCTTGCCGTCCAGAATATCGCCAGCCTTGATGCCAGGCCAGTAGTATACACGTTCGTTCTCGTCGAATCGGTCCAAGAACGCCTGGCCCGTTACTTCAATGCCAGCGTAGAAGCCACGTGAGTTCACGTACGAGTAGATGGGCGAGATCTTGGTCTTGATGTCCAAGCTGCTGTTCAGCGGCGTGCCCAGCGGGCCGGACGAGACCACCGTCTCGGCGGTGATGGCGAACTTGTGTGTCCGGAACGAATTGAGCATTTCCTCCGTGTTGATAATCAGGATGATCTGGCATTAGTAAGGCGCATACGCACATCCACGATATCTAGACCGATCACAAAACCGGCCGAATAGTAGTTGGGGCAGATACACGACGGCGGCGACCACGAGCCATCAGGCAGGCGGCCCAGCAGGAGACCTGTGCCATTCATACCACCGAAGGGCGCCAAGGCCGACTTCATACTGGTATAGATACAGATGCCTTTGGCATCGCGAATGACCTGGGGCGGGATTTTTTTTCTGGCGATGTGAGCTAGGATGTGTCTCCACGTACTTGACAATGGGGGAGCTCTTCTTATCTTGACGCACGGCGATGCCCTCTTCCGTGAACGTGCGGAGAATCCGCACACACTTTTCCACTTCCTCGGGAAAATCGTTCGACGACGGCCAGAACCGTTCCGCTCCCAACCCTGTGGCATGAGTGCGAGCGTGGGTACGTACGCTTCGATGCGGAGTTGGCATATCCTGCAGCCCAATCGTTGATTGCAACGCCCTTGTTGGCCACGGACTCGCCCCAGACCTGCCACCGGCTCTTTTCCTTCGCTTTACGCTCCGGTACCGATGGATTGTCTTTGTGCTGCGGCGGTGGCAGAGGTGGTGTGGACATAATGCACACGCTCAGGGACAACGTACTACGGTGGTCGGTGCCTCCTCGGTCGTAGCGTGCGCGAGCGGCCTACCTCCACGTGGGGCAAGTCACGTGATCATATCGGCGCGTCGCGTTGGTGTTGCTTTGGACGCCCTCGGTGTTTCGTGCGTACGTGGAGCCACGATGTCGATGGACGCGGCCCGCAGTCGGCATGGCATGCCGAAGGGCCCTCTCGTTTCGTACCTCTGTGACGTGGTACTGAACGACTTGGCTAAGAGTCAGGGTATGTGTTGGTGGTGTGTCTGGCTGACGACACAGTGCCTCGCCTGGAAGTCCTGCTTCATCAGCTGGGCCAGCAAGTGTATGCATCGTCGCATCCCGACGAAGACAAGAAGGCCGGGCTGACGGGCCTACGTGGTGAGCCGAGCCCGGTGGTGAGCGAGGTATGTAGAGAGTGGAGCTCTGACACAGACGGCGAGCGTGTTTTCCAATGGCGACGTGAAAGTGACCAAGGCGTTGGAGTATGCCCTAGCCGAGCTCATGACGACGGAGCGCAGCTATGTGGCCCGTTTGGAGGCGTTGTACAACGTATGTTCTAGTCTACTCACAGCAGCGATACGCTACGCCGCTTCTGCAGTTGGCCAAGGACAAAGATACACAGATCATTCCCAGCAAGGAGGCCGAGGCGATCTTCAGCAATGTGGGCGATATCCTCGCGGCGAACAAGATGATGCTGGTGGAGCTGGAGGTGGAATACGAGCAGGGACCGCAGCAGCTGGCCTCCGTGGTAGGCGATATCCTTCTGCGCAATGTACGTGGCCGACCTACATACTAACAGTAGATGCACATGTTCGACTGCTACGTCGCCTACTCGGCCCACTTTGAGCGTGCGCAGCATACGTACAACCAGATGCTCAAGCACCGTGGCTTCCGCGAGTACATTGAGCGGACGCAGCACTCGACGCATGACCTCGGGAATGCCGGCTTGCGTGAGCTGATGATCGAGCCTATGCAGCGTATTCCTCGGTATCAGCTGCTGATCAGCAACCTTCTCAAGCACTATCCTACAGAATCGACGCAAGCCCAGCAGCTGCAGGACGCATCGGCCGTCGCGACGATCATTGCGTCGCGACGCCTGAGCGAGGGGGAGCGTCAAGCAGCGGTGCTGTGGAGCTGCCAGCGCACGATCAATCGCTTCCCGCCGGAACTCTCGAGTCCCGGCCGTGAATTGCTGGGATGCATTGATGTGGACGAGCCGACGTCTGAGACGGCGCCGTCCAAGGTGTTCACGACGCTGGGCTCCGTGCTGGGCCGCCGCTCTCGCTCGTCGTTGGCGCTGCTTGTGTTTACCGATGTGCTGGTCCTCGTCCAGCGTCATTCACGTACGCCGACCCATTTGTTGCTCGGCGTGCATGACCCTGACGCGCTGGCCGAGCGCATGCGTACATCGTACCAAAGTGCACCGACGCAGTCCAAACGGTCGGACTTGACGTTTGCCGGGATGGTTGACTTGATGGATGTCTGCGCCACGAGCGAGACCTCGCGTGAGCTCCAGTTTGTGTTTGAGCGTACGCTGCGTGGCAGCAACAACAAAGTGCTGCTTCGTCGCTTTGTGGATGCGATGCCCGACACGGATGGCTCGCACATTGCGCTGTTCCTTGAGTGTTTGTGGCGTGCTCAGGCGGTCCACCGCGCCCGCGGCACGTCGCTGGCCGTGCGTGAGAGCACGTCCATCTCGGCGTGTGGACCGCTGACGATGTTCTGGACGTTGTACACTCGTTCGCAGTACCAGCGCCTGGAGGCCAAAGAGCGTCTGCTGCTGTACATTGGCGCCACCGACTCGAGGCTCTTGGAGACGTACAAGCGGTCCAACGAGATCTGCGTGGCGCTGGATCTGAAGGACGAGGTCGATGCCTGCACCGTGACCATTTCGCGCGACTGGGGTATCAAGACACGTCGCGCGCTGTGCTCGCTGCGCGATGTGCCTCGTGTGTGTGCCGACTTGCTGGTCCTCCCTACGATCCCGCCATTGCCGGAGGCGCCAGCTCCTACGCCGGCCGCGTTGGTGCCTACGAAAGCCGCGCTTCCACGTTCCAAGCCCCTTCGTGGCGAGCGCCGCGCTGTGCCGGGTGTGCATCGCGCACGTAGTCTCGTGAGCGATCGGATCCGCGCGAGTATCCAGTCGAGTTTGGAAGCGATGCAAGAGTCGGAGCGGCAGAGCTCGACTGCTCTCGCCGCGACACGCAAGCGAAGTGGCCCCTTGGCCGACGTAAGCAATGTCGAGTCGCCGAAGCGTCGGGCGGTACGTGGCGCGTCGCACGGCTCTGAAAACGTCGCGATGCACGAGACGCCGCTGGCTGATAAGAAGGCGGACGCTCTGACCGACGATGCCGCCATGTCAGAGGTCGGTACGCCGACACGCAAGAGTCATACGCAGCTGAGTATGTATGCGGACGACACGCTGGATCTCCCGAATCCCTTCCACGATCAAAGTGCCGTCTCGCATCCGTCGCCCATCCTTCCGGAGCCGGCGAAGCCTGGCGAAGAGGACGACGAGATGCCGGACGTGCGTGCTGCGGCCGATGCCTCTTTGGCGACCAAGTCGGATGGGGCCGACGTGTCTGCTGCGACGCACAGTACAGCCGACGCCGCACGTCCCGACGAGGCGGCGGCGGCCGCAGCGCAGAGCATGGCGGAGGACGAGATGTCCACATCCACGTCCACGTCGTCTGCGACTGCGACTGCAACTGCGACTGCGACAGTGCCAGAGGACGTGGACGCGATGGACGAGCGTGCTTCGTTGGCCGACTCGGCGCCCACGACACCCAGCGAGGCGGCGGAGGCTGAGGCCGAGGCCGACGAGGTGCCGCCTGCGGTGCCGGGCAAGGACACGGCGAAGCTGCGTGACTACCAAGTCACAGAAGAAGAGATGCAGGCGATGCTGCGGCCTCTACTGGAGCACATCCAAGTCGCTCCGCGGCAGCAGCCGATTGTGCATGCCGGTCTGGGCCCGACGACCGAGCCGAAACAGGCGGAAATTGTGCCGGCGCCGCTGGATATCTCGTACGGCGCACTGTCTACGGTGCCGGAAGAAGACGGCCAGAACGTGGCGACGTCGGACCTTGATCGCTCGCTGCGGGTGCGCGTGCCGATGCCGTCCGAGGATGTCTCGCTCCTGCCTGACACACGCGAGAACGTCGGGATGCGGGAGGCGATCAAGCACCTGAATCACCAGATCACACTGTTGCGCCGCTATCGACCAGCGAAGCAGACAGCCGAGTGGGCGCAGGACTGGGCGCAGTTTAAGCAGGCTGTCAAGCAGCTCAACTATTCCTGGACGGATATGGAGCGCGCGTACGAAGACAACCAAATGGAGCTGGCCTCCCTGCGTCTCGCGCAGCCCGAGCATGACGACCGTGTGCATCTCACGCGCGAGGAGTACACGGACATCCAGGACCAGCTGAATGCGATTCTGCCGCTGCGCCTGCAGATCCAGAAGCTGACGAAGCGGTGCATGTCGCTCAAGGAGCTGGAGAAGGATGCGCGGCGCGAGAATGCCGAGTTGTACCATGTGTTTAATGAAGAGCTTGGGAAGTTGTACCAGCACAGTTTCCGGCCAGCGCACGACGAAATCGAGTTGCTGCGCAAGGAGCTGATCGAGGCCAAGGAAGAGATCAGCGCGTTGCGCACCGAGAACCGTGCGCTGCGTCTCCACAATGTGATGGGGGATTCATAGTGCATCGTAGTAACAAGTCTTGGTTTCGATCCTCCACTTTCCAGTAGCTCCACCATCATGGGCGACAACGAGCCGACGAAGTTTACGTTTGCGGTGGGGAAACTAGGTAGGTCGTCCCGTTCGCTGACAGCCAGATGCGGGGATTGTAGGTATTTCTGGCCGGCCCTTACCTCCAGGCCATCTTGATAGGCGAGCGGGCCTCGTTGATCGAGTTTCCCTCGCTCCTTCTTCCGCGGGGCGTCACGCTCGGCAGCGTCGTGGACATTCAAGTGACGCGCAACGAGGCGGACGAGCAGAAGAAGCGCGAAGAGTTTATTGGGCTGCAGGATGAGATCTTGCAAGTGTATGGCGTCAACAGTCCATCACGTACGTACCGCTATGGCCTCTGACCGCAGCGCCTGTGCTGCGTATTCGCAGTGTGACACAAACCACGCTGACGCTCGAGTGGGACCGCCTCAATCTGGCCACCGCCGATCTGTTTTCCCTTGATGTGATCCGCAATGGCGAGCGGATCGCCCAAGTCCCCTTCCCGAAGACCAGCACCACGACCAAACTTAGCGGGCTGAGTATGGACACGGAGTACACCCTCGAGCTGATTATGTACACGTCGGCAGGCACCTATGCGTCCGAGGAAGTCACAGTACGTACGCATACCATCGATGATCTGCATGGGATCCATGTGTGCCTCGGCCCTATCGCGGAGGCCCGCCTTGCCGAGGCGACCAAGAAGGTCATTGAGGCGATCGGCGCGTCATGGACGACGCAGGTCCAAATCGATACGACGCACTTGCTATGCACGCAGCCGCCCTCCAGCAGCGACGAGGAGCAGAAGAAGGCGTACGAAAAGGCCCTGAATCTCAGCTTGCCGATCGTCCAGCCTCACTGGCTTTTTGCGTGCCAGGAGCAAAAACGGTACGTGCGTTCTCTCTCACACCAGCATGGTCAACATTTCCGCCTTCTACCTCGATAGCATGCCGCCCAACGCCCTGCAAGTGCAAGGCCAAGTCTCTGCGCTGCTCGGTACTCCTCCGGATGCGACGTCTGAGCATGTACATCGCGTCGAGCCGAAGGCGCACCAGGCCGAGGCGTCGGACGACGACGATGCCGAGCCGGACGCTTCTCGTGCGAAGGAGGGACGCGTCCAAGAGAAGGACGCGAACCACGACGCGAAGGACGACGACGACGTGATTGACGATGCGAAGGACGCCGACGATGCGAAGGACGCCGACGACGCGAACGACAACGACGTGAATGACAACGCCAATGCGACGGCAATGCCGCCGCCCTCGTTTCCCCCCAAAGAGGAAAATTGGGAGTCGGCTGCGCCGTCTACCACGGCCGCGCACGATCACAACGACACAGACGACCAACTCGGTGCGGAGATGGAAAACATCGATCTCAACTAGACGTACACTACATCATAGGCGGGTATATATATTTCACTTCATGTGGTCGCAGAGATCGGACGAACGATCTCGTGCGCTTCGCGCTGCAGATCCTGCGCTCCGACCACGCCAGCATGCGCCCATGCCTCGAGCGCCGGCGCACTTTCCTCGTACGCGGTCTGCGCTTCCGTCGTAGCGTTGGCGTGCATGAGCTGCCGGAGACGGAGCGGTGTATGCGCCACAGCATCCACGTCCTTCGCCCAATCGATCATGCCCGGCGACGAGGCCGGTGTCGCGGTATCCAACTCGGTGAGTGGCTGCGTCGTGGCTTTGGCGACTTGGTCGGCCAACGCGGCGCGACTGGCCGCGAGGCCTTGGATGCCTTTGTGCATATGCCCGACCGTCTCGCTCGCCGCCACAAGTTCTTGGTGATGATTGTAGACCAAGCTTTGCCGATCGGCGTACAAGTCACGGATCCCTGCCGCGTAAGTAGGCTACACACGTACGTACCGTCTAGCATGCCGGCGGACATTTGCATGAGGTCATGCAGGTTCTTGGTCGTCGTGAGCTCGTGCAACGTAGGCTTCGGCGGCGGTATGGGCTCCGTCGCCTGCGCACTCTCTGCCTGTGTCTCGCTATGAAGTCCGTAAAACGCCTTGAGCGAGTGTGCCTTGCTGCTGGTCGCCATGGTAGGGCCCCACCAAGCGGCAGCGGCGGCGGTCGTATGATTAAGTAAGACGCCCTCGCTGCCCCATGCGGTGCAGCGCCGCCGCGGTCGTCGCTGCCCAGGCCGCCACGATGAAGCAGGAGCCTGGCATCAAGGCAGAGCCGGAAGATACCAAGCCCCGCGCTGGGCAGCGTGGGTATCGTGATATCCCGCTGTACTCCATGGGCGCGACGAATGCAATGACGCATCTGATGAAGTTTGCGAGTCACACTCGTGTGGATCCCAACCAGGAGACGCAATTTGTGCCGCCTGTCAAGCTGAATCGCAAGATGCCGTTGCGGCTCAAGATGCCGCCTGCGCAGCCTGGCGACGTCGTAGTAGACAAATGGGGCAAGCCTGTCATGGACAAGGACGGCCAGCCTCTGACGTGGCCTGCGCCCGGGTTTGACTTGGAGTCTGTTCGCCCGTATTTGGGCCTTGATCAGCCAAAGTAGGTACATGTGCTACTCACCGCAGGGTCCTCGACGAGGAGACAGGCGGCGGCTTCACACGCGCGAAGCCGTTCAAGAAACGTGTGCGCGAGGTGCACAAGTCCGGCAATGCAGCGCGACGTACCCGCAACGAAGAGTTTTACCCATGGGTCCTGGAAGATTTCGAGACGTCGCAGGAATGGGAGAGTGCACGCGAGCCGCTGCCCAATAGTCTGAAGATGTTGGAACAGTACTACTATGCAGAGAAGGAGCGCCGTGAGCATGGCACAGACACGAAGCCACGCATGCCGAAGAGCGAAGCGACGTCCTCGGCTGCGCACGGCCCGTCCTCCTCGCATGCGCCGTGGATCGGCCAGCTGGAAGGCGACTCGGACGAGAACTCTACGTCGCACCATGTGCTCTTTGTGTTTGACGAGCGCAATGCGGGCGGCTTCAAAGTCGTGCCGATTCGACGGCAGTACAAATTCATGCAGCTCCAAAAACATGCCCTGTCCAGCGAGCAGGTCGAAGAAGAGTTTGCACGGCAGCAGCGGTCCTCGGAGACGGACCGCTGGATGATGCGGTATCGGTACCAGACTGGCGCTGGCACAGGCGCCGTGGCTAGTGCGGGCCCGTCGCGTGCAGGCGCCGCCGCGGCGCGTATGCCGATGCTCTCGCTCCCTGGCCAGCCCTCGATGCTGGGATGGCAGAGCAGTGCGCGTCTGGTGGCAGTGCAAGGCGAGTCGCAGCATGGGCGGGACGACGACGACGACTTGTTTGGCGCGATGCCCAAGCAGGAGACGACGTACGATGAGCTGGACTTTGAAGAAGAGTTTGCCGACGACGAAGAGCGCATCGGCATGAACGACGAGGCCGAAGAAGCGGAGGCAAAAGAGCTGGACGAGCGGCTCAAGCGCGAAATGGTCGCGGATCATGTGGACGATATGGCGATCAAGCAGGAGCCGGACGACGATGCCGCGTACGATGCCGTGGCTGTGAACCGACGTAGCGGCGCGGCCGATCCCCTGTATGGCTCTGCCGCGACGTACGATCGGCATGATGACGCGATGCTCACGGGCAGTGGGCGTCAGATGCGCAAGATCATGAAAGCGCTAAGTCGGCGGGAAGGGCTGGATATGTACGACAGCGACGAAGAGGCGAAGAATCCGTACGCCAGTGACGAGTCGGACGACAATGAGGACTTGGACGTGCTGCATCCCGAGCGTGCGATCCTCGCGGCGCGCGAAGAAAAAGCGCGTGCGGAGCGCATGGCAGCGGCAGCGGCAGCGGCGGCGGCTACCGCGACGCCCACGTCGGCGCCGCCCAGTGGGACCCACACACCGGACCCGGACGCGAGCTTGAAACGCAAGAACGAGCTGCTTCGGCCTGGGCCGGACGAGCCCAAGAAGAAACTACGTACCGACTCGCGCGCAAGCTCGCCTGGCGCGGGGGGCACACCTGGGCGCGCGAGCTCGCCGCCGCGGCCCCTATCGCCGCTCGAGTCGGAAATTGCGCATCTCCTGTCGAACGGCGTGGTGGCCAGCACCTCTGACTTGGTCCAGCATTTCCGTGCGCGACTCAAGCAGGATGCCACGTTGAAAGAGCAGCTGAGTGCCGCGGTCAAGCGCATTGCGTACATGGACAAGAAAGACAACAAACTGAAGCTGAAAGAGGCGTACGCTATGGATGGCGGAGCATCTTCGCCGCGCGGCGGTCGCCCTGGATCAACGGCATAAGCTCTGCAGCGCACTGTGCATTGTACGCATTGAGCCATGCCTTTTCTGTAGCACTAAGTAGCGACATGTCCACCATATTCGTCGCGATCGGCACACGTGTCATCGTCTCGAACTCGAGCCACGGCACGCCGCCAAACGCGCGGTGTGTCTTGGCCTCCCTCACGAGCAAGACCGACTCAATGCGCACACCAAAATGGCCCTCTTCATAGTAGCCCGGCTGCGGTAAGAAGGTCGCACAACCTACCTCGTTGCTCAGCATCATCCCCGGCGCCAGCACGACGGGCGTCGACGCGCCGCCGGACGACGAGGAGAACCCATGCGGCCCTTCATGCACGTTCAAAAACGCGCCGATCCCATGCCCTGTGCCATGCAGGTAGTTGTACCCATCCTGGAACAGCGGCTGCCGCGCTAGCATATCCAGCTGCGCACCCGTCGTGCCCGCGGGGAACTTGGCCATCGCCAGGGCTATGTGGCCTTGCAATACACGCGCTGCGGTGAGTGTGAGCGTACATACTGTAAGCGCGTTTCTGCTCCGCGGTCGGCCGTCCAAAATGCATCTAGCGTCAGTCATCGTCGACGTACCGTGCGTGTGGTATCGATCGTACCGTCATGGTACTGCGGCCCTGAATCGTTCAGGTACGGCGTCGTACGGTCAAGGATCGGCGCCTGTGCCGCAGGCGTCTCGTAGTGCGGCAACGCCGCATTCTCGCCCGTCGCACTAATGGCATCGTACGCCTGCATGCCCGCATACAGCGGATCACTCGCGCGGCGCCGTGCCAACGCGTCGGCCGCCTCGCGCTCCGAAATCGAACGACCCGCCTTCACTTGCTCGTCGAGCCACGCGGCCCAACGCACCCATGCCGCACCGTCGCGGCGGTACGCCTGCCGCATCCCTTCAATCTCCACCTGGTTCTTGCACGCCTTCGCGAGCGCCAAGGGACTCGCCGCACTCAGGATCTTTGTGCGATTCGCGCCGCCTGCCTGTACCAGGGCATGCGAGGCACGCGCATGGACATAGATCGTAGGCAGCGGCGTATCACGCAGCCACCGCCAAATGTACTCGTACTTGTGCAGCGTCACTCGCATGCCGGCCAAGTAGATACGCACATGCCGAGAGAGCAGACGCTCGTCCACGAAGAGCGCCACATCGTCTTGCGTCACCGCGACATACGCAGGGAACACAGCTGCGGTCAGTCATCCCATACGTACGGTTGCATGGAATCGAGGCGCCACGTAGGTTGAGCAGCCATGCCACTTCGTCCAGCGCCGAGACAATGTACGCAGCCTCGCCGCGGCCTTGGTCGGCTAGCCACGCACGCAGCGCCGACAACTTCTCCGTGGCTTCGACGCCAGCGAACCGCATATCATGCTCGTAGATCGGCGCCCGCGTTGGCGCAGGTCGATCTGCGCCCCATACATCGTCGACCAAGTTCACATCGGGGAACGCCAAATGAAGACCCTGCGCCTGGAGCGACGTCTTCAGCGCCTTGGCTTCCACATGCGGGACCAACGTCGCATCCATACCGATATACGACCCCTTCGGCAGCGTATGCAGCCAGGCCGGCCAATCTTTCACATCCGCCGCGCCGACTTTGTGCAGCGTCCAATTCGGATCCAACTGCTGCTGCGCTTGGACATGATACCGTCCATCGGTGAAAAAGTGCGCACTGTCACGTAAGACCACCACCGTCGCTGTGCTCCCGGTAAACCCAGACACAAAGCGCAAGCGGCGATCACACTCCGCCGCATACTCCGACCCATGCGCATCCTCGGTCCCGATCACGTACGCGTCGACCCCACACGTCTTCATACACGCCCGCAGCGAGGCCAAGCGCTCCGTCGTGTCTGTCACTCGCACCTCGGACGCGTACGCATCCAGCAACGCACGCTTTTCGTCCATTGTCGTCGACGACGGTCGCGAGGCTACACACCCCATCGTGGTCGTACAGTGAAGGGCCTCGCAGCCTGGCCGCCTCCAGAGCCGCACGTCCTCCACATCTGCACGGCCCTACGACGCCTCCCTGTCTACCATGACGTCGTCGCCCTCCCCTGCCGCGGCGAGTGTCGCGTACGTACGAACCCACACTGACGCATCACCAGCTCGGCGGCACCGCCAGCGAGGCGTGAGAAGAACTTTGAAGAAACGATGAAGGAGTTCGATACTGTGCCGCTGTTCATGCGTCATTTGCCGCAAGAGGAAGGCAATACCGCGCTGGAAGCGCTCCAATCGCTAGCCCACGAAGGCAAACCCGATGGTACGTACATGCCTCCTGACAAAAGATGTCGCAGAAAACTTCAAGAATCAAGGCAACGATTATTTCCGTGGAAAGCGATACCGCGAGGCGCTCTCGTTTTACCACCAGGGCCTCGATGCGAAGCCAGACGACGCCAAGTTGAAGGAATCACTTTTCCTCAACGTCGCCGCATGCGAATTGGAGCTGAGTACGTACCTGTATTCTAACTAGGAGAAAACTACGGACGAGCCTTGCATGCCGCTCGGAACGCCATCCAAGTCAATCCACGCTCGGTCAAGGCCTTATACCGTGCAGCGCGTGGCTTCCTAGCATTGGATCGCGTCGACGATGCCGATGGATGCTGCGAGCTTGCGTTGGAATTGGATCCAAGCAACGTAGAGATTGTGCGCATGCGCGAGCGTGTGCAGGAACGCGCGAAGCAGCTCCAAAAGCGCCAGACAGAGCGAGAGGAACGCCAACGTCGTGACACACTCGAGCAGGAAGCGCTTAAAGTCGCCTTCGTGGTACGTTTGTCTGTCATGCTAACGACTAGGCTCGTGGACTTTGGCTCGAGACCAGCGACGATCCACCAGACAATCCGACACCCGCGCACTTTGATCCACAGGAGCGTCCCTCGTACGCCCGGTCTGATATCCCTTTGATCGGCGCCCCTGAGCCTTGGCGTGCCCCGGATCCCATTCGCACGCCTGTGATTTTCCCTGTGATGTTTTTGTACCCGCAGCACAATACGTCCGACCTCGTGTCTGAGTACCAAGAAGATACGCCCGTCGGCATGCATCTTGATGTCATGTTCCCACCGGAAGCCCGCGGGTCACTGCCATGGGATCCGAAGGGCGAATACGTATCGAGCAACTTGTCGGTGATTGCCAAAACCCACAAAGGTCGACTGTTGCGTGTGGGCCATAAACTATCGCTACGTGCGCTATTGGACCAAGGTGCCAAAGACAGCGAGACAGGCGACCCTCAAGATCGAGATGGGATTGTACTGCGTGATGGCATCATCGATCTCGTGGTCTTGCCCAAAGGCTCGGCGGCCGAAGCGACGTGGATCGCCGAGAACAAGGTCCGTGCCTCTTCATAGTCACGTGCATATAAAAACGAGGCGCGACGCGTCTTGGTTCAGGCTGTGTGTAGTACGTACGATGGCCACAGAGAGTGAGCGCGTAGGCGCTGCGCCCCTCGCATTGGAGGAGACGACCCCTATACCCAAAGCGACCGAGGGAGACGACTCCATGCGTCTGTACTTTGAAGCGAGTTCCGATGATAGCCAGCGTGATATGTATGAAGGACGCGACGAAGAAGTATGTATGCCACGACGACGTACCTTACCTCTCCGCAAAGACCATGGAGCGCCTCGAGGAGGAAATACAGCATTTGCACGATACCGTGGACGGGCTGGAGAACTACCAAATCGTGGACAAGTTGGGCGAGGGTACATTCTCCACCGTGTACAAGGCCATTGATGTTCATCATGACATGTATAGCAATGCGCCTTGGTTCAAAAGCAATACCGTGAAAATCATGCCGCGTGTATCTAAAAGCACAACGGTGTACGTTGCCTTGAAACGCATCTATGTCACGTCCAGCACGGCGCGTATCCTCAATGAGCTCGAAATTATGGAGTCACTACGTGGTCAGCCGTACATCTCGTACCTCATTACGGCGTTTCGTTCTGCGGACCAAGTGATTGCTGTCATGCCATACAGTCGGCATACCGAGTTTCGTGTACGTATAGCGCTTACTTACCTCAGGACTACTACAGGATTATGCCCCTTTCGGACTTGCCCTATTACTTTTACTGCCTGTTTTCTGCGCTAAGTGCCATGCATGAGCAAGGGATTATGCATCGCGATGTCAAGCCTGCCAACTTTCTGTACGATCCACGCACAGGCTACGGAACGTTGTGTGACTTTGGGCTGGCCGAGCGGCTCGAGGCCAGTGAATGGCTTGGGAAATGCCACCATACCTGTCCGACGCCTGATCATCTTCACGGTAAGCAATCGGTCAATCAGTCGACGCATAGCACCCATCTACTCCCAGGAGGTGCGCTCTCACGTACCGAGGATGCGAAAACTCATACCACATACGTGGCGCGAAACGCCCTCATGGGCCCACCGGACCGTGTCGGCTACTTACGCAACGATCCACGGCCTAGTGTTCGTGCGAATCGAGCTGGCACACGTGGGTTTCGTGCCCCAGAAGTCTTGTTCAAATGCCCTGACCAGACACCAGCGATTGATATCTGGTCAGCAGGGATCATTCTTCTCTCGATCCTTCTTCGGCGCTTTCCCCTGTTTAACGCGAACGACGATACGGAGGCTTTGTTGGAACTTGCTACCATCTTTGGCCAGCGGCGAATGGAGCAGTGTGCCATGTTGCACAACCGTACGTTCTCCTGCAATTTGCCAACAGTGGACCATGCAGGCCGCCGCGTCCCTGATTTGATCCAACATATTCGCCCTGAGCTCTTCGAACCACCGGCCGATCATCCCGATCCGACGGACTACCGACAGCAAGTGCAGCAAGTGGTCCATCTGGCGAGTGTATGTCTCTATTTGGACTGCACACGGCGATGGACAGCCCAGCGCCTCTTAAAGCATGCGTTCTTTAACGAACTAACGAACGACTAAGTAGATATACCCTCATTTCTGTATACCATCATCCATTCTACGCTTTCATTCATCTTTCTACTCCACTCGACCCATTTTTTCCCTTCGTTTTCTCCACATTCATTCATGTCACACGAAGCGCGGCACCAAGGGTATGGCGGCACAACGAGCCATGGTACGCCGCTTGCTGCGACAGCAGACGTGCTTCGGTGCTACGAGGAGGCTGTGCAGGAGCCCATGGTCGAGTGCGTCAACTTGGATGGTCTGTATACGAATGCCCAAGACGTGGACTCCGATCGCGTTGACGCGTTGGTCCTTCGCGAAGATTTCTGCTCCACAGGTACGTCAGCTGTACACTAACGGCAGCGATTATCGCAAGCACATGGCTTGCATTGCGGCCCGAGAATCGGTCGCAAGGTGTCGATATCGACCTGGATGCGTTGAGAGATACGCAAAACAAGCTCGGTGGACGTAAAGTCCAGCTTCTTCAAAGCCCGGCCTTTGCGCAGTCGTCTCACACGGTCGAGCTGCCTGCCGCCTCGCTGGAGCCAGCGGCACCGATGTCCTCTGTGGAGAAGCCGGGTGACGATACATACATCTCGACGTGGGCGGAGGGCCAAGCGACGGCGCGTCTTGACCGACGACTTGCCAAAAAGCGACAGCAGGCACGAGCGCCCACGACACCGTCTTCTTCTGAACCACGCATGGTGCTGCTGCATGGCGACGTTTTGGATTTGCCCGTGCCAGCTCTTGCTGAGCATGCGCCCCTGGAAGCGCCCGATATCGTGGCTTCCCTGAATTATGCCATGGCGTACTTCCACGATCGCGCTACGTTGCTGCGCTACTTGCGCGGGGTAGTGAAAAGCTTGCGTCCCAAGACGGGTGTGTTCATTACAGATATGTTTGGCGGTCCTCCTACGGGAGAAGTGTACGAGGACCAAGAGGCGCTTTGGGCGCAGTTCTGGGACGAGCCGGGTTTCCGACGTGAGCAGGACGGCGCGCCGCAAGTCGTTCTACGTGCCAACAAAGAGGGCGACGATCTTCAAGTCCTCCCGGTGCCTCTACCAGAGCAGCGAGGAACACGAGCCGAGTGGCCGCGTGGCCGCCTCAAGCTCGTGCGCACCGGCGACGCACATGGCGGCTTTGAGTATTGGCGTGAAGATGGCCCGATCGATTATGCGACCAATCGTTTCCGTATGAGTTTGAGTTTCCGATTCAGTGACCACTCGTGGCTTCGCGATGTGTTCTCGTACGATTTCCGTATTTGGTCGTTGAAAGAGGTATGTACAGCGAGCAAGCACTCACACTGTCCTAGCTCACAGAAGCCATGGAAGAGGCAGGGTTTGCCTCCGTGCGCATCTTGGTCCTCCCACGAAACGATGTCGACAATGTTTCGAGCTCTGACGAGTCGGATGACTACGATGACGACTTTGCTGCTATGCTGCTACGCACCGAGAAAGAAGAGGCGCAACGACGCAAGTTCCATACCGTCGAACCGGGCGAGAAAGTATTCTCGTCTCGTTCCTTTGCCACGTACTTGGTAGCCCGCGCTCCATAATTCTATCCATGCATGCATACTACCCTACCATGCTACGTTTGCGTCCACGCAACCGCACCTCGCGCAGCCGTGCATGGATATGTGGCCACGCACCCTCTGGCTGCCGCTCCCCTTTGGAGACTTTGCCTTTTGTGAGCTGCGTCGTTCGTGCCGCGTAACTGTCCAGTACCTGGTGGAATAAGTGTTCCGACGCAGGGTGCGTTGATGCAAACGCTCGTTCTAACACGTAGAGATCCACGGCTTTGTCCTCCCAGAAACTGGACACAGATGCGAGGCCAAAGTCGATGAGTACCACGTCGTGATGGGGCGCACGTAGCATCAGGTTGCTTGTCGTCAAGTCGCCGTGAATCACGTCCGCGCAGTGCATTTCTGCAAGCTGCTCGCCAATCTGTGTCATGACACGCACTGTCGAGTGAGTCTATCCTATACGTACACTGTTCTTCGTCGGACGGCAGCGGATCTACGGTCGAGTTTGTCACTGCCTCGTCGACCTCCGGGATGCCTCCCAGCCATTGGCGAACACTAGGCCCATCGATCCATTCCATTCCAAGGATCCCGCGTGTCTCATCCACAAATGCAAGGCGTGGCACATGTACGCCGCTGCGTGCGCATCGGACCAGCGAGCGCGCCTCCGAGATAGTCCGCGACGCTGTTACGCTTGTCGATAAGGCAGGATGACGATATCTTTTGAAAAAGCGGTGCTTAATGAGCACGTATTCTGTGTGCGCAGGCCGTGCCTTGGTCTGGCCGCCTGGAAGGTATATAGTAGGCTCGTTGGTATACAGGGCCGCACGGTACACTTTGGCCTCTGCGCCCTGCTTAATTAACTGGGTACTTTTGTCGTCCAGTAAGTGCAAGATCGGCGCATCGCCGCCAGGCTCCTGCGCTGCAATACGGCCAGCCATGCGTAGAGATCGACGTGCCGTAGCAACGTCGATGACCTAAGAATCGACGTACGTTGAGGGCGTTGCCTCCACCTTGGGGTGGACATTTTTTTAGGAGTCCCATTATTTTTGCTTCACGACGCGATGCCACGCAAACGGGCCAAGCTTTCTGCGCGGCAAGCCCAGCGCGATGCTCTAGGGCATGATTTAGCCCCAGAACCAAAGAACCATCGTGGCGTATGGGGAGACACGCCACGCCGCGCCATGGAATTGTTCCGAGGTCCTCCGCCCAAGAGGCGGACCGAGGAAGAGACGAGCAAGGCACGCGCCTCCTCTACGCCGCAGCTGCAGATCAAGCCAGGCGAGCGTATCAAAGACTTTAACCAGTACGTACACACAAAACTGACCGCAGGCGCGTGGAGCAAGCTTTTGCCAGTGATATCAATGCAACGATGCGCTCTGAACTTCGATCAGAGTCCAATCAAAAGAAACGGCAGCGTCGTCGTGAGCTGCTGAAAGCGAAGAAACGCGCGTCAGATCCGTTTGCCGCCCAGGCCGCCGAGGCAGCGTCGGATTTCCGGCAGGCGACACAAAGCAAGTCGCTGCATGACGTTGCGCAAGCGCCGCCTACTATCACGGCCATTCCGAAAGAGCGCTTGAAACGCAAAGCGTCTTCGACGACCCCGACGCCCCTCGCTGCGCTGGACGCACAGGCGGCGGCGCGGCCCAAACCGTCGGCGGCACGGCAACGCATTCTTGATGAGGAGCGCCAGCGTGTGATCCAACAGTATCGAGCCATGAAACACCGTACTTCCTAGACGGGCTTCTGCCTTCTATAGACTACTTACTCATCGACCACGTCCTCGTCCGCTTCCACGTCTTCTTCCTCCTCATCCTCTTCGTCCTGCTGCTCAAAGTCCCATGGCACGCTGAAGAAGCGCACAATCTGCTTGTTCGGGTCCTTCACCAGCACGAAACGACCGGCTGGCTGCGCACGTGCCATGTCAATGATGGTACGCACGATACCCCAACCGTTCGAGAGGTTGTAGGCCATCTGCACAGCAAGGTCGCGCGGCTTGAACCACGACGTTCCAAGGATCGAGTGGCGGTACGGGTCCAGGGGGTTCGCACGCGAGATGTAGCCGAGCTTCATGTTGTCCGCACCGGCGAGAATGCTCTGCACGGTGAAGCGTGCCAACTTGAAAGAGTTGTTCTTCATTTCTGTAGCGACCACGGCACCACGGCTCTGATCCAGGCGCGAACGCCAGTCCGGCGCACCGCCAGCGCCAGGCGCACGGCTGTCGAACTCGTTGAGAGTGCGAATGGTAATCAGCTGTGCAGTCTTCTTCTTGTCAGCACCAGGTACAAACGCATTCAGCTCAGTTCGGACGATCATCTCCACGGGATCTTCCTCGTCCGTGCTCAGGTTGAAGCGGCGGTAGCGGTAGCTACAGCTTGCAAGCTTGCCCTCCTCGGCATTCTCACCATCGTGGAACGGATTCGGGTGGTCCATCTTGTGTGTCTTGGTCTCATCACACACCTGGAAACCAAAGTTTTCATTGACAAACGTCGCTTCGAGGCTTAGCGCGCCTGGTGTGTTGATGCGAGCCCGTGTGTTGTTCTCCGGCGAGGGGCCGTTCGCAGGATCGTTCAGCTCGATCGGCGGCTCCGACGCGTTCTCGTTCACGCTCAAGAAATCGATAGTGCTGTTCGCTCGCTTATCGAAAAACAGCTTGCCATCGTCCGTCTTGGTAACCACAATGTCCCATGGGTACACCGAGCGCGGGGCACACATGAGCAGCGCCAAGATCGAGTCAGTAATGTAGACCTGCGCCGCATGGTCCTTCGATGCCAGCTCGTGGATCACAGGGTCGTCCGAGGTCGTCGGGTTGTAGTGCACACGATCACGCGGCTGCAGCGGCTTCTCAAAGCGTACACTCACGCGGTCGTAGGTACGGTCGTACTGGTACAGAGTACCGTACGTCGCCACATCTTCAGCGTCCTCGACGTCCATACGCAGCTTCGACATACGCAGAAAGTCCAGCTCGTTAAGCTGCTCCCATTCTGGCCCGACTGTAATCGAGGCCTCCCGCGCCTTGCGCTGCGTACGCTCCCAATCGCGCCAGCCCGGACGGCGCATGCCGTTGTTGCCGCGAGAGCTCGCCGTAGACATACGACCACCGGCGCGGCCAGCCGCACCGCTGCGGCCAAATGCCTGCGTGCGACCAGCTGGCTGGGCACTACGTGCGTTGCGCTGCATAGGACCCGTCGCGGTACGGCTCTTCGCCGTGTTACGCGCATTGTCCACGACACTGAAACTCGACTCGTCCTCGCCGTGGAAGTACGCAAACGTGTTTACCTGCGCACCAGTAGCGTAGCTAGGCGCTGCCGCACTGCGTGTGCTGCGTGCCGAGCGGCCTGTCACAGTGGTGTTGCGGTCCTCGGCGCCCGTACCAGCCGTGTTCCAGTCGGCAATGCGACCGATCCTGTCACTCTTGGAGAAGGGCGTAAAGGGAATGCGCTGAAACTCTTCGGGAAGTGCACGAGCAGCACTGGTGCCCGAAGGCGGGCCCCAACTGGAGGGGTTTACAGCAATGGATGGCAACTGGAAATGCGCCATTTCGTCGATAGAAGACTCGCTCCACGACGCCGTTTTTTTCTTTCCTCCAGTCGCCGCTGCTGCTGCCGCCGCCCCTCCCCCGCCCTGTCGTCCATGGAAGCACGTGATACGATGGCCCTCGCGCATGCGTGTGCGCACGCGCAACGACGACGACCGCGGCGCGCGACGATTTGCGCTGCTCCCCAAGGCGCCACGATGTTTATGTTGAAGAGCTGTACGTATTCCGTAGACTCACTTGACAGTGTTCGGCAAAATATGGAGTGATCAGGATAATGTTGAGCTCGTTCAGCTGCCTGCTGGCTCGCTCTACCTGCTGCGCCCTGGTGGCTTGCAGGGGGCGCGTGAATGCATTTATACGGAGGCCTTTGCCACCATCCGTCGCACACCCACGCCACGGAATTACCAGCTGGTGGTGACACGATCGATCGGCGAGAAGGAGTCGCCTGTGGACGAATCGGATATCCTCGCGGACGAGCACTCGTTCTTGATCGACGAGGCACTGCAGTTCCGCGCATCGATGCACGACGATGCGCCTACTTTTGTCTGGCGCGATTTGCAAGGCAACCCGAATGACTACCTTGAGTTTGTGGTCGATACGAAGCAGGTGAATTCTGTCATGCGCTCTGTGTTTGAAGTGACCTACCTACAATGTGCATGGGAACGCAAGACGGGGCGAAATCATGAAGAGGCGACCGATGAGGATCTTGAAGCGTTGAAAGTGCCATCACCGTCCGCCAAGGCCGACGAAACGAAGACGGAGACGCCAAGTGCGCCTGCTGTGGCGTCTTCTTCAGTCGCCATACCGACCAAGACGCGACCTCCGCAAGCGGAGTCGTTGCAAAGTGTCACTGGCTCGGCGGAGCCGATCATTGTACTTACAGCACGCGCCGATTTGTACTTGTACGACCAAGCGAGTGGACTGTTTATGCGCCAGGAAAAGAATGTGACGGCCAATGTAGCGGAGGCAGGCCGCTTCCTCTACTGGATGGTCGTCGATGGCGCGTCAGCGCCGTGGCTGAGCCAGGGCGTCGACTCGCGCATGAACATGAACTTTTCCCAGGAGAATCTGAGTGCTGTCTGGAACTATTACGATGAGAACCAGCGTGTGTACTCTTGGCTCTTGCGCTTTAGTGACAAGAGTGCGTACCATGCTTTCCAAGAAACGTTCTCGCATTTGCTATGGGAGACCCTGCATGAGGAAAAGTGGGGTAAGGCATCGGCGGTGGAGCAGCAGTATGTTGAGCAAGCGTATGAGCAGGATGTGGCTATGACCGATGAGGCAGGTGCATCGCATGTGCACTCCCTGCTCTCGCCTCGCCATACTTGTGCGCTGAGTGACGATGACGACGATGCAGAGGAAGTCGAAGCGGAGTTGGATCCTATGGATGAGGACGACGACGAGACGTACGAGGATGCGGAAGTGGAGGCTGCCACGCAGCTCGACGACACCCCTGTGATGCCCGACAGCGCGCATGGGGAGCGCAACTCGGCCTTGGCGGTGGGCTACAAGTCTGATCGTGCGTTTGTGGTGCGTGGCGATAAGATTGGTGTGTTTAAGCATACCGATGACGACCGGCTTGAATTTGCGACGGCCATCAACCGCATTACTACACCGCAAGGCCACTCTTTCGCGCCGAAGCGTGTGATGCTGCATGACCAGGACTCGGCGATGGTACTGATGGACCCGTCGAACCAGCATGCGCTGTACCGCATGGACCTGGAGTACGGCAAGGTCGTGGAGGAATGGAAAGTGCACGAGGATGTGCCTGTCCAGAACTTCCTTCCGTCGTCCAAATACGCGCAAATGTCCGCTGAGAAGACGTTTGTCGGTACATCGCGCAATGGCATCTTCCGTATCGATCCGCGACTCAATGGCAACAAGCTGGTCGACTCCCAATTCAAGCAGTACACAAGCAAGAACGACTTTAGTGCTGCGGCTACCGATGAGAAAGGCCGGTTGGCTGTCGCATCGAACAAGGGCGACTTGCGCTTGTTTGATCAGATCGGTAAGAATGCCAAGACCGCGCTTCCCGCGCTGGGCGATCCCATTCTCGGCGTCGATGTCTCTGCGGACGGTCGTTGGGTCATTGCTACGTGCCGAACCTACTTGCTGCTGATCGATACACTAATCAACGATGGTCGGTACCAAGGCCAGCTGGGCTTTGACCGCAGCTTCCCTGCGGATGCCCGCCCGTTGCCTCGCCGCTTGCAATTGCGGCCGCATCATGTGGCGTACATGGAATCGGAGGTGCACTTTACACCGGCTCACTTTAATACCGGCTCCGATGCCGAGACGTCCATCGTGACATCGACGGGCAACTATGTCGTGTCGTGGTCCTTCGATGCTGTGAAGAAAGGCAATCCCTACGCGTATGTCCTCAAACGCTACGGCGGCACCGTCGTCCGGGACGACTACACGTACGGCTCCGATCAATCGATTGTTGTGGCGTTTGAGAACGATGTACAGCTTGCGAAGCGCGCACAGCTGCGCAAACCCACGCGCGCGTCGTTGGCACCCTCGGCATGGTCGTCCGCCCCTCGTTCCAGTGACGTGCGTGCGCGTCGCAAGACCCAAAGCTAGCTGGTTGGTAGATAAGGTACATAGATGGATTCATATACATACGACTACCTGGGAGTGGTCTTGCACGTACTACATAAAGTTCAGCGCGGCCGTCAGCTTGTCCGCTGGGTCGTCATCCAAGCGAGCCATCTCGATTTCGGACAGCAGCTTCTTGATACCGATATTGATGCGGCCATCCTGGCCAAGCCCCGCACTGGCAAGCAGCTGCAGGCACCGCGCATGCTGCTCCTCCGATGCAAACAGTTGCGTCTCGCGCAGGACATGATCCACGCTGCGCAGCGACGAAATGTTCGGCACGCGGATGTCCGCCAGGAACGCTTCGGCCAGGTCCATATCGTTGAGCATGGCCTTGTTGGACGTCGTCGCAAGGACTAGCAGACGTCGGTCTTTCGGCGGCTGCTTGCCCAGGAGCACCGTGAGGGCCTGCAGCACCGGGTTCGAGAATCGAGGGCCAATAGGAACCCACTCGACAATCTTCTCAATGCTGTCGACCACAATGATGCTCATCGGACTCTTGTACGAGTCGTTGAACACCTTGTTGAGGTAGGCAATCTTTCCTTGCTCATTCATACCGACCATATTTTCGGGGGCCACCAACTTAATGAACGGGAAGTCGGAAGCCATCGCAATCGTAGCAGCCAACGCTGTCTTGCCGCTGCCCGCCGGGCCATGTAGGAGCGCCGTGACAAGCGACGTGCGTGCACTTGTACGGACCTGTTCGACACGCAATTGACCGTCGCGCAGAATCACGTCAATGTGCGGCGCAAAGTGCATAATGCCATTGCGGACGACCTGCTGCAGCTCCTCTTCGGCGACACCAAAGGCCGGCTTCACTTCGTCAAGCGCACACAGAAAGTCTTCCCGATTCACACGCATCTCTTCGACATGGTCGTCAATGCCGGCCATCGAGCCGACTTTTACATGGCGATTGAAGGCAAACGACGTAGCACTCTTCACAAGACCCGCAATCTCGGCACCAGAAAAGTTCTTGGTCAACGACGCAAGCTCTTGCAGACTCACATCGTTATCCATAACGCCATTCGTGCGCATCTTGGCCGTCTGGATGTTGATGATTTGCAGACGTCCTTGCTCGTCCGGTAGATTGATCTCCATGTGCACTTCAAGACGACCCGGACGCAGAAGCGCTTCATCAATCATATCAAGTCGGTTGGTCATACCGATAATAAGGATGTTGTTCAGCTGATCCACACCATCCATCTTGGACAGCAGCTGGTTCACCACAGAGTCGCCCACACCTGTACCGCCTCCCGTCGTGCCACGCTGCTTGCAAATCGCATCCAGTTCGTCAAAGATGATAATGTGCAGACTCGATTCGTCGCCTTTGGCCTTGAACTCGGCTTCCGCCTCGGCAAAGAGCTTACGAATGTTCTCTTCACTCGCACCGACATACTTGCTCAGAATCTCTGGACCATTTACCACTTTAGGCTCCTGCGCATTGAGCATTTTACCGATTTGCCGCGCCATAAGTGTCTTACCTGTACCAGGTGGACCATACAGCAGAATACCTTTCACATGCTGAATGCCCAGCTTGTCCACTAGGTCGGGTGGGAAGATACGCGACGCAAAGGCACGGCGGAAAATCGCACTAAACTCGGTATCGAGACCACCAATACCCATATCCTCAAACTTAAAGTTCGGCTGGAGAATCGCGTTGGGCCGAGCCCGCTTTCCACTCGTTTTGATTTGCAAAGAGCCGCCAGGTGCCTGGTAGAACTGGACTTGCGTTTGAGGAATCACAATGCCCATGTGGTGTGCAATACTGGTATCCACTGAGTGCACACCACGCACTGTGGCTTTCAGATTCTGGCCATGGAACTCAAAAACAAGCACCTGGTCAATGGAGAGAATATGCTGGTCAAACACACGGAGGAAGATCGCCTGCATTTCATCCGCATCAAACATCGAATGACTATATTGACTTCGACTCAAAAAGTCAAGTTCAATATCAATGCTGCCCAGGTACACCCCCTTCCCTAGGGCCATAGGCTCAAACGCTTCGGCCACTACATCGTGGCCTTCAGCACTGAGACGCGCCCATTGTCGCTGCAACAGCGCTGTGCCGATCGTACCAGGCGCGATGGTGTTGGTATTGTCAGGTAGTGCTGTAAAGGCAAAACGCCCAGATACAATTACATAGCGTGTATGCCCCCATTCCTGTGGGTTCAATACCACACAGTTGGTCGTGTTCAACGACTGAGGTGCCTTCACGACACGATACATATGTGGCTGACGCGTCTCACCCCGATGCATGCTCGGTGTCACTGGTGGGACTCCAGACGACGGCGTCGATGTCTGTGTCGGCAATTGTGTGACCGGGGCACTGCCAGATGGCACCGAGGGCGGTGCCACACGAATGGGAGCATTCGAGCGCGGTGGTGGCCGTGGGACGCTTTGTTGGCCGGCTAAGGGCGCTTGGTACGCAGATGCGGGCCTGCCAGACGATGAACTACCTCCGTACAAGCTGTGTACATCCGTGCTGTTCACGCGATCGGACTTGAAGAAGCCTGCCATGGTCGTGCTTGTCAAGAGCTTCGTCCGACCTGCGTCAGATACGCGCAAAGGCCACGTACGCAGCCCTATAGCCAGTGCACACGCTGACTAACCAACACGTGCAGTATCGGCCACGGGCCGCCGTACCTCCACTAGAGGCCTCACTCTGTGGCTCGCCTGCGTGTCAGGCTGATCAACCAGCCATCTAGCCGGACACTGGAGCACACATTGTGAGCGCTTGTCTCTTCGGTGGGTGCTTGCACAACGTTGTGTATACGTTTACCTGTTGTTATACACTATCTATATGCCTCCGCGCTTCGCGCTGCGGCGTCGTGTGTGCCTATCTGACCTGGCACGCACGCTGTCAACTTCATCGCAACCGACACGCAAGTCGCCAGCTCGTATCGCTGCATCGAGCCGTGGCTCTTCCTCGAATAGCCCGACGGACGCGTACAAACGACAACGGCGCACAGAGTGGGTCATTGTCGGTGTAGCTGGATCTGCCGCGGCCTTTGGAACGTGGTACTACTGGGCTAATATGCGCTCTCGACCTACATCCGATTCTCGAGCTCGCCGGTTCTCTATGAGCGCCAAGTCTTCTTCGTTTACCATTCCTGCGGTATCGAAGGAGCCGGGGCAGAACCCTTACAAGGTCATTACACCACTCACACCTGATCAGGTGGATATTCGCTTGCGTGAAAATGAACGCAGCACACGTGTCGATCGTCCGGCAGGCGCGTGCCTTGTGGCGCGGTACGATACAAACAGCGTTGCAAGCAACAACCCGATTGAGGACAAACATGCTGAAGTCATTGTCGAGCGTGATCGCGGTATTCATGAGCCCAAAGCTGAGCGCACTGCTTCAGCAGAGGGACTGACTCATGGCGATCTCTGTTTCTTCACGGTGATGGATGGCCATGGCGGTGAGTATACGTCACATGTTCTTTCGCGCAAGCTGATTGCCTTTGTGGCTTTGGAGTTGGATAAGGTGTTCAAGGAGACGGGCGAGTACGCCAAGATGGCGCGTTCCAAGATGCCCCTCTCTTCGTCTGTTTGGCGCTCGTTGTTTAGCGGCTCCACCACAGAGAACAGCCATCGTCTTGCTTCAGCCGCGTTGGATGGTGATCCTGAAATTGTGAAGCGCGCTCTCGTCAAGGGCTTCCGCGGGCTTGACAAGGAGATTGTGAATACACCTCTTGAGCTGCTGAAGCAGTACGAACTAAGCCTTGCAACTCTGTCGAAAGACAAGGCAGGGTCTGATACCAATTCATTGTCGACACTGGCTCACAGCATATGGCCATCCAGCTTGAACGGCTCTAATTCATCAACATTCCCTACTATATCACAAGCTACGGCTTATGAGAGTATTTTGCCAGCATTGAGCGGTAGTTGTGCTTTGATGGTGTATGTCGACAGTGCACGTCGCGATTTGTATGTTGCATCTACGGGTGACTCTCGCGCTGTAGCTGGTTACTGGGACGAGCGTGCCGGCCGCTGGGAAGTGGAAGCGCTGAGCATCGATCAGACAGGTCGGAATCCCTCCGAAGTGAAGCGTATTCAACGTGAACATCCAGCGGACGAAGCGCCGTTTGTCATCCAGCGTGGTCGTGTCCTAGGCGGTTTGGAGCCTACGCGTGCCTTTGGCGATGCTCGCTACAAATGGGACCGAACGACGCAGGACCGCATTGCTGAGGCGTTCCTTCCGTCGGGTGGCTACCGAAAGCCGCCTCGGCTTCTCAAGACACCACCCTATGTCACTGCGGAACCAGTGGTCGAATGGCGTCATGTGAATATTCCGTCAGACTCCACACCAAGCACAGGTTCCTCCGAGGGTCTGGCTAGCTCGCTGACCGCTGGACCTCTGTCCTCATCGTCGTCAACCCGAGAGTTGCGCTTTATTATCATGGCTACCGATGGTCTATGGGACCTACTTTCCAACGAGGAGGCTGTTGGTCTTGTGGCTGGTCACCTGGCCGGCATGCGTGGAGCCATCAGTGCCAACGATTTGCAGCGCCGATGCTTCCAGCCTTCTGCAACTATTGCCTCCAACGCTGCAACGTCTACGACTGAGACCCAACCGCCTGTGGGTGTGCATCATCCGCTACTCAAGGCGCAAAACCAGCAGTTTACGTTCGAAGATGATAACCTTAGCACACACCTTGTGCGCAACGCACTAGGTGGTGCAGCTCATGAGCGTGTCGGTGGTCTTCTTGCCATTCCAAGCCCAGAATCTCGTCGTTACCGTGATGATGTACGTATTTCTTTTCTACTAACCATCAGATTACTGTCAAGTATGTGCTTAGTACTCCGATTTGGCTAACCCAACAGTGTTATTCTTTTCCATTCTGCCAAGCAGACACCTGCACAGGAGGCCGAGTCGTCGACGTCGACCATTGCGGCAAAACTATAGACCCGTATGTAATACGAAGAACGACAGGCACCTTTACAACGCATGTGGCCTATGAACGCTTGTTGATTTCAAGTCGATGCTTGGGGTCGCTTCTCGGCCGAGTTGGTGTTCGGCAGCACCGAACGTGCCAATTTGTATACCGCCCGCGTTCAGTGGCTTTTGTCTTTCGTCGAATTCACCATGTCTCGCCAGATTACCTACGCCGAGCTGTGCCAGCACAACACTGAGGAAAACCTTTGGCTCCTCATCGACAACAAGGGTATGTCGCGCATACAATACTCACAGTTCGCAGTGTACGATGTGACCAAGTTCATCCCGGAGGTATGTTTTGATATGCGTCATGCACATCGTGTGCATGGGTAAGAACTGTGTACTAATGCCAATGTAGCACCCGGGTGGTGATGAGGTTCTGGTCAGCGAGGCCTCGAAGGACGCTACCGAGTCGTTCGAGGATGTCGGTCACTCGGACGATGCCCGTGAGACTCTCAAGTCACTCCAGATTGGTGTGATTGCCGACCCCGAGAACGTGCCGCGCCGTGGCCGCAAGGCTTCGGACACCATGTCGGCTACCCCTGGTGGCTCTCCGTATGTATTACTATCTATGTGTCTTGCTAACCGTGCAGGCCTCTGGTCATGATCATTGGCTTTGCTGCCATTATCGGTTACTTTGTCTACAACCACTACACCAAGTAAATTGAAGATGGTTATAGATACATTTTCTTTCAATATCACTCTATGGTTGTAGTTATGTTGGTATCGTCCGTGGCCCTAGAAGTGACGTCCTCCCCAGAGTGGAGCCACGTAGCGAGGCGCCATAGTGCAATGCACAAGTCGGTGGTATGGCGATGTCTCTCCACTGCATACACCCCGTCCTCCTGTTTGAGCCAGCCGTGCTTGTAAGGCAAACATTTAGTGATCCACGTTGTCATTTCATCTCTCCATGTGGCCGAGTTCCTGGGGAGTTCCGACATATTGTATCGTGGTACTGCGTCGCTCGACGACGCATCCGCCTTTCCCTCGGCGCGAGTATGAAGGTCGTCTACCAAAGCCATAGGCTCTCCGCTCCCATCTGACAAGGCCCCTGTACAAACACGCGCAAATAAGAGCTCGGCTTCCTGAAGAACGCGCTGTTGTAGCTGGTGAGTAATAAGTGATGGTAAGTGGGGGGATAATGTAGCCATGGGAGCGATCATGCGATATTGTTCTACTCATCAGACGCAAAGTATACGTACGGCGTTTGTACAAGTCTTTAAACACAGTTTGGTCTGCGGTCACCCACGCACCGATACCAGGCTTGCGCATAGCGAAGCGAGGGTGTAAGATGCCATCTGGTGCCATGGTAATTTCAGGTGGATGCTCTTCTGAGCTTGGCAAATGGACAGGTTTGATTTGAATCATAAATGCTACATGTTAGGCATTTGTCACATACCCTTGGGGAGCACAAAGTGAGATACAATGCAGCGGCGCAGCGGCGTGGACAGCATATGTACTGCGTAAGAAGGCGTGAGGACATACAATAGGGGTTGGACGGCCACTGCCGTTCGGCATGCTCAAGAACAGAGCGTGACGATAAATTTCCATTCCTCGTATGCAAACCACGTCGTGATGCATACCTTGCCATACGTGCGACCTGAAGCCGCATGCTATCGATGCATGCACGCTCTGATCAAGGCGAGGTTCCTAGCGGTGTCCACTCCACAACACGTGACAAGACGCGCGTCGCTTGCACTTGCCGCCGAGGTCTCACTTGTAGGACGAAGGCTTGTGCGACGATGGCAGTAGATCACGAGCTTCAAGGTGCCCACGATAAGCTGGCCAAGCAGTTTCAATCACTAGAATCTTCTGCGAAGCCCGATGTGAAAGAGCTTGAGTCGGTCGGTTCTGACCTTTCACAACTGAAGATTCTGCTTACTGAGCGTGATCTGCTCTATCCCCAAGCTCTGGATGCTACGAAGTACAAGGAAGAACTGGTCCTTGCTCGGCATGTTTTGGAGATTGGTGCTCTTTGGAGTGTAAGGAAAAAGGATACCAACCAATTTGAACGTTATTGGAGCCAGCTCAAGCCATTCTATCTTGACCTGGATCACGTCCTTCCTCCCTCAGACTTGTACGAGCCCATTGTCGGCCTGTCCTTGTTGCGCGACCTGTCCTCGAATGCAATTGCGTCATTCCATATTGCATTGGAGGCCCTGCCTGTGTCGCTGGTTCAGAACTCCAAATACATTCAGCACCCAGTGTTGCTGGAACGGTGGCTTATGGAGGGCTCGTACTCCAATGTCTGGCACGAGCGCCAAAATGTTCCGCGCGAAGAGTACCGCTTCTTTGTAGACATGCTCATGATCACCATCCGCCACGAAATTGCTTCTTGCGAGGAGAAGGCGTACGACACACTTCCTCTCAATGATGTTGCCACCTTGTTGTTCTTTGACAGCCAGAAGGAAGTCATGGAGTTCGCTTCCGAGCGAGGCTGGCATATCAATCCGACCAGCCAAACGGTGGAATTTGCGAACAAAAAGACGGATCGCGATTCGGAAGCACAAGAGCTCATTCCTATGCGATCAACTATTACGACCAATTTACACTTTGCGAAGGAACTGGAAAGCATCGTGTAAACGACCCCTATGTAGAAATGGCCCTGTGCATTCACAATATATTTACATATACTACAGAGTTTGGCGAAGGCCAAAAGGGTATCATGGGTACGAGTTCGGATGAGATGGCAATGTCGGTACAGAAAGTGTGTGGCTGGCATCACCACATGGGTGTGTGTGATCCCCATCATGCCCACCCTTCTTCATTTCCGAATAAGCTCGCATCTGTTTATCATATTCTGCACGCTCCTGGTTGGCTTTCTCGATATACGGCCGCTTTGTATCTTCGGTATACTCGCGCCATTTCGCTGCAGCAAGAACACTGATTTTTGTAGCATCCTGCTCCCCATGTAGCACTTCCTCTGCCAACGCTGGATTGTTGCGGAGTTCACGCAGGAAAATAAAGTAGGCAGAAGAGGGTCGTTTGGGCGCATTCGGGTCCTTCATATTAGCACGTCTTGACTTTCCCAAACGTCGTTGCATCGCACGGAAAACGTTCTCTTCACGAATATCCTCAGGTGTAAGATTGGATTTCCATTCTTCCAGTTTGACTTGGTACTCTTTCTTCAAAGCCTGACTTCGTTCAATGTAAGGTGCCCGCTCTTCCTCAGAGAGAGCCGCATACCGTTTGCCTGCCTCATGAGAGAAATGTGCCACGTTCAATGTGACGTCTGGGTTGACCTCTTTGAGTTTATGGAGCTCCTCGGTGAAATAAATTTGCCAAGGAGTCAGAAACTGTTTAGGCCGTTTCAGTTTGGACCTGCGGGGGGGTGTGTCATAAGGACCCTTGCGAGGAGGGGCTGTCCATGGAGTCGAGGCAGATGGCGGATATTTTCGTGGACGACCCCGACCACGTTTCTCGAGCACGTAAGATGGCATATCCATCGGGTTTGGGTTGGCCGTAATAGGTGCGCTCATATGTCTCCTCATCACAGGCCCTGTCATTGGCATAGGTGCTGAGGATTGCATGGGTGGTGCCATGGCAGGGTACATTGGTATGACCATCATGGGTTGCAATGATTGCGGAACAAACATATATGGTGGATAAGTGGATGACATGCCTGGTGGCAGAGGCGCCGGTGGTGCAGAGTGGCCGGGCATTGGCACCATTTGCGGTGGCGGGGGTAGCACCATGAATCCCGGTGGCGTAGGCCCACGTACATCACACAATGCAGGTGCAGAGTATCTCTGCATAGGCCCGTTGGGTGTAAGGATTTGTCCAGACTCACCCGAAGCGTCATGCGAAGTCTCCAGACTTTTTGGTGCCCCTGTATGCATAGATGTGCCTAGGTACGCGTTGGGTGGCGGATGCAGTCTGTCATCTGGAGGCTGATTTAACTGTCGTGGCGTCAGAAAAGAAAGTATACCGAAACATACCATACTAGAGTATGAAAATGAGGAATGCCTGTCAGCGCAGTCGAGATAGCAGGGGACGTCAATAGAGTCAGTCCACTGAGGCGTGGAATGCGTGTAATTATACACGCTCGCGCGCCGAGACTTGTCAGCGCCACCAAGACACGTGTGCACGTGAGGGATATGTGCCACGACGCTCAGATTCTGGGAGGCCTGGTCGTCCGTGCACACTGCAAATGCAAGCCTCGCCTGTCGACAAGGCACGTAAACCTGTTGCTTCTTCGGAGGGCTTGAAAAAGCATAGTGGCTACTCACTTCACTTCGAATACAAGCGAGCCAAAGACGCAGACTCCAATTTGTTGATTTTTCTGCATGGGTTGGGCGATACTTGTGCCTCGTTTTTCACGTTGGGCCAGCAGTTACAAACGACTCTCCCACAAACAGCAATTCTCAGCCTTCAAGCACCTCATCGCGTCCCATTGTTAGAGGAGCAGGCATGGATGTGGTGGGACAGTTTCGACTCATTGGGCGAGTGTACGTTGTAAGGCTCCACTGACTCTAGTGATTGTGCATCCAGATCCACGTCAAGCAATCGCGTCGCTGCATGCCTTATTTACGTATCTTACAACTACACCAGACCAAGGCGGATGTGGTTGGCCTGCAGCCAACATTCACCTATTTGGATATGCACAGGGAGGGTATGCTATGCTTGAGGCGCTTGTCGCATGGAAAGGAGCCCCTCTTGGGAGCGCCGTGGCAGTATGCAGTCAGCTGCTCTCTCTTCCCACATCATCAAAACGCTGCTCTACCCCTCTGGCGTTCACTACACGTTGGGAACGTTCCTTCCTCGCTTCATCGGAAGCACAGAGACAAGTGACATGGGCCGAGCGTGCGTTTGCCCATGTTCAGCACATCAACCTGCCCGGCTCTGGTGAGACGATGATTCACGGTGCGGAATGGAAAGAGATCATTCCATTCTGGAGCAAGTATTGGAGGAACCGTTCCTCCTGGGAACGGGAAGGCGAAGTGCTGGCAGTGTCCTAATGGACTCATCCTACCAACGGTGTACCAGCAGCGCGTTCAATTCGTCGACGCAGCTCTGAAGCAACATTTTCATTTTCGGATTTGGCGCCATTCTGGTATAGATCTGTGACAAATGCCGCCACACCTGCTTCGCCGATTTCTAGCTCTGCTCTGGCTCCCCAACGCCACTCAAAGGACGGCGCGGAGGGTGTCTCAGCGCTTGCTGCCACACGCACTTTTTCCAGATACCCATACCGTTGCATTTGCTGCAAAAAGGACTCTAGGTTACTTTGTTCATTGTGTCCACGCCGTGCATCAGCGAGGTCATCGACAGTCCTTGCGCCATGTGTTTGAATAGCGGTGGGTAATGGCCGGTCAATAAACAGCGAAAGTTGGGCTAGATAGGCACGCAGCTTTCCTTCGCCCACTTGACGCCCGGAGAGAAGAATTAGACTCAGAATCACAAACAACAGGCCCATAGACCCAGTTTCATCTTCCGTTTGCCGCCAATCCACCATCGACGATGCAGTCGAGGAGGACATAGTGAGTGCTTGAATTACATTGGATGGAAGGGTAGAGCGCAAAATGTATGCTGTCGCAGAACTGATGGCTTTGCGGCTAGATGACTCGTTGTTCTCTTCTGTTCTTCTTCGTTTGGTACCCACTCGACCATCCAGGGCCTTTGCTTGTTCGGCCAGTAGAGGATTTTCTGCACCACGAACGCGCATCTCTACAAGTTCAAATCCGAAGGTAGTTCGAAGAATCTGTTGGGCGCCTGCTAATATAACAGGAAAAATACGGGTGGTCTCTTTCTCAAGCACTACAGTCAGTGCCATGCAACATACCTTTTTTCACAATAGCATCACGACGCAACGGGGATCTTTGATACTCTGTAAATAGAGACAACCTTACAAGGTCATGTACCATCCTTGTGATGGGCCCTTCGCCTATATTTAATGCCATGGATCGAGCTGCTGCCGAGATAGGTACGTCTTTGGAATTGCATGTCAATGCATCAAACCACGCTTCATTCCCCGGCACAGTTGATGAGGGCATATTATCATGCACATGCTGGGTGGACGATGGCGTCCGTACGGCCGACGCTGGCTCGGCACCAGCAGTTCGAGCGCTGGCGCCGCTACGCTCACGAGGTCGACGCGACATGGAAGTGGAGGTTGAACGCGTCGAGAGAGGACCAGACGTGCGTTTTGTCATCTGCCAAAAAAAAAAAATCGGCCACGAATCGTGCATTGACGTAGCACGACATGTTTAAGCGTCTGAATAAGGCGTCTGCATTGCGCGCCCAACTTGATGAAGAGGAGGAGGACGATGCACCTGTATCACTAGAAGCGGCTCTTGACGAGGATAGTGCAAGTGACTCGGATCTGCAGGACAGTGATGAGGATGAGGATGACAGTGATGATGACGACGACGACGAGGACGAGGAGGAGAGTGAGGACGGTGCGTTCACGGTAGCTCAGGCGCTCCAAAGTCCTATTTACGTGGATGACGAGTCTAATTCGCACGTGCAACTGTTCCGATGTGTTGCTTGTCCTATTGTACACCTAAAGAACGAGAAAAGCATCGAGGTTCATCTCGAAAGCAAAAACCACAAGCGCCGCTATGCACGTTTTGTTGCTTTCGCCGAATCGGAGAAGAAGAAAGAAGGTAATAAGGTTTTATATATCGATCCACGCACGCTAATTGACCTGCTAGAAGATGAGCGTGCGAAAGCCATGCAAGCCACGGCGTCTGCGTCCAAGAAGCGCAAGACGGTCCATGAGGATGCCACGCAAGAGACCTACGTGCCACGTCTCGAACGGCGCAAGATGCGTCGTGCAGCACGGCGAGAAAAGCGCGCGGCACTTCAAAAGCCGTCATCGTCGTAACTAGGAGCACGCATCTAGCCATTTCCAGCGCACAAGCTCCAATGTCATTTGTGCATCTTCAGCAGAGGAGTGGCCCACACTTGCGCCGCCTGCCTGGATAATTTTCCCGAGATGCTGGCCTACAAGCTCGCGCAGGGCCAGGCGATAGGGCAAGCCTCGCGGGTGTGGAAAGAGGTAGCAGGTATCTACCACATTCGTGTGCACTAGGCGGATAGCATGCAAGTCGTTTTCCAATCCATGGCCAATCTAGAAGGTCAGTTATAGAGGAACGTACCAAGACGGTTTCAGGGCCAATGTACTGCGCTAAAGCGCGACGGGCAGCCTCCAAATCAAATATAGCCTTGGCTTCGTACTCGTCCGGCTGAATACCGGAGAACTGAGTATTAAAGTCCACGATAGAGACGCCGTCAGAGCACTGAATGAGCTCGTCAAATACCACATCTCCCATAGCATCGACCAGCGTAATACGTGTCACGCTCAAACCGGCTGTAGAGTAGCTCATTTCACAGTCTAGCGCCGCCACATCCAATAGCTCGGACGTGTCATGCTCGAGATCATGCCATGTTACATACGCAGAACGACGATGCATCTCGCGAGGCTGTTCTTCCTTAAACACATGAGGCCCTGTAGCACATCGGTCGTCGCCCAGGGTCTGGGTATCTACAGCGCGACCGCAGCAAGTCCAGCGAAGCACTTTGCGTGCACGGGGGTCGCTGGTGGCCTCGCGTCGTGGACGTCCTGGATGGTACCGGCATGCCTCTGGGTCTTGCTGCCCAGGTCGTAGGTCATGCGACACGCCTAAAGGCCCCACAGTAAATGGCATCCCGCACCGAACGCAAGTTTGTTCCTCGCCTGTCGCGTCAGGTTTGGTACTTCCTGGACCCCATTCTTCAGGCAAAGAAGTAAGGTAGCCTAGTGTAGCGAGATCGCCTTTCGGGCATAGGAACCCTGCTTTGGCCAACCGAGTGCGCGTCAAACGACCACGTTGACGTAGGGACGCCTGCTCCCTTTTTTTAACCACATCGGTGTGCGTACCAATTTCAGTGCATGATTGCAATGTATCGTACGCAGCCTTGGTATCCCCTTGCTCCAGGACCTGCTGTGCATCATCCAGCGAAGACTGTAGCACATCTGTAGCGCGTTTGAGTACGCTAGCCGCCGCTGTCATACAGGACGTTTTGTAGGAATACTCACTGGCATGCTTGAAGACCTCTACTTCCATACTCTTCGCATGAACAGCTGCCATCTGCCGACCCCAGGACTGGATCGTAGGATGGGAATGTTGAAGAAGAGGCGCGTAGAATCGGCATAACGTCGTAAACATTTTTTTCACGCCATCTTGGCGCGTCGCAAGGGAGATCTTGGAGGTAACGGAATGATCTTTCGACGTAAGTCTTGGGCATACCAGGGTCGAGCTCGGCCCTACGGAGGCACTAGTAGAGGCTCGCAAGGAGTCCGCTGGACTCGCACTGACGCCAGATTCCATGTGTCGACGTTTGGGCGCAGGTTCATCTATACGTGGAGGCGGCCGTACCTTGGATAGATCATGCGAAAATGGGCATGCGACACGGCGCGATTCACACTCGCCATCCCGATGAGCTGGGCACACCACATCGGTGAGCCGCCCACGCGTAGGCAGCATAAGTGCGAAGTGGAAGAGAGCGCCTCGGGCCTCCACATGTGAACATGGCGTGAGGCTCGCTCGCGTCCCCTTTGGTTTGCCCTATCCACCACGCCAGGTCGTACCTTGGTGAGATGTCTCGTCCTATCGTTTTGGTGACAGGTGCCAATGCTGGCGTAGGCTTGGGTGTATGTGAGCGCTTGCTTGTGCAGCTCTCCAATCCCACGCCGCCTGATAGTGCTGCCCTGGATAGCGGCGATCATGAGGTCGCAGGCACACCGTTTCATGCGGCAGAAGGCTGTACGCTGCTTCTCGCGTGCCGAAACCAGGCGAAGGCCGCAGAGGCTGTAACTCATCTTAAACAGATCTTAGCGCGTCTCGCTACTGCAGATGACCTGGCTGTGCAGAAGAATACCTCACCATCGCGATGGGCTGAGGCATCGAGCAGCGCTGTGGCCAGCGCCTCGTCGCTGCGTAAGCGCGAGTTCACCCAGGATGACTCTGCACCACTTGATACACGCACGCGTGAAGCACGGATCCACTACCGCCAATCGTTCTGCCGCGGCACGATCATCGAGGTTATTCCGTTGGATCTCGCGAGTTTGGAGAATACAAAGGCTTGTGCGAAGCTGATTACCGATAAAGTGCCGTACCTTACGCATATCATTTTGAACGCAGGTGGCGCTGCCTGGATCGGTGTCAACTGGCTGTGGGCGACATGGGAGATTCTTACAAGTCTGCACAAAGCTGTAACGTTCCCGTCGTACAAGTTGCAACGCGCTGGTGACAAGAGCGATGATGGGTATGGATGGGTCTGGCAAACGAATGTCGGTTCTCATTACGTGCTTGTTCAAGCACTTGAACCGCTTCTTCGACGCTCCCCATACGCCGTGCCCTCGCGTGTCATTTGGACAGGCTCGCTCGAGGCGAATAGAAACGACTTCCATTTGGACGATTTCCAGTGCCTCGACCCACGCATTTCACCACATCCTTATGAATCCACGAAGTACCAGTGTGAACTGGCTGCACTTGCTATGGATGAGCGCTACGTGAATACGCATGATGCGCATGCCCCACGCGTGTACACCGCGCATCCGGGTATCGTGGCCAGCAGCATCTTCAGTACCGTCATCCCAAGCATCATGCTTCTCATGATGAAGTTGGTCTTTTACCTGGCACGTTGGACATTCTCACCTCATCATCCGATCGATGCGTACAAAGGAGCTATTGCCGCTACGTTCGTGGCCGTCGCCCCGCCAGAGGCGCTAGACTCTACTGCGCGCTATGGGGCCCAGTGCACGTGGACTGGCACTCCATACGTTCATGCTGGTCGCCTGAATGGGTGGCATGAATCGTCCGATGGATCGCCCGACCCCGCGATTCAGGGCTTGGCACGCGAGTTGCTGACCGCGTACGACCGAATTTTATCGTAGGTAGAAAATGCATAATTCCACAATTTAACGCGCGGGCCAACCGACTAAGCAGACCCTGAACGAAACATGCGAGCGATCAGCGCCTTTGCCACTGAACAATCGGTGCTGTGGTTGACTATCATGTGGGCACTTCGGCGTGCGGTAACCGCCCGTACGAATGCCGCCATGTGGCGTCGTAGGGTTATTGTACCACGTCAACCGTATATCCCGTCAGCACAAGCTCTGCATATGTTGTCAGTACGCCCCTCCGTGCAAACGATGCAAATGCACCACCTTGCGCGTCAAGTGCCATCGTCACGCGCTTTGAGCACCCGCACGTTTGTGCCTCGCGCTATGTTGAAGCTGGTTCGCCTGCCACTGGCCGGGCTAGTAACTGCTGGTGGCGCTTACGCGTACGTGGATCATAAACTGGATGGTATGTATAACAAACACATATTGACTGGCAGGCTTCAAGACCAAGGTGAAAGGCCTCTTTAACAGTGCCGGAGAAACGGCCTCTGACTTGTTTGATTCAGTGTCTGGCTTCTCTTCGGATGTGGCCCAATCTGCACAGAGTGGCTTCCGCTCACTTATGCAACGATTGAACGATATCCAATCGTCGTCGTACTGGAGTTCACGAGAAGACAGTGAAGACGAACATGAAGATGGCCAAGGCAGCGGTGGAAATGGCAATGGTGGCAAGGGTCTTGCTGCGGCCGCTGCGGCCGCTGTGGCCGCCGCTGTTTCGGGCGATGGTGAACAGGGCGAAGGTGGCGAACAGCCTCCGTCTCCCGAAAACAGCGATGAGCTGATGCTCCTCACACGAAAGCTCATCGAAGTGCGCAACATTCTCAAGACCATCGATCATGACAGTGAAGAGCTTATTCTCCCTAGCATTGTGGTCATTGGATCGCAGAGCAGTGGTAAGAGTAGCGTGCTGGAGACTATTGTCGGCCATGAGTTCTTGCCAAAGGGCAACAATATGGTCACTCGCCGACCAATTGAGCTGACATTGGTACATGTACCGAAGGACCATCAACCCGCTGATGGCATTGTGGAGTATGGCGAGTTCCCAGGTACAGGCATGGGCAAGATTACCGACTTTAGCCGCATCCAAAAGATGTTGTACGATATGAATATGGCTGTACCGAAGGAAGAATGTGTGTCAGAGACGCCTATTGAGCTGCACATTCACAGCCCTCATGTGCCTGATCTCTCGATGATCGACTTGCCGGGCTACGTTCAGCTGAGTTCTATGGACCAGCCAGAAGAGTTACGTGAGAAGATCAGCGGCCTGTGTGACAAATACATTAAGGAGCCCAATATTATTTTGGCAGTGTGTGCGGCAGATGTGGACTTGGCCAACTCGCCAGCGCTGCGAGCGAGCCGCAAAGTCGATCCAATGGGTGTTCGTACAATTGGTGTGATTACCAAGATGGACTTGGTCGCTCCCGAAGTTGGCGCAGCGATCTTGAACAACAACAAGTACCCACTGTCATTGGGGTATGTTGGTGTTGTGTGCAAGGCACCGCACCAGGTGGGCCAATCGATGTTTGCCCTTTCGCGCAGCAACTCGCTCATCCAGCTGACGCAAGAGTATGAGCGCCGCTTCTTTGAGGAGCATCGTGAACACTTTGCTGCGCCGACACGTGGGCGCCATGCTGGACAGGCGCCTATGGTGGGCTCAGACCAGCTGCGTCAGCGCCTTATGGTTGTGCTGGAAGAGCACATGGGCTCGTCCCTGAGTGGTGTTGCGAACTTGGTTCGCTCTGAACTAGATGATGCTGCCTACCAATTTAAGGTGCAGTACAACGACCGTGCAATTACGCCTGAAACCTACGTGGCCGAAGTCATGGATATCATGAAACAACGCTTCAAGCATTTCTCATCAAGCTTCGGCAAGCCGGAAGTGCGTTTCCTTCTAAAGCAGGCACTGGACGACAAAGTCATGGATATTTTGGCGCAGGCGTACTGGACAGATGACCAGGTGCGCGAACTGACAGCGCTGGGAAGGCAGGGTAAGCTCAAACCTGAGGATTTGGATGCCATGTGGAACCACAAGCTGGATATGTGCTCCTCCTCGCTGACCAAGAGTGGTATCGGCCGTATGAGCACCCAACTTGTGGCCAATACCATTCGCACACAGCTAGAGCAGCTCGCTACCGCTGAGCCATTCAACCACCATCACGAGACTGCTGAGCGCATTATTGCCTTCGGCAGTGCACTTCTCCGTGACCGCTTCGGTATCACAGCTGATCAGGTGGAGAACTGTGTCAAACCATACAAGTATGAAGTGGAAATGGATCAGCGCGAGTGGGAACAGGGACGTCAACAATCAGTGCTTCTCATGCAGAATGAGTTGGCTATGTGCACAGAAGCATACGACCGTCTGAAGAACCTCGTGGGTGGTCGTCGTTTGCGTGGTGCAATGGAGTACATTACACAACTTGAAGAACGCGAGCGCAAGCGCATTGCAGAGCGTGTGGAGCTGGCCGAAGAGCGTCCCACGGATCTTGAGGTCGAGGATCAAAACGACCCTACTCGCCCTGGCTTCAACTCGGCTTTACTCATGAAGGCACGCGAAGCACGGTTCCTTCAAGACCGTGCCGACATTCTCCGCATGCGCCTTGCAGCCCTCAGGTCGTGGCGATGCAAAGCGGGTCCGCAATCGCAAGCTTTCTGCCCAGAGACGTTCTTGAATGTGGTGGCGGACAAGCTGACGTACACGGCTGTGATGTTCATCAATATTGAACTGCTTGCAGAATTCTTCTACCAGTTCCCGCGTGAGATCGATGCACGTCTAGGCTACGATATGACGCATGAAGACATGGTCAACTTTGCTCGTGAGAATCCGGCGATTCGGAACCACATCGACTTGCAAGAGCGCAAGACGAAGTTGGAAGAGGTTATGCTCAAACTCGATGACCTTACACGACTGTACCATGACCGCCACCCAGCCAAGTCTACATCAAAATGGCTCTTCTTTTAATTCTTCGTACATATGCAATACAAACACTTATGTAAAACATGGTATGTGGGCGGACATTGGCCGTTGTCGCAGGAGAGTGCCATATCGGCACACACTTGCTACAACTACCGCTTGGGACGTGTGGGACACGGAGCCCAAGTCGCACATCCGGCCGACCAGGCATGTACCCTCTCCTGTGCCGAGGCGACAAAAGTCAGGTAGGCCCAACAAGGTCTTGTTTTCGGCGGGCTATGACTCAAACTTCGGCCACGGTATCCCGCAAAGGATACGGCTCGATGCTCTTAAGTCCCGTCGCGAATACACTCACTCTGACATGAACAAACACAAAGTAGACGCAGTCGTACATTGCATAGTAACTACTGTTTTTAGTTAGGATGCTGCACAGCACAAAGCACACAGCAGGCACGAAGAATAGGCTCAGACAGTCGATTCTCGTCAAGGGTGCCGCACGTTGATGTGCAGCCCCATCGGTCAAGAGATGCCAGTTTTACGTGCAGTCGTGCACTTCATCAATCACAGCCTTTGCGCTTCCCGCCTGCTGTGAGCATCCATACGTACCTCGTTATGGACGTTCCTACGAACGTTTTTGATGTGGAGGACGACGAGGTGTGCGCCAGACAGTTGCTTACCAAGCAGACCGTGGAGCTGAAACGAGTCTCCCTGGATGAGGGTCCATGGCCAGTAGTTCACGTGATTACACAGTTTTTGCAGTTCTGCGAGCGCGAAGGACAGCGTGGGTCAGCGAACCTCCTTTCTTGCTACACTACGGTTGTCGTCGACCTTCACAACACCAGTATGGCGTCTGCTATTATCTCGAAGAAGAGGAAGTTTGTTGCGGACGGTGTCTTCACCGCTGAGCTGAACGAGTTCTTCACTCGTGAGCTCGCTGCTGAGGGCTACTCGGGCTGCCTGGTCCGTGTGAACCACGTTCGCACTGAGATTATCATCCGTGCTACCCACACCCAGGAGGTGCTCGGTGACAAGGGTCGCCGCCTGCGCGAGCTGACCGCGCTGGTGCGCCAGCGTTTCCGCTTCCCGGAGGGCTCGCTTGAGCTCTACGCCGAGAAGGTCATGAACCGTGGTCTCCACGCCGTGGCCCAGTGTGAGTCGCTGCGCAACAAGCTCCTCGGTGGTCTGCCGGTGCGTCGTGCTGCCTACGGTGTGCTCCGCTACGTCATGGAGTCGGGTGCCAAGGGCTGTGAGGTCATCATCTCGGGTAAGCTGCGTGCTGCCCGTGCCAAGAGCATGAAGTTCAACGATGGCTTTATGATCCACACTGGTCAGCCGGCCAAGGACTTTGTGGACCACGCTACCCGCCACGTTCTGATGAAGCAGGGTGTGCTTGGTATCAAGGTCAAGATCATGCACGGTTGGGACCCCGAGGGTCGCACGGGCCGTCCGTTCCCGCTCCCGGATGCGGTTACCATCATCGAGCCGAAGGAGGACGAGCCGCCGGCGCACCCTGTTTCGGAGGCGCGCAACCAGCCGCAGGCTCCTGCCCAGGCCGAGGCCCAGCAGGCCGCTCCGGCTGCGCCGCAGGCTGCTGCGTTCTAAGCGCGAAGCTTCAAATCCCCCAGGTAATCGGGAGTGTTGTTGGTCGCGTGTGCGCTGTATTCCCACGCCGCTACATGCTCGTATAAGAGGCATTCGTGCCCGCGCAGCATGGTGCGCGTTTGTGTAGCGGAATTGCGTCTCTAGTCATATCCATGTAGATGACATGCGTCGTTGGATATCCACGGCGTGTGCCCAAAATCCACGCTTTGAAGCGGGTGAAGAAGACGATGTGTTTTCGTTTGAGAAGCGGATCTATCAAGTCTACGACGGAATGTGGTGGACACCATAGAGTCGGTCCGATGCGAGCTGGCACTGTGAATTTATCACGGAGTTGCGTGCCGTACCCCAGTGTACACGGCCCACGCCCAATGCCCCGGATTCCTAGCCTATGCCAGCGTGCGTACCGCAGTGTGTGCTGGGGAGTGAGGCCAGCGTGCTTAAAAAAATCATGTGACTTTGTGCCCATACTCCGCATGGGGTGGTAGAAATGCAAAAATTCTCAGCCGCAGAGGGGGTGGGCCGCAGAAAGCGAGGCGGCCGTAGGTGCGAACGAAGCCCGGCCGCTAGTTTTCTTCCATCGACCTTGGGCGTGGGTGTGGTACGTTACGATACGGTAGTGGATTAACAGCTAGATTCCTAGAACTCAGTCGCAAACTTTCAGCAGACTTTTCTATCTGAACTGAACATGTCGGTTGCGATCAACAACCCGTTCCAGCTGCTGGGTGTGGATGGCCAGGAGGAGGCTCCTGCTCCGGCCGCTGCGCCCGCGAAGACCGAGACGGCTCGTCGCAACGTGCCTGGCCTGCCGCGCGCGGCTGAGGAGCCTGTCCAGCGTGACCACCGTGGCGCCGACCGTGGTAAGAACGAGCGCTCCCACCGTGGCAAGGGTGACCGCAGCCGTGGTGGCCGTGGCGGCGCTCGTGGTGGCCGTCGTGCCTTTGACCGTCACTCGATGTCTGGTCGTGAGGACACCGCGAAGTCGGTGCGCCAGGGCTGGGGCGGCGACGACGCTGTCAGCGAGAAGAAGCTCGAGGAGGGCGCTGAGGCGGATGCCAAGGCTGACGCCGAGGCCGAGAACGCCGAGAAGAAGCGCTTCGAGGAGGAGGAGCAGGACAACACCCTCACCCTCGACCAGTACTTTGCCAGCCAGAAGGAGAAGCGTGCGCAGATCGCCACAGTGGCTGCGCCGCGTGCCGTGGAGGCCGATGAATCAGTGTACGGTCAGCGCCTTGACAAGGGCGAGGGTGAGTCGTACTTTGCCGGCACCGAGAAGAAGTCGGCTGCCCCGCGTACCACTCGCAAGGAGAAACAGACCATTGAGATCGAGCCCGTGTACCAGCAGCCGTCGCGCAGCTCGGACCGTGCGCCCCGCGGTGGCCGTGGTGGTGCCCGTGGTGGTCGTGGTGATGCTCGCGGCGCTCGCGGTGGCCGTGGTGGTGCCCGCGGTGGCCGTGGTGCAGCTCGCGGTGGCCGTGCCCCTGCGGGCGGTAAGGGCCTCAACGTCGACATTGCGGACGAGAGCGCTTTCCCGAGCCTGAGCTAAAACACAAAAAGGAACTGAACGTTTCACACGGCTCACTCTATTCTAGTCGTAGACCGCCCCAGGTTAAGTAGGCTATGTAATGGAAATACCTACTCATAAGTGGCGGAGGTATATGCTGTATGCGTGGTTGTGTGACAGGTAGCTAGGATGCTTTCGTAGTAGGGACGGTGGGGGGCGTCGTCTCGCCGACCAGGGTATGCGAAGTATGAATGCACAACGACGCGTAAAGCATCGGCGCGAGTTGCGCATCATGCAGAGCGACATGCCGATGGCCGCGACCGAGCCGCCCCAGGCTGATGGTGCGCCGCGCAATCAAGACAGGTCCATTGGGCTGGTCGTCCCAGACTTGCAGGTGGACCAAGCACAAATCCAGTTGGCCCCGTGTGGCTTCATGCAGCACAATAGCTTGGTGCTCGGCTGAGGCATGACGTGAGCGTTGCGCGAGCCAGGCTGCAGAGTCAAGACCTAGAGGCACAGGTACATCCAAGTAACACGTCGTATGCCATTGCGGCGCTAGGCCATTGGACAATACGGTGGGGGTGCGCATGGACAATCGCGAAGTGGTCGTGGCCGCGGTCGGCGTAGCCAGTGTCACTTTTTCCTGGGTACCCCATAACGCTGGCGTCTCCAGATGGACGCTCACAAAAGGGCACGTAGCCGCTTCTTCCCGTTGTCGGCACGGCAGCTGCTGGCCAGAGACGATCGTCAAGGCTGTGCGAACCAACACGGAACCTGGAGCATTCTTCACATGCGAACGCAAACGCAAGGCTTCTGGTTTAAGTACATATCCTGGACTTCCAGCAAAGAGAGCCAGGTTTTGCGCCATACCCGCATCGCGCGTCTGCCAATTGAGTGCCACCAACTGACACCCCGCCGCCCACATATCGGTTGGCGCAAAGTTGGCACTACTTGTCACGCGGCTAAGTTTGGTCATGGATGGGTATACACGCGTAAGATGCGTGAGATTGTGCTTGATGAGCGCTGTAGCACTCTCGCGGATCAGGCGGCGGGCCTTGCGCTCTGACAATGAGATCATATGCTCAATGTCATACACTTCTTTTTTATTCAGACCACGACATGGTACGCCAACGGTGTAAATAAGCAGCGACACGAGCTCTTGGGCCATCGGCCGTGACTTCACTTCAGGCGCAGAACGTCGATGACGTGCAAGTCGGACAAGGGTACGCTCTAAAAGCGAGTCGCTTTCCGAGCCAGTAGATGCCGAGGCCGATATGGTCGAAGAGGTCGTGGAATAGGCCGAGGAGGAATCCGAGTGGTCTTCGTTGTCTGGCATAGTAGATGTCGGCACAAGTTCATAATTCTTGCATTTCACAAGAATTCGATACCGAAGCTGTTCAGGGCTAGGCAGGTTACCTGGCACAACGTCCGGCAATGGCGCGGTCACCAGCATCTCGCCAAGTCGTGAACGAAGAATGTGAGCGAGAGTAATCTGCTGTGCCACATCGTTGTGAACTTCCAGCGATAGGATCAGTGGGTATGGCGAAGTGACAAACGCGTATTGTGCAATCGCTGCGACAACGTCGTCCAAAGGTACACGGCCTGTCAGAGTATGCCCATGCGTCACCTGTGGCTGGCCGTTGGGACCATCCCAGCAATCGAGCTCAACGCTCCGAGCTCCTTGCTGCAAGGCACGAACATACCCTTCCACAGTGCTATCACCTTTCCACTGCCCACCTTCCAAGTACGTATTGTGACTGGAAGAGATATAATAGTGACTTAGCGGCTCGTCTAACCGCATTGTTGCATCCACCGGAAAAACACCATGCACAGGTCGAGGCGCTGGGGTCGCATTATCACGCGACGTCAGAAAGGCAATGAACCCATCAACATGCGCCACATGATAGCGATGATACAATCGCGCTATCGTCGCGTCACTCCAGCCAAACTCACCTTGCTCCTGCCGAAGAAACGTAACAAAGGACTCGTAGGAAAGCACATCATTCTCGGCCCATTGCGCAAAAAGCGCTTCTAAATCAGCACGCCGCTTTAGGAGCGTGACAAATTGCTGGAATGCATCAAAGTGTAGAACACCAGCATGCTCGCGATCTGCTTGCGAAAACAAAACACTGATCTCGCTAGGTGCCACTTGAAGCCCCATACGCTGGCACAGCCTTTGGACAGCAGGCAAATCGAGCGCTTGGGACGAATGCAGCCATGACGCCTCAAGCCAGTCAGATTGAGCTCGCGACGCAGCTACACGGCCTGATGTCATGGCCTGCCATTGGGCGAGAATACGCAAAAGTGTATCCCGCCATCGCTGCAAACTTTCATCACTCAGGGCCACAACATGCACGGCTTTGTAGCCCCGTTCAGCTTGGTATATAATCGAGATCCAACGAGGCTCATGTGCATCGCTGATTTGCAAAGCATGACGATACGATTGGGCCGTATCTCCGATACGAACGTCGCGAATCGCATAAAGTGGCACAGAATTTCCACGCTTGCTGTCCCATACAATACAGGTAGACTCTGCATCCACGCGAAACGTCCGCTCCGCGACTTTGTTCTGCGTAACTTTGAGCATCACTTCGCCGGCTCGCAGCGCAGAGGGAACTAACGTATCCAAAGGTTCAAGGGGACCAGTTACTGTTGCATTGAAAATGGGTGGGGAGGCAAGAGAAGACGATTTAGGTGGGTCACTGCGCATCGCGCGAAACGCCCGAGTGGATTGTTTCCATGCCGCATAACGCGCTGGAAGGCCACCAAACGTACGGAGGGAAGTAGGTGCACTGCCACTGTACATAACATTAGGTCCAGGGCTTGTGCTAGGGCTCCCATTCGTGCTGTTACCCATGGTGGGGGCAGGCGACGCAGATGGGGGGCTGGCCTGGCCCCAGCTCTCGCTGCGTCGTCTTCGTGCGACAGGCTCGGGCAACCGGATAGGGATCGGCCCCACCTGCGCCTCAATTACACCGGCCGCTGGGGTGCCCATAGATGGACCCACCTCGGCCTAGAGAAAAGCAATAGAGTTGGACGGACAAACGACCGATGACTTCGTCGTACAGCGCTGCCCCTCGCACCGATGAGCGCGCGACGCACACCCATGAAGCGCCTCCACGCGATTGGGTCGCCTTGAACAAAAAAAAATCAGCGCCTGGGCGCCCCCACATCGGGCAGAGGGACCAGACCTGCGATTGGTGTTTGTCTCGCTCGCACTGTGACCTATTCCCCCTGATCGGACACGCAACTGCTTGGCGCTCCATGGATGTATGGGTGGCTGTAGGCATTGGCCTCATTGCCAGCTTTATCCAGAGCTTGGGTTTAACACTACAGCGTCGCTCACACTTGCAAAATGAGCGCTTACCAGCAGAGGAACGTTGCTCGGAGTGGCGTCGGCCATTATGGGTCACTGGTTTCGTGGTCTTCCTAGGCGCCAATATCAGCGGGACGCTCTTCCAGATTGGATCTCTTCCTGTGGTCATTCTCGCACCTCTTGGTGCGGTAAGCCTTCTGTACAATGCTTTCCTCGCTCGTATTATGCTCAACGACCTCCTATCACAGCACATGCTTACAGGCACCTGTCTTATTGCCGCTGGCGCCATCGCTATTGGATACTTTGGCACAGTACCCCATGCACCACGGAGTCTAGAAGATCTAATTGCTTTATACCATCGTCCAGCCTTTGTCGCACTAGCGTTGCTATTCTCACTTGTATTTATCTCTCTGTTAACGATGGCACATCTGACAGAGTGGCAACTTACATGGCAACCACCTGCCGATGTACACAAGAGCTTTGTACGTCGTAGGTACCGAACAGGCTTTCGTCGTTTCCTCACGGTGCCGTCATTGGCGACTGTGGCGGAAGTCAGCGAAAATAGCTCGGGTATTGCAACACCCTTTGCTACGTCGAACATTGACGATCGTGTTCACCGCTTCTCGGAGGGAGATATAAATGCTGTCAAAAAAATGCATGGCACACTACCATCCGACCCACGTGTGTCAAAACCTATCCATTATGGCGCCATCAGCCGATCACAGTCTCGCAGACTCTCCTCCCCGAGCGTCACAGAAGAGACAGAGCCTTCCCAGGCAGGCAGCAGCACCGACCCAATGGCCTCGCGTACCGCATTAGACATGCCAGCTCATCGGCCCACAGTACTGGCACTGGCTGTGATTTACAGCTCTGTCAGCGGCACCCTTAGCGGTGTGTGTCTGCTTATGGCCAAGAGCGGCGTTGATTTGCTGATCCTATCATTGCAAGGCCACAACCAATTCCGATCTTGGGGCAGTTGGTCGCTCGTAATTCTTATGCTGCTTGCAGCCCTGCTACAATTGTGGTACCTACACAAGAGTGTCAAGCTCGCTGATCCAGTGTTGGTCGCACCACTCGCCTTTTGCTTCTACAACATCTCCTCCATTACGTTAGGCCTCGTCTACTTTGATGATGTCGCACAGTTGTCCTGGACTAGTATGTTTATGGTCATGCTAGGCACTATGGTACTGCTTTGTGGTGTGTGGGTGATCAGTTTGGATAGGTCGGGGCCTGATACCACGGAAGAAGATGCGACATTTTGGGGCCCTGGTTGGCAAGATCCTATCTCGTATGATGCGACCAACTCGCCTCCGTGCATCGATGTCGAGCAGCAAGAAACAGTGACGTCGCCTGAGTCTACATCCTCATCTGGCTCCTCTCACCTGCCTCCCTTGGTACTTCCATCCACCCCTCGTCGACCAACATCTGGTCCAAGTACACCTACTTCTAAGCCTAGGTCTTTGTCGATTTCCTTGGATCATGCACTGACAGAGGGCATGCATACCACAGATCATGCGCATATGAAGAGCACACACCAGCCTACCTTATATGGCATCTTAGTCGAGCGAGGATTGAGTATTGGAATCAGCCCTAGCTCCCCAGGTTTCCATGTCCATGCTCGACGTCGTGTGTCGTCCCCTTTGTCACCATCAGAACAACATGACTCGCCGTCTTTAGCGTAGAAGTCAGATTCTCAAGGATACCCATAGCATATACGATCTATAATCATAACATCCAAACTATTACTTGATTACGACGAAGAAGCTGGTGAAGACGTTAAAAAGTCTTCCAAGCGCACGGCCGGAGCAGGACTTCCTTCCCCCGAAGTGGTGCGTGTGCGAAACGATATGGTGGAGGAGCTGGCCGGCAGGGTCGACGTCGACATGCCCATGCTGCTTGTACGTTGTGGAGTCTCGGGATTATTGGGGGTCGGTGAAGACACAAGCTGGACAGATGTTCCCGTTGGCAATATAGCCATGTTGGGAGACGATTCCATAGAGAAAGGAACAGGAGTGATACGCGAGCCACTGAAGCTTCGCTGTGAAGTGGACGTTGTTGGCGAGCTTGACGAGGTGCTAGTTGTAGATTCACGTGTTGGTTGAGATACCACATTGACCGAAAATGTTGTTGCGATACCCTTGGATGAAAAAGGCGCGTTGTGGGATGCGGAAGACGCTGGTGTTGAATTTGTAGCAGGAATACGCTGAGCTTCTGGTATTGAACGCTTAGCAGGCGAAGAGGAAGCGCTACATGTAAACCCTATACGTTAGTTCACCAATAGCACACGTACGGCTCCATACGGTCAAAACAATACCTCGAACCTCCATGACGGCGAGGAAAATGAAAGGGAAAACGCCGAAAAATAATGCTAAAGCGTAAAGAACGTACAATCCACCCTTAATCACATAAGGCCACATCTGCTCGTAAAAGCTTGGTGGCTCTGGTTCTGCTTTTGTCACCAAAATAGCTTTAATCTGCTCCCATACTGATGCTTGAACCTCCCTCATAGTAGCTATGGTGGGTACTCGTGACCCGATCTCTCACTCGAAAGCACGGCTCAATGCACTTGTGGAGAATGATGCATCGGGCTTACAAGCACGAATGAGCCACTCGATGTCCCAGTTCCACGTGCACAAGCCGAGCCGCAAGTGCACGCAAATCTCGTCACGAAAAATAGGAGATGAAGAAATTCCTCGTAGAACTAGCTAACGATACATACGGGGGGAATCTAGATGAATGACATGGCGCAACAGCCAAGCCGTCGTTCGCTGACGCGGGACACACGGCAAGCATTACGTGGGGATCACCGCCTCGCAGCTACACGCCAGCGCTACGCCGTCGTAAAAACCGCGCCCCAAGCTAGCTCCAGATATCGAGGATTTTGGGGAAGATGCCATAGCACATATTTAGTAGCCGTACTCCGCGAGCTTCTGGTTGATCGGCTCGAGCTCGCTGGCAGCAGCCGTCGCAGCAGCAGCACGGCGCTTGAGAGCGGCCTGCTTGCGCTCGTGGAAAGCCTGCTGCTTGACAATACGCTTGGCCTCGAGCTTGTCGACAGTCTCGGCGTACTTCCAGCCCACCTCGCTGGAGATACGCTTAAGAGTAGCGTACTTGCGGCCCGGCTTGAGGCGGAGCACACGGAGAGCGTCAGGAATGACCAGCTTCTTCTTGCGGTCGTACGGCTGCGGCACACCCTCGTAGATCTTGAGGCGCTGGAGAGCAGCGGCACCACGGGCAGTCTTGTGGGGAACCATACCGCGGACAGCACGGAAGAGGATGCGCGAAGGAGCGCGGTGGTGGAAAGGACCGTTCTTCTTCGGGTTGACAAGGTGGCGCTTGTGCATGAAAGCGTGGTACTTGAGCTGTTTGGTTAGAAAACAACGTCACAAAGAGTACATACCTTGTTGCGGAAGAAGCTGCCCGACACGTTGATCAGCTCAGCGCGCAGAACAACGACCTTCTGGCCCGAGAGGATCTGCTTGGCCAGGATCGAGGCAAGACGACCGAGGAGATGGCCCTTACCGTCGACAATGAACGGAGTACTCTGCATAAGCGACATGACGAATATAAACTCTGGGTAGTGTTAGTATACTGTTGAGGAGTGAAAAGAAAAGCGACGCCTCAATGACCACGACACAAGCCCTGGTCCTGCCTCGCTTCGTAGCTACACACCTTGACGAGTGGCCGGCAGGTAGGAAAACGATACAAGGCACCCGGGGCTCATCTCGACCTCAAGGGAGTCACGTGCAGACCTTCGAAACTATAGTTGCAAACAGCGTGAGATGCTATGAAGTACCTCGGCCGAGCAGAAGAGGTCGCTGCCTAGACGACGCAAAGCGTCTGTCCCAGTTTTTGTCACCACACGGTCGCCTAGTCCTGTGAATTGTAGGTATCTTCTTGCCTGTGGATATCCATCTAACACAATAGCAAGATGCCGGCTGCTACCATCCCGATCGTGAAGAAGCGGACGAAGAAGTTTGCTCGCCACCAGTCTGACCGCTTCAAGCGTGTTGGTTCTTCGTGGCGCAAGCCCAAGGGTATCGACAACGCTGTCCGCCGTCGCTTCAAGGGCACCATCCGCATGCCCAAGATCGGCTACGGCTCGAACAAGAAGACCCGCCACATCATGCCGAATGGTTACCGCCGCTTCGTTGTTGCGAACACCAGCGACATTGAGCTCCTCTTGATGTATGTATTATCACCCATGGGATATGCTAACAACTTAGGCACAACAACACCTTCGCTGCTGAGATTGCCCACAACGTGAGCAGCAAGAAGCGCATCCAGATCCTCGAGAAGTATGTATCCTTTGTTCCCGTGGTCACTAACCAAACTAGGGCTAAGATTCTCGGTGTCCGTGTTACCAACGCCAACGCGCGCGTTCGCGCCCAGGAGGCGTAAGTGGACTTGTGTACCTATATCCACGCTTTCCTTTTATAGGACACTGGTTCGTGGCCATAGAGGGGCCAACCCAAAAATCAAGACATGTTTGCCTTGTCTATGAAGCTGCTTGTTAGCGTAAAGTCAGACAATACGTCATGTGCTGGGTGTCTACATGTACAAAACTATGGCGTAGAGTGTCATAACAGATAGGGATAGGTGCTATGCCTGAGGGTCGAGGGTATCGTACTGCACCAACCAAGGTACGGTGTGCCGTAGCACCGAACGGCAGAAGTAGTCGAGCTACAAAGGCTTGACCGGGGGCAAGGAAAGCTTCACATTGGATGTAGCATGGGCATCGTGACTTTTGGAGGTGGATGACATAGATCCTCGTGTCATGGAGGAGGGACGTGACGTAGACGAAGCAGCGGCACTGGTTTCGTACTTCCATGTTGGTAATACATCGTCCGAAAATGGCGGAATGGAAGCGCGTGAGCTCTGACTAGTGGTAGGAGGAGCTTCATCTGGCTTCCATGAGCTCATATCGGTGAGAGAAGCCGTGGTTTCCAAAAACCGTTTGGAGAGGACATGCCATCCACTAGAAATCTTATCTCTAATCACGTCGGCCCCTAAGTCATTCATCAGTTCAGGTTGTGCTCGGGCCTGCGGAGCCTGTGGCAATGGTGGTAAGGGTGGTGAAGTTGATTGTGCTGATGAAGGAACCGTGGACGCAGACGAGGCTGTAAATGGATCAGCCGTAGTACGTGTTTCTTTTGTCGTTGGTTGCGCCGTCGAAGGTGGTCGTATTTGCGAGGGTAGGATGGGTCTGACAGTGACTTGGCTCGATACAGACGTAGGTACACGATCTGGTTGTGAGCGGTGCTGCGCATGCATGCCGGTGCCTACACGCAGTGCCATACGCTGCCAAGCAGTGCGAAGTTCTTGCAACTGCTCTTCTTCGCGCCGGAGTGTCTCGCGCAAGTCGAGACAGTAGCGTTCCTTTGCAGCGATAGCTTCTAGGACTTGTTGATGAATGTCATGGATGCGCTGTGCATGCCCTGCCATAGCCTCGTTGCATTGTGATACAAGTGCATGTATGTCGTCATGTGTAGGCACATTGTAAGGCTGCGGGGGGGACGGGGGCCTCGCGGGCGGAATCGGAGGAGACATAGCGGCCGAAGTGCCAGCGATTGTGGGGGATACAGCGGAGGACGTACGATCACGGACGTAACGTAATTGGCGCAGCCGGCTAGGTGTAGGAACAGACACAGGCGAGGCGGCACCATGGGGGGAACGACGAGGCGAGGGAGACGCACTCTTTCCTGCGGATGTATGCGGCGTAGCAGTGGAAGAGGATGAAGTTAATAGACCAGCGCGACGAGTCTGAGGTGTGAGTGGAATCGACATCTCTGCTCTGTCGCTGGGCGTGCTAGGTAACGACGCCGGGTAGGACAGTGGATGGCGGTCCACCAATTGAGTGGCAGGCGCGTCATTTTCGGCAGTGCGTTGAGGGGATGCAGCCACTCTGCCGGGGTCGGCCATTGTTGCATACAGAAGACAATGACGACACTACGACACGATGGCTTTGTTCAGCTCCACGCGCGCCGCCGCTGCTGCCGCGCCAACGTCTGCAGCACACGCGTCGGTGGACGGTCGCGGGCCTGCGCTCGAATCCTCGTGGCCTATCGGCCGAAAAAGGGGTCGGGCAGCGGCGGGTGCCGGCCTCCTCTCCGCCAGCTGTGACGCCGAGCGTCAGATTCTATCCACAAGCACGTCCATCATGTCGTACACTATTGCTGGTATGTACACAAGCTAGAAGCGCCTAGGTGTCTGTGTCTGGCTAGGACGAGGTACTGACCTTGCAGGTATGAAGGTTCTCAACGAGCACCTGGTGCTCGGTGTGTTCGGCACCATTGGCCTGGCTGCCTACGCGGCTACGCGTGGTGGCTCGAAGCAGTCGGCGCCGAAGGCTGCGACGGAGGTGCCTCTGAACGCTAGCAGCCCGTATGTATGAGTTTGTGGGTTCGATTAACGCAGCAGCGACGAGGAGGCGTTCATCAAGCAGTTCCTGGCGGAAGTGCAACAGGAATCGAAAGAATAAAGGAACGGAGAGCGTAGGCTCGCTATATCTGCGCAGTGTAGACTCCCAACGAAATTTTCTTTCTGTATACTGAGAGGGCTATGGTATGGGTGTGCGCCTCCATAATAGCGACGCAGGAGGCCGTACACGCTGCGTGTATGTCAACCAAACAGCCAGGATGATCAGCATAGCGCTAGAGCCTAAACGACGCGCCCACCACCGGCCCCAGAGCTCGCGGCGTCGTGAGGTATTCCACAGCGAGGCCCACGCCTGACGAGGGCCAAGCATGCCCCATACGACGGTCCGTGCATGCCGACGCAGGGTGCGGTATAAGTGAATGAGGCGCAGAACAAATAAATAGGACAATGTCCGCACGAGATCGCGTTTGCGGCGGCGGACATGCAGATCGCGTGAGAAGCCAGTGGGCCGTGCAGATGAGCTCGCTTCGTTATCGCCATCAACATAGGCAGCTGGGTATCCAAAGAAGGGGTTCTCGATGTTGTATGGCGATACGTGGCCGTCCATTTCGGCATATTTGTGGGCGCGCCAGGAGAGGTACCGCATCACGGCCGTGTTCTTGTCAGACACGTAGGTCGGTTTGTAGACGCCCGCGGTGGCGGCAGGGTCCTTCGAGGGTGCGCCGTCCTCGTTGATCTTGGGCAAGGGAGGTTGGGTCGTGATGGACGGCGTAGCAGCCGCGGTCACCGCGGCTGACGTGGCGTCTGAGACAGGCAAGGGGTTCTGCTCACTGCGCGTGGGCGATTTCACGATGCGGGGCTCGGCTGGCCACGCTTGCGGATCAATATCTGGATGATGTGGTGGGGCGGATGTGCGCCAGAGCCACTGTGACCACCGCTCCCACAGAGTCGAAAAGGTCTGCGACGTGGAGGACCGCCGATCTTCAAACGAGCGTGGTCGGTAGGCGTCGGGCGAGGTAGGCAGGTCATGGAGCTGCAGCATCGGCTGCCCCTTCATGCCACGCGAACGGGGCGTGGCTGGCACGGATGTGCGGGGAGTGAGAAAGGCATAAGGTGAGCCTGCTTTGGACATGACGTCGTACATAGAGCCGTAGTCATGATGACGAGGCCGCGGAAGAGACAAGTCGTGGCTATGCTCAGAGTTGGATGTGCTTTCTCGTCGCCAGGCAGCTGCACGTGTAAAGTAATGGAAGACATCGCTCGAGTCTGTCGTGATGTCAACATGCAAAGGCCCACCCAGCGTTTGTGGAATGGCATGATCAAAGTGGGCCAGGAGTTCTTGGACATCGACAAAGAAGAGACGGGCAAGGAGCTTGGGTGGTAGGACAGGGCGAACCATACGCCATAGACCTGCGTGAAGCCACGAGTACCGCAGCACATACACTGCGCCGGACATGCCTGGGTAATGGTTCTTGAGCAAGTCGACAAAGAACGGTAGCATTTCCAGCTCCATATTGGACAGTCCCGACTCGGCGACGTCGATGAGGGTAACGCATTGCACAACAGGATCACCGCGTTTGGATCGTCGGTTGATGTGCAAGAGGTATCGGCGCATAACCTCAAAGATGCCAATCACAGTCGTCTTGAGCTCACGAAGGCCTTCGTCTGTGCGCTCGACATGCTGCAGACGCACGTACAAGCACGGTCGACCAAGTCGATCGCGGAAGCGCGTATGCATCCAGAACAGGGGGATATGATTGCGTGTAGACCGCATGTAAGTGGAATGCAGCAAGTCGTGCGCCAAAGCATCGATACCGCCTTCCAAACGCCATTGCAGCGTCTTGAGCAGCATGGACCGCGTGTGCTCTGCATCAAAGCCTGCGCGGCGGTAAAAGCGGAAGATGAGGATAGGATCGTCAAGGAAGGCATGGACCAGCTCTAGGTCTTCGTCTGAGCACGAGCGAAGCTCTTGGAGTTGGGCAGGGGCCTGGGCAAGCATTTCTGCATGCAGCGCAAGGACCGTTTCGTGGTGTTCCTGCACGAGGCTCTGTGTGAGGCTGTAGGCATCCGATACGGCCTCGGCATTCTTTCGCGCCCCACCAGCGCGTGATGCGCTTCCCATGGACGACGTAGCGCGCGTTGAGGGCGCCAGAGCGTGACGAGTGTGCGGGGAAGAGGCGTTCTCTCCCCACACACACGCACTTTTCTCGGCGGGTCGACGGTTCAATCACGTGCACATAAACGACGCTCGCATGTCCTTCGCTGGTCGTCTTCTGGTTGCTGCGCCGACATGTTGCTGCTCACGAGCCTTGTGCGTGGGCCGCGCGCTGCCATGATGCGGGCTCAGCCTGTTTCGTCTCTCCACACCTCGGCGATCGTGGCAGCGGCCCCTCGTCCCTCCGCGCCGCGGACCAAACTCAAATCGCACTCGGCCGCGAAGAAGCGGTTCTTCCCAGTGATGGGCTCAGGCCGCGGCAGTCCGCTTTCGATCAAGTTCAAGCGTACCAGCTCGAACAAGCAGCATCTTAACTCGGGCATGTCGCGTGTGCGTCTGAATCGTTTGTCTGGCACGCAGGTCGTTTCGTCCGGCCCCGTTTCGCGTATGCTGCGCCGCCTGCTCGGCCCACGTCTGTAATGGGAGGGGCCATGGTGTATGGCATCCATACCAGGCTCATTATCTGTATAGAGGAGGACCATTCATGCCGTAGACCTATCTACAATGCGATCACACAAATGTATGGGGGGGAAAAGAGAGGGTATCATGCTTGCTTCTCCAGGCCCAACCGCAAATCGTCCGGCATCGTCTCGAGCAGCCGCTGCATCTGCGCCGCAAGGCGTTCTCGCTGCGTACGCAGCGCACGATCCGACGACGGAAGGCGTTCCATAGGAAGGGAGGTAGGCGTCGCATCGTTGTCCGGGGCAGAGCGCCAGCGCGCATGCGGCCCACGTACAGGCGGCGCCTCCAAGGTAGCATCTATCACACGCAGTTCCTCCCGCAGACGCAAGAACAGGTCAATGGATTCCACTTCCGTGCGTGTACGGCCAAACGTGACCACGTCGCCAGCGGCCAGCGCGGCGATGCGGCGTTGGTACTGCTCTGCCTGGGCGGCCGCGACGCGATGGTGCAGCCACAAGGCGAAGTTAGGGCTTTGTAAAAAGTCCGCGTACAGGCTATGCCGCAACACTTGGGCTGGCGAGAGCGAGCGCTGGCGCATTTTGAGGGGGCCGGGATGCTGCTTGAGCCACTGCAAGAACGACTCGGCATGGAACGGCTTGATACGTGGCGCCTCCGCCGGCGACGACAAGTCAAACGACGCAGGAATGAGTGTCGCCATGTACTGATGCAGCGGCGCAAGGAAGCGTTCTGTCAGGTCGGAAAAGTAGCGACGTACAGCCGTCGTCGCACGAGCGTGCTGCGTCGGATCGTCGCGCCAGGCCATCCACTGCTTCAGTAGCGCGCGATCTTTGCTTACACGCCGCTTGCTGCTTGAGAAGAACCCAGGCTCGGGCGGCGGCGCGGACCCGCGGCCATGAACGCTGCGATGCCGACGTCCCAGTTGGATGCGATGCGGCCAGTGTGCGCATGTCTGGACAAAGAACGGGTTCGTCGCGCCGAGCAGCGCGCCTGTGGGCGGCGTAGGCCGGTGGACCAACGCACGAAAGTCGTAGTCGTGAATGTGAAAGTACGGCCGAAATTCGCCCGCACAGGGAACAGGCCGGATGAGATCGACCAAGTGCCATACTGCTTCACTGGCCGAGCGTGGATCGTGGCCCATCACCAGGATCGGCTCTGCGAGAAGCGTACATTCCCACATACGCCATAAGTCCGGCATCATTTCGTAGAACACGTCCAAGAGAGACGTGTGTGGCACCGACCCGAGGACCGGCTGCGAGGCTTGCAAGCCAGGGCGCATCCCATCGCCATTCTGCGCCTCATTGCCGTGTGGGAGCGATACATGCAACATGGAGCCCAGCACGGGCAGTGCCAATGTGAGGCCAGCGTCAGGCACAGGCCACGCAGCCACGTCACGGAGGAACGATTCCAGCACGGTGATGCCATGCTCGAAGAACTGAGGCCCGACACGCGCAATGAGCTCGGTGAACAGACCCACATGTGGCAAGTGCGTAAGGATCACGAGCGATTTCTGGAAGTATCCACGCGGCAGCGTCGGATCTTTGCGTTGCCGAAAGTACGTGTAGCCATACAAGTACGAGGTGCTTCGACTCGTCGACGTCGGCGCTGTGCTTGCTGTCGACGACGTGCGTGAGAGGGTAGGCGCAGACGCGCCTTTTGGTTTGCGCCACGACATGGTCCGCGATACACGGCGACTGGCGCGGCGCATCAGCGGCGTTCGTGGCTCCTGCGTCACATCTGGAATGTGCGGTACGGAGGCCGCAGAGGCATCTAAAGGGACTTCGCGGATGCGCCATGAAAACACGAGACTGCCATCACTAAACACGGTGGTATCAGGGAACGAGGAGAACGCAATGTTGTCCTTCTCTTCCTTGCTGATCTCCAGCGGCGGGTACATGAACTCGACATCCGGCCCGAGCTCCAAGTCGAAATTGACACAGGCCACAGAGAGCAGCCAGCACTGCATGGAGGCCAGCGACGCAGAGGGGACAGGTGCCACTGTGACCATCTCGCCGTCCTCTTCGCCCAGAGAGAGCATCGACATGTCGCCATGCCATGCCTCGTCGCGCGACGACGCCATGGTCGTCGTCGATCGCCAACCTCGACACGCTGACTAAAGAAGGGTCGTACCATATCGCTATGCACTACGAACTTCCTTTGAGGGCTGCGTGTGAGTAGAGCCACATACGTACCATCCTTGATGGTGGCTTCCATGGTCTCGAGATCGTCCGTTTGCACAGGCACAATCTTGCAGTGCAATGCCGACTCAATCGAGGCCATCTGCTTCCGCGACGCCTCGTCATGCACAAAGTTGATCGAGACACCTTTCCGACCAAAGCGACCCGTGCGGCCAATGCGGTGCAAGTATGTCTCAGCGTCGGGCTCACCACGCTGCGTCAGTGGCATGTCGTAGTTGATCACGAGCGTCACCTGCTGGATATCAATACCACGCGCAATCACATTGGTCGCAATCAGCACCTTGCACTTGCCCGAACGGAATTCGTCAATCGTACGATCACGGTCCGCGGTATCCAGCTTGCCATGCAGCGAGTCGACACGGTGACCCTCGGCAGTCATGCGCTTCGCAATGCGATCCGCCGTCTCGCGCTTCGCACAGAAAATAATACTCTGGCCGATCGTCAGCAGGTTGTACAGCTCCACAAGCACATCGTACTTGTGCTCCTCCGATTGGCAGTCCATGTAAAACTGCTTGATACTCTCGACACTCAGCTCTTCCTGCTTCAGTCGGATCTCATTGGCGTTCGGCGCAAACTTCGTCGCGAACGTACGCACATGGTCAGGGAACGTCGCAGAGAACAGCACAAGCTGACAGGTTTTCGGAATGGTATTCTTTACACGAATACTCTGCTCGCCCAGACCCTGCTGGTCCAGCATGTTGTCGGCCTCGTCCAGCACAAACACTTTCACAGCCGACGGGTCGAGCGCGCGTGTTTTGATCAGGTCAAACGTCTTGCCTGGCGTGCCGACGACAAGGTGTGCATGCACTTTCTCTCCACGCTTCAGGGCATCAGGAATCGCGTACGCCGTCTTCACCGGCGTGAATTTGCCCATGGCCTGCGCCACATCCATGATCTGACGCGCAAGCTCACGCGACGGCGCCAGCGCAATCGCCTGCGGCTTATCAATACTAAAGTCGATGCGCGAGAGCATCGTCAGCACAAACGCCGCTGTCTTGCCTGTGCCGGACTGCGACTGGCCGATCATATTGCGCGGGGGGTTCTGCAGAAGCAGGGGGAGCGCACGCTCCTGGATTTTGGAGGGCTTTGTAAACTTCATAGCATAAATGCCTTTGAGCAGGTCGGCGTGCAGACCAAGGTCATCAAACGACTTGACCGAGTACAGTGGTGAGTTGGGATCCGCCTGCTGATCGGCCAGCGTCACCTGCACGTCGTACTTGGACTCCAGCAGGTTGGTCTCGGACCCCTTCTCGGCCTGCGTGTTGGGCGTAGGCTCATCATCGTCCGCCCAGTCAGAGTGGCGCGAGACATCCGCGAGAATATCGCCGAGGCGCTCAGAGAGAGACTCGACTGTCGGTAAGCGCCGTGTAGCTAGGACCTACCTTTCGGGTCTGTCATGGTTCAGCGCGTACCTTCTACGACGACGACGACATCTCCACATTTCGTCAGCGGCACGTGGCACAGCGAGACGCGCACGCCGTCTTGCATGGGTGGGCGCCCCGCGTGTCGTGGAAACGACGCGCGACGATGGACTACGACACGTTCCTCACGACGCGTCTCCTCCATGACAAGCAGGCGGTACGTACGACCCGGCTCCCTCACACATAGGTCACCTACCGTCTATTGAGCCGCGCGACGCAAACCCATGTCGACCAAGCAAAAGCGTACGTGGCCATCGACGACTGACACTCGCAGAGCCCTGCAGACGTTTTACGAGCAATCGCGTGATCAAGTCACCGCTGTGTACTTGGTCCATGGCCATACGAACGAGAAGGACATGTCATATACCCTAGTTTCTGAAGACGCACTGCCTGGTACGTCTACGCCAGCAAGACTAACAGCAGCGACGCGTGACGCCCTGACGTCGCCGACATGGTTCGTGTATGCATTGCAGCCAGGCGCCCACGCCGCAGTCGATGCGCCCTACCTCGCCAGCATCCAGCAAGGCCTAGCACGCGATCCAGCGTACGCGGCGCAGCGTGCGAACGGTCTCGCGGCCTTTGGCGCTGTGACAAATACATGGAGCAGCCGTGGCACAGCCGCACCGCCTCAGCCCATGTCGGCCGCGACCGGCCCCGCCCCTGCCAGCACCGGTGCAGGTAAGAAACGACGCAAAGTCATCAAGCAAGTGCGTATCAAGAACGAGCGAGGCTACATGGTCACCAAGGACGTGGAGACCTACGAATCAGGCTCCGACGAGGACACGCCGTCCGTGAAACCCGCTGCAGCACCGACCACAGCATCGACGCCGGCCGCGGCGGCGCCGGCCAAGCCCAAACGCAAGGGCACGGCGGCCAAGCAGCAGAATCTCATGAGCTTCTTCACGAAAAAGTCGTAGCAAGATACACACTATAGGAACAAGGGAGGTGTAATGGACTGTTCGTACGCGTCCGCCAGGCCAGCAGAGGCGTCTTTCGGCGGAGACGGAGGACGCGAGAACGTCATAGGACGTGTAGGCGAGCTGCTGGGCGGCGACGAGCCGCTTGTCAGGCCCGGTACAGCCTCCTCCAGAGGTGTCTCGCGCTCTTGTCCTGCCACAGGGGCGACGTCGGCCGCGGTGGACCGCTTGGACGACGGCCGCATTTTGTGAACCAGCGACGCGAGAGGACGTTCGTCGTGCCATGCCAATGGCTCCAGGAGGAATTGCTCCAGCAGGCATGCATCGCGTGCCAAGTCGCCAGGCGTAGCGTCCGATGGGATGGTCCAAGGGGCTGCCTCGTCCATCTGGAGAGACGGCTGAATGCCGACCAACCGAGCCAGGAGACGGACCAGCGGCGCACAATGGGCTGGCATGGAGCTCGCTGCGGTCGGCGGGGGCAGCGGATGCGGCACAAACTGGGCGGCAAGAGACGGCGGCGGCGCAAACGGATCCATCTCGCCCAACGCCAAACGTGCATCGCTCGCTGTATCCAGGGCGGTTTTGAGCCATGTGACGAGGCTCAGCTGGTGTGCGTCCGCCAGCAAGCCTACGACCACGCCAATTTGCTGCTCGTGCGTCAAGTCGGACTGGACATACAGCTCGGCAGGGGCCGTCGAAGCACGTGGGCGACGATTTTCATCGTAGGCATGGCGGGCTGCCTCGTCCAAACGACGGAAGCCACGCTGGAAGAGCCGATGAAGCTTGCTCAGGTCGCGTGCCGCGGTCGGATGGATCGCGCTCATCTGGCTGGTATCGCGCAGGGCATGCGCCCACGTATGCCGCAGCTTGGCCGTGTAAAACAGTGCAGGCCGAGCCGCTTTGATCGCCAAGCGATGCACCACCGACGCGAGCTTCGGCAGCATCGTCGGCGCATGCAGCGAGTCCTGCCAGCGAGCAAGGTACTGCGTACACGCATGCGCCAGCGCGGAGGTGGCCATCGCACGTTGGAACGAGGCAAATTGGAAGTCTCGCTCGGCCTTGGCCGACGATCCGTGCCGTTTTTGGACCAACACATAGTCGCTCTGCGACGCATACCGCTCGAGGCGGCGTGTGAACGTGTAGCTGAAATCCACGACGCTTTCCAAGCACATGAAACTTTGGGCCGAGTACGCATGCATCACATGCAGCGCCGTCTCCAGATAGTCGCCATCGTAGTACAGTGTGTGCTGCAGCGAGTCGGCCACGTCGCGTTCCTGTGCCGTGCCATGCGATAGCGCGTCCAGCAACCGGCAGAGCGTCGTCCACAAACGCACACTCGCGACAAACTCGAGCCACTGCCGCGCCTCCAAGGCCATCGCCGCACGCGCACGCGCAAGGCGGAAGATCCATGGCTCGGTCCACAAGCCCAGGCAGACGAGGGGGAACGAACGTGCGAGGGCATACTCCAGGAAGAAGGTGGTCAGCTGAATCGCTTTGCATCGCGCCGTGTCGAGGTCGCCCACTCGCTCGCGCTCCGCATGGATATCGCGGAAGTACGTAGGCAGCAGCACATCAAAGAGGCCGTCCTTTACGAACCGATCAGCCCACGTCTGAAGGATCGTGTGCGCCGCCGAAGTCCATGCATTGGCGCGCCGCGGCGCGCCGCGTTCCGTCGCAGGCCGTCGTCGCGAGATCCGGCGACGTGTTTTCTCCGCAATGCGCTCCTCCAACTGCTCCACAGGCGTCGTGAGCGACTCGGGCATGCGAGCCACACGCAACGTGCCATCACTGGCCTTGAACTGGATCGTCGTGCCGAAGCGCGAGTGACGCGCACTCCGATACCGTTGCGCCTGGCGCTGCATGGCCGCCTCCGCCGAAAGCGACGCTGCGAGCGTGGCGCCGCCCGAGGTCGAGGCCGCCGACGTCGTGGGTGGGGCTGCCAACGCAGCCATGTCCGAGCCCACGTACAGCTGGTATAGGCAGTCGGCGACGATCGGGGCCCATTGTTCGTACTCTTTGGTATCCGCCTGGCTCGCTAGCATAAGGAGTGTATCAAGGATATGCGTCTCGCTCATCTGCTGCACAAGCCGACTCTGCATAGACGCATGCGCTATCGCCGAGGTACTGGCGATCGTCGTCAGAGCCGGATCGCGAATCGCCAGCACGTTGCGGAAAAAGTGCAGGCACATACTAAGAATGCCTGTATCACGCTCTGTACGTTCACTTCGTGACTTGGAGAGAGAGGGAAGAAAGAGGTGCTGCAGCACACATTGCAGCACAGTGCGCTCGGCGTACCGTGGCTCCTTCGCTCGTTCCTGCAAGATCGCAGATTTGTACTGCACCTGCGCCGACTTGACTTCGACCAGCTTGGCCAGCACATGCTCGTCCTCTTCACGCGCCACAATATCATTGAGTTCCGCGTACCAGTCAATGGGCCACGTCATCGCTGTCATAAGGTCGGCTGGTAGGTGGTAAGTCGCATCGCGTACGTACTGCATGCCAAGGCAATTTTGTCCGCCTTCTCCCCTTGCCCGGCGGAGTGCAGTAAAATCGGGATGAGGTCGTTGGAAAAGGTGCCCAACTCGGAAAACACCCGCGCCATGGCACGACTCGCATCGGTATCGTCTTGGCGCCATAAGCGGCGCAAATCACGAAGGCACTCTAAACAGTCGTCTCCTAGGCGGTACACAAGCTCTGTCCCTGTCGCTGTCTCCATATGCTCGTACCCACCCAAGGCTGAGCAGATCGATAGAACAGGCGCACGCAGCATCGCGACGCGCTCTTCCATATCCATGCCTGCCTGCACATCGTCGTCGTCAGGGAGCGAGTCACGATCCTCGCCAGCATCCGAATGGGAGTCGACTGACTCAGCATACTCCTCCGCCAAGTCAGACTCGTAGACATCACCCTCAGGCCAGGCGTCAGACACCATGACGGTCGGCTGCCAGCCACGAGAGAAATCGACGCGCGCCCACGCGTCGTGGCCACGCGCACCGCGCGTGACTGGTCGGCGCTCCTCCACCAATGCAGGTGTGTATGACACAATGATATCTTCGCCCCGCCAGGGCCGAGCCACTCCTCGACCCTGTCCTTGTGCCTGAAAAATAAGATCGCTCAAACGTATTAAGGGGACATCATGGAGAGAAGAATCTATCGCAAAGAATAAATAATGAATATATGAAGACCAATGACATCAAACCAACCATATTACACGTTGGACGGGAACAGGACCACGCCGTCCGTTGCGAGGGGGAGCATCGGACGCACATCCGTGTCTGGGAACATGGTCGAGAACGAGGGTTTTTGTCCATCGTCCCTCTCTTCAATGTTCCAACGTACATCCAAGTCACACGACTGCGGCGAGACAGACTCCTGCGTCGAGGTTTCCGCTTTCACATCCACGCCCTCATGCGGTGTCCCGCTCGAGTGAGAATGGTACAATTGACGGAGTTCCTTCTCCAGCATCTCGTTTCGGCTCATCTGCATATCCAAAAACTGCTGCAGCTGTCGAATGTACTCCACGCTCTTCCGCAAGATAATGCCCTTGTTCGGCTTGGCCTGCGCTGCGGCGAGCGCAGGGTTGTCTGCATTCACAGGCGCGAGTGTAGCTGCAAAGCTCGTGCACGAGCTCATGCGCAGGCACGAGCTCTTGGGAACACACTCAGCCTCTGACTCCTCTGCCTTGGGCGATGGCGACTCCGTCGGGCTGTTCGGTGTATCCGACTTGTCACCACTCTGCGTGGAGGATTGAGCAATGTACCAAGAGCCAAATTGGGATCGGTTCTGTGCCACTTTCACCGCCGTATCAGGTCCAAACGTCCAGGCAGCACTGTTGCCACCCTGTGTCGAGGTGGAAATCGCATCACGCAGCATAGCTTCAGGCAACAATGTGGCGACTGCTGTAAGAAGAAAACAGTACGTACGCTCTGTGATTTGGCTGTTGATATTGTCACGCCTTCGTCGCTCCACGGCATTGTGTGATTCGCGTCGCCGACGTCGTTTTTCCATGCTGCACTGCTCGTCATTTGTTCTGCGATGTCATATACGTACAGTCGAGCTGCATCTGCGCTGCTGGAGTTGGCCGACAGCCGCCGTGGCTCATCGTCCATGCCATGACCTTCGGAGAAGATAGAGCCATCGGTATCCAGCGCCTCTATCTCCGACATTGTTTGCGACTGCGTACGGGCAGGCACAGGACGACGTTGAACCATAGTTCGCTGCCAGTCAGCAGGAACTTCGGGTGGGGATGCGTATGCCTCTTCAGATTGAGACAACATGGACCCATGGTGGGGGTCAGAGCCCCATTGAGAGGAGATTGGTGCCGCGGGATTGGTCTGCGTTGATTCCGGCATGGAGCTCATCGGCATTTGGACATGGCACGACGTAGCCATACGTCGAATCAGGTCATTCGGTACGGGGACCGAACACGAGGACATGGCAGAGGGGGGGGAGACCGAAGTTTGGTACAACGACAAGCCCGTGGGCATAGCCGGAGGACAGGTCGGCATCGACATGGGCCTGCTCCCCCCATGGCCTGTGTCGTCCATCATCGATCGACCCGGGCCCATATGCATCGAACTTACAGAATTCATAGGTGCCTGGCCATGAGAACCATGGCTTAGATGACCCCATGTGTTATTGTTCAGGAGCAAATCCATGTCGATGTAGTTGTGCGACACGGGCATACCCATAACATCTGGCCCTACACTGTGAGCTTCAGGTGCATTGAATCCGACTCGAGTACGTTTGGCATCAAACATGCGACGGACACAGATGGGGGGACAGCCCTACGAAGGAAGCAGAGAAGAGGATGAAGAAGGAAATACGTCTCTCTGGGTCGGCTGTACGTCTCTGTCGTCTACCTGCGTGGGGTACGCCCGCATTTTGGGTGAGGCTTCTTCCCCACAGGAATGGCCCGGCTAGAACGAGCTTTGTTGGTGTGTTTTCATTGGTTCTCTGCTTGCCTTTAAAGCTGGTCGATCTGAAAAAAAAAGCGCTTATCTCCTAATGTTCATTAAACGCCCAGGGACACGCGTGATGACAAAGCAAACGCCTCTTTTGGAAAAGGTAGCCTAGTAGGTCCATATATCATTTCCACATCACGAGCGAGCGGCGGCGACCATCGTCGCCTGTCACGGACCAGCAGCCATTTTAGGGACCTTGCGCCATGGATCTCGACGCCCGCTTTCAGTTGAATACGCGCGTGCTTCGTCGCTTTGATCCATGTATGACACGTATACTGGGCATTGCTTCGTTTGCAGTTCTGTACAGCTTTGATAAAGAATGGGTGCGTAGTAGATATGAATGGATCCCTCGCTTACACTGCAGACCAAGACGGGCACAGAAGGCCCCCTCTTTCTTTATGAACGGTACGTGCATCAACTATATCTCATATATACAGGTCAGAAGAGCCGTATTATTGCATGCAGATTCTAAATCGCGACGAACCAGAAAACTTTTCCGTCGGCGTCACCCCACAGGATGACATTGAACTTAGCAATGAGTTCATTATTTATCGATCCAGCCAGAAGGGTATGTGGTACAATCACTTACAATAAGATGATGCAGGCAACGAAGATATCTGTGGCTTTTGGATTTATGAACCTTCACAACTCGAGCAGCTTGGTAAACTTATCCTCTCGTACGTATAGTTTCTCTGCTCACATTTCAGCCTCAAGGAAGGACCATATCCGCCACCACCTGCTCCTACCACGACTTCACAATCCATCGATATGGATGCCCTGTTTAGTGGTGCGCCTAAGGCTGCCGCTACGCCACCACAACAGGTCCCTGTCTTCACCGAGGAGGACAAAACGGGTGCGTCCATTCTCAATGCCCTCTTCCACGACGCGGCTCCTTCCGGAACTTGGAATCCCGCCGAAGAGGCCATTAAACCGTCTGTGCACGAACAAGAGGAACCATCGCCTTCAGCTGAGCCTGCGGCGTTAGAAAGCGAGAATGCTGAGACCACAAGCACTATCGTGTCGGAGCCTTTGGAGAAGATCTCGGAAACAACCTCTACATCGCAGCCAGTCTCCCAGGAAGAGGTGAGGCCTGCCTCTCAGGTGGAGCAATTGCCTGTAAATAAGGGTACATCGATTAGCTTGGATGACCTCTTTGCGCAAACAACTCTAAGTGCTCCCATCACAACAGACGCGCAGGAAACTACAACTGTGCCAGACGTGTCAGAGAAGCTTACAGCTCCACCTGCCCCTACAGAAGAGAAGGAAACCTCGAAGAAAAATGAAGATGTGACGTCAGCACAGATTCTGGGTCTCTTGGCACCTGAAGAAACAGCAGTGCGACTCCCTGTAACTAAGTCGATTCCCACACGAGCAGAGTTTGTGCAACGTCTTGTGGGGCTTCTTTGTGTATGTAAATGTACAGTACTAACGGGTATACAGACCGACATGGACTACGTGGATCAACTCTATGCGCGATACCGTGCTTTGCATGGCGCTTAAAAGCACCACTCCCATCACCGTAGATTGTTCATATAAATTACATGGGCGTCGGTGTTTTCTTCGTAAACGTTGGATAGGAGGAGGAGGACACTTTTGTCGTTGCATCCGTCGTAGATGAAGGGAGTTGGAGGTATTGCTCAACACGCATAAGGCGCTCGCCCATGACCATAAGAAGGGTCCGGATCTTTTCCATTTCTTCGTCAGAGCGATGAGGAAGCGTATCGGCTGGTAGACCCCCTGAAGGCTGGTGCGCTGGTATTGGTCCTGCATCCTTGGCCATAGCAGGCGAAATAGGACGTGGAGACTCGAAGGGCTCTCGCTTTGTGCTCGACAGCCCAAGTTGGTAGCTGTGGGTTAGTATGGTTAGACGTACACAAAAAGCGCATTGTGATAAAAAGCAAAGTGGCCGCGCAGGTCATTCAGGCGTGGCGGGGTATATTTATATTTACGACCAAGCATATGTCCACAATGAGCACAGACGAGGGGTGTATAAGTGCAGAGTCCATCTGACGCAGCTATAGCTTCCTGTGTTGTATGGCGCTCGTCGATGGTTACAGCATTAGTACTCTCTCGCAGCACAATCATTGATAGATCCTTGTGCGCCATCACCCAAGCAGATGAGTCGCCTACAATGTGCAGGCATTCTTTGCACTGAAACACCATCGGCGGAGGCGTTTGTGCTGATACGGACGGCGGAGAAGGTCGAGACGTGTCAAATGATGCTGGCGTCGTATCCCATACAGTATACTCAGCACGTCGTGCAGCCTCCGCGCGTGCCATAGCTACGGCCTTGGGCGGACGCCCACGCTTGCGTGGGGGCCCTGAGATCGATCGACGTAAAGTATCAGAGGGGTGGACAGTCGTAGATGAAGGTGGGATTAACATATCGTCGAACGAGGCAGAGCATATGGATCCACCATCACGACGTGCGCTAGGGCGTGTCGGGTTCATTGGCAGGTCTATACCTACCACGGACGATGGTGATCCCTGCCGATGTGTCGGCCAGTCTGGCATCCTTCTGCAGCGCCCAACGCAGTCGATCCGTGCGTACGTGCAAAGTTCACAGCGAGCCCCGATGCCCTAGGCGCGCATCCGTTCGCGTTAAAATCACGTGATGTCGAGCTATGACGCGTCGCCGACGCGTCATTATCTATGTACGACCGACATAGAAAACGTGGGGCGGCTGATGAACGAAATGACGCCTGTCACGAGGTCAACTGTAGAACCCATTAAAAAACGTGGGCAGCTACTTTTTAGAGGGGGATCGACCAGATCGACGTCTATAAGGACGCATACAATCATGTAGGCGATAGTCGTTGTAGCTAGACTACATCCTGACAGAAGTAACGAGACAGACTATAGTAAAGAAAGTACGAGCACCAACATAGATAGCCAAGGCAATCAAAGGGGTTAGGATGGAGAATGTACGCCCCATGCACAGGAAAAGGACATGGCAGTATCACTCGATTCCCAGAACGGTACACGAAGCTACTACCCTCGCATCTCTACCCTTTAGCACATGCACTTTGTGCGAGTGATCAGACCAGAAAATGGTGAGAAGGAGAGAAGTATTATAGTCACATTGATAAATCGATCATACAGGCAAGCTGAGCTACAAGAATGCAAAAATAAAAAATGTGATCGTGCACGGCCATAGGCATGTGCGAGGGGTCACATTTGCCGCGAAAATGCCAGTGCCGTAGTACGTGGAGTGGCTGCATGCACTGCGTGTGCGGTACGTGACCTGCCCCTGGCTACGCGCCTGCCGGTCTGCCTAAAAAAAGACCGCCCATATAGAAGTTGATCTGTCTCGGCCGAAACATGGTTACCTATGCGGTTGGCCAAGAAAGGGAAACGCTGCAGGTGACAGGCCAGTAGGCAGCGCGGTGTTGGCAGTGGAAGCGCAGGCGTAATATCTAGGTGTTGTTCTCGGAGCAATCACGAGCCGTGGGTCAGAAACCTGTGCTAGAGCACCGATTCGCCATTGCTCTCCTTGCTACGGCGACAGTCTGTCTAGACCTTTGACCCCCTCCCCCTCTCATCCCTTTGGACGTAGACGTCCAACGGAAGCACAATGTCGTCGAACTTGGTATGTTCATGATGGCAGTGATTTGATTGCTAACACTGGCTAGCCAGTACGAAGGGTTCCTATCCGCACCCGAAGTACGGCCACGAAAACGGACGAAAACGCCCAGGGGTACCAGCCGCACCGTACGGCAGCCTCGAAAGATGCACTGGACAAGGGAAAGATGTCTACAGTCGCTGCTACGAATACGGCCGTGTGTCCTTCGGCCACGGCCAACAACGGCATTCTCGGAACCCGCAAGCGAGCAGCGTTGGGCGACCTGACCAACGCTGCTCGCTCGCGGCAGGCCAACATGCGAAAGGGTGACGAAGGTAAGGTCGATGAGAAGAAGCCTGCGATGCGTCTTCGCCAGGCGGCGACGACGGTCACGCTGCCGCCTCGCTCAGCCTCCCAGTTGCCTGCGCGCCCAGCGGCGACGCGTCGTATGGTTCGGCCGAAGGAGCCGGAAGCCATGGTGATTGATGATGTGCCCATGCGCGAGAGTGGGAGTGATAAGGAGAATATGGACGTGCTAGATGAGGAGGCACGGGAGGTGAAGCGAGCGCGGACGACGCAGGCGGCGGCGGAGGCCGGTGTAGTGGCTGCGGCCGAAGGCACTGCCACGACACGTCCCAAGGATGAAGGTTGGGAAGATTTGGACAAGGACGATGCAGACGACCCTTTGATGGTCGCTGAGTACGCGGAAGAGATCTTTTCGTACATGCGCAAGGTCGAGATGCAGTGCATGCCGAATGGCAACTATATGAGCCTGCAGCGTGACTTGAATTGGCATCTGCGTGGCGTCTTGGCTGACTGGCTGATTGAGACGCATGCCAAGTTCCGCCTGCTGCCAGAGACGCTGTTCCTTGCGCTCAACATTGTGGATCGGTTCTTGAGTCTGCGAACCATTTCGCTGTCGAAGCTGCAGCTGGTCGGTGTGACGGCGCTGTTTATTGCGGCCAAGTATGAAGAAGTGCTGTGCCCATCGATCCAAAACTTTTTGTATGTCGCAGATGGCGGCTATACCGACGAAGAGATTCTGCGTGCGGAGCGTTACATGCTCAAGGTCCTCAACTTTGACATGAGCTACGCGTCGCCCATGAACTTTTTGCGCCGTATCTCGAAGGCGGACAATTACGATATCCAAACACGCACGGTCGCCAAGTACTTTATGGAGATCTCCCTTGTGGATCACCGATTGTTGGACCACCCTCCTTCGCTGGTCGCCGCCGCCGCCGTGTGGCTTGCACGTGAAGTGCTGGAGCGTGGCGAGTGGACGCCGACACTGGTCCACTACTCGACGTATGCTGAGCCGGAGCTGCTAGGCACAGCGGAGATCATGTTGGACTACTGCCTGCGTCCGCCGGCGCACTTGCACTTCCACAAAAAGTACAGCAGCAAAAAGTTTATGCGCGCGAGTGCGTACGTGTTGGAGTGGGCCAAGACCACTTTCCCTCACGCCGTAATTACGCAGAACGATATCGCCGTCGGCAAGTGGACCGACGAGAATGGCGAGAAGCACTCGCTGGATATGCTGCGTGTGGACTTGTACGAACGCCATGGCCATCCCCGGCCGACGGTGCTGCCTCTGGGCCCAGCCGCGGATGTGATGTCCACAGAGACGCACCTGGATTCGCTCGGTGCCTACATGCCCTCGCGGTGAGACGTGTCCCTGACGATGCCGGTCCACGCCCTTGCGGACTTGTTATTCCCCCTCCCTCCTTGCCTGGCATCGCGCCAGTGGCCTATGTTGCCCCCCCGCCCTTCCCTTCCTGACCCCTGGGCGATGATCGACGGTCGTGTTGGCCCTAGCCATGCATCGTTGCATCGCCTCGATCCTAATGTACTATTGTCTCTGGTCCATGTTCATACCTGTTGATGCTCATGGCGCTGGGTCTGTGCAGGCCACTGAGCGACGCACAGCTTGTGCGTTGGCTCCCATGCCCCCTCCTTTGCTTGTACAACCGCCCTGCGCGGTAGTTTGGACCCCGTCGATGGGTCACAGGCTACCATCCCTCTCTGTCTCCCCCCCCCCCTCCTTCCCTCCCTTCCCTGATCATGGACGCGAGCCTTGGCCAATACGTTCGTTGGATGGCCGTCTCATGCCGTAATGAATTGGCATCTACACCATTACTATCACCATCACTACCACACATAGATTCACTCTCGCCCTCGTGCGATAATATATGGAGTATATGTACAGTGGGGTGCTAGTCGGCAGGGCCAAAGAGCGCTGCTTTCATCTCGTGCTGCAACAGGGTATGTTGGGCGTCGGCCAGAAAGACCTTGGCGTGCTGCGCGGCCTGCACCAGAGGCTGTTCGGCCTCGCGCTGCGTGAGCTGACGTACAAGTGCTGGGATATCGGTATCGATGCTCCCAGGCACGCGTCGCGCAGCTTGGGCAAGAGATAAGCCGCTGGGCGCTGGCATCGTATGCTGCAGCGCCTCGGCCGTGTCGCGCAGCTGTGCGGCAATAGCATGTACCTGCTGCGTCGCTAGTGCCTGCTCAGTGCGCGACGGCGATGTCGTGAGCGAGTGTGCCCAGTACGACTGCCACAATCGCTCGTACAGTCCGCGATCGGAGGCGAGTTTCGTATAATGAATGTCGAGTGGGTAGTACCGGGAGGCATGCGCACCAAAGTCCGCTGCCTTGTCCGCTGGCATGGCATGGGGTGTGGTGCGGTGCGGCGACGAGTCCGCGTGGAACTCGGGCGGAAGGGTACGGAACGCACCGATATCGACATGGCCCGCAGACATTGTGCGCCATGGATCAATGACAATCGCCACAAACGGGTCCTGCTGCTGGTTGGTCAGCTGGGTCTGTACGTCGATGCCGGACAGCCAGCATCCATAGCCTGGGTGCGAGTGGTACCAGCCGATGGCATGCTCAGGCCGCGCCACCGCTTGGCACGTCTCCAAGTACTGGACCATGTATTCGTACGCCTCGTTCTGTGCATTCACGCGCGTCTCTGTTCCTTCCACAGGCAGTGCAAACGCATCAAGGATATGAAATGTCCGTGTCTCGGTGCATACGCGGCCTTGCATAAGCCCCATTACCTCCATATCGCCGCCTGCCCTCGCATGCAGGACCATCTTGAGCAGCGCTACCACAGAGATATTCACATGCTTGAAATAGTAGGGATCATGCTTCCATGGCGCCTCGCGGAGGAGCGCTTGGTACGTAGCTGCATCGTGGTGGTACAGCGCCTCGGTCGCCGAGTCCGTGATCCCATTGGCAATCTCGAACGACGTCCGTGCCGCCGCCGCCTCTGTCGTCATGCTGGCCGTGCGTGAACGAGCTATGTGGAGGAGGCCCCCACGCACGCGACGCTCAGCAACGTGGCTGGCACGCGCCACGCCGTCGAAAATGGGTCCATTTATGCCTTCCATGTACTTGGCGGTGGGGCTCAGCGCCGTGGCGGTCGTACTGGCCTACTGGTACGTCACCCGACCGGCGCCTGTTCCGCACATCGAGCGCGTATACCCGGAGCAAGCACGCCCTGGATGGAAGGGGCCGCTTCGTGATCCGTCCAAACCGGTGGTGGGCGCCTCCTCCATTCACTGCTATGACCCGGCCACAGGCTACGTCTTAGGCGAGGTCCCGGCGGATACCCCAGATACGATCCGCGCCAAGATCGGACGTGCAGTGCAGGCGCAGGAGGCCTGGCGCACGTCGTCGTTCGAGGCACGTAGGCACGTATTGCGTGCCATGCATGCATGGATCCAGCGTGATTTGGAGCCGATCGCGCGGATCGCCTGCCGCGACACAGGCAAAACGGTACGTATTTACCCGACTTAGACAGCAGGCTATCGACGCTGCGTTTGGCGAGCTGCTTACGACCTGCGCCAAGCTCGCATGGACGATTCAGCAGGGCGAGAAGGTGCTCCGTCCGGAGCGCCGCTCAGGCAATCTGCTGCTGGCACACAAACGATGCACCGTCTTCCACGAGCCACTGGGCGTCGTTGCAGCCTGCGTCTCGTGGAACTACCCGGTGCACAATATGCTGGGCCCCATTATTTCTGCCCTGTTTGCTGGCAATGCCATTGTGGTCAAGTGCTCTGAACAAGTCGCATGGACGTCGCATCACATGCTTACTGCCGTCCACCGTTGCCTGGATGCATGCGGTGCCCCACGCGATCTTGTTCAGGTCGTGACATGCGGTCCAGCGTCTGTGGAAGCCCTTACGCGCGATCCTCGGCTTGCTCATATCACGTTCATTGGCAGCGATGCCGTTGGGCGGAAAGTCGCCGAAGCTGCGGCGCCGCAACTGACGGCCACGACGTTGGAGTTGGGCGGTAAGGATCCAGCGGTCATTCTGCCGGATACGTCGCTGTCGTTCTTTACGTCCATGTTTATGCGTGCCTGCTTCCAGGCCATGGGCCAAAACTGTATTGGCATTGAGCGGTTTATTGTGCCACGGTCGATGGTGGACGAGCTGGTCGACGCGGTGCGTCCTCGCATCGAGAAGCTGCGGTGCGGTAGTTTTCTGGACGAGACGCGGTTTGGATGTGGGCCTGACGGCCAGGATACCGTCGACTGCGGTGCTATGATCTCTGATGCCCGCTTTGACGCGCTGGAGGCGCTCATTACCGACGCCGTGGCGCATGGTGCCAAGCTTGTGCTGGGCGGTCATCGTCTCGTGCACCCAACGTGGCCTCTGGGTCATTACTTTGCACCGACGCTGCTTACGCACGTCACGCCATCGATGCGCATTGCGCAGGAAGAGCTCTTCGCCCCTGTGTTCCTGATCATGGCCTACGACGACGTCGAAGAAGCCGTGCAGATCGCGAACGGCACCGCTTTCGGCTTGGGCTCCTCGGTGTTTGGACGGACCAAGGCGCAGTGCCATGCGGTGGCTGTGCGGCTGCAGAGCGGTATGGTGAACATCAACGAGTACGTATCCTGCCTCTCACACACAGTTTCGGCATTTCCTACTTGAACCAAGGCCTGCCGTTCGGCGGCCGAAAGGATTCCGGCTATGGCCGCTTTGCAGGGCCTGAAGGGCTGCTGGGCCTCACGGCCCCGAAAGCTGTGACAGAGGACGTGGCATTTGGTCTGGTACAGACCTCGATTCCGCCCGTGGTCGACTATCCGCTGTCGAACACACAGCGGAGCTGGACGTGTATGTATTGTCTCACTAACGTTGGCCAGTTTTGCGCTCGCTTGTGCGACTTGCGTTTGGCTCGTGGACCGATGCCCTAGGCGCGATCCCAGGTCTTCTATAGGTGTCAACAAACGGGTGATAGGCAACCTACATTGTACACGCCATACCTATGGTCGCTACGTCTGCGGTTCTGGGAACGGATCTGTGCCGTTCCACGCCGCAAGCTCCTTGGCATGGCTCATAATTTTCTCCACAGACCAGCGCCCACCAGGGCCGCCGTCTGTGTATTTGAGTCCGATGGCATCCCCGATCTCGTCACATGCCATGAGCACATCATCGATGTCTTGCTTGGTATGCGCAGCACTTACACAGAAACGAACACGTGTCGAGATTAAGGGCGTGGCGGGGTATGCGACAACGACAACAACAATCGGTGGGCGGCGGGGTGGTTCACCGGCTTTGGATGGCGGCACATTGGCGTGTTCGAGGCTAGCACAGTTCCATGCATCGTCCTCGACCTGCCAGCGTTCTGATGGTGGGAGAGCCAGCTCACGATGTAGCATAAACTCCGAGAAGAGCATCATTTTTCCTGGCTGGAAAAGCAGCAGGGGAATCACTGGGCTGTCACGGTTGCCCCAAATAATGAAGCCAAGCTTGCGCAGGCCATGGTTCAGGTACCGCGCGTTGAATGCCAAGCGCTCCAGACGATGCTGCCCCTCCACACCACGTAAGAAGGATTCAGAAAAGTGCATCCACGGCGGCAACAGAGCTCGGTCGTTGGGATCGTTGCCCAGACCCTTGATCGTAGTAATCGTCGACATGATCTGCACGAGTACCGGCGGAGCCATCGTCTCACCGTACACGTTGGAATAGTTGCTAATGCGAATGCGGTCAATCAGTTCCTTCCGTCCTGCAATGTAACCACCCACAGCACCGAACGACTTGGTAAACGTGCCCATATGCAAGTCGACCAAGTTCGGATCGATGCCAAAGTACTCACACACACCACCACCGCGTGGGCCCAGGGCACCGATCGAGTGCGCCTCGTCGATGTACAAGTAAAACTTGTACCGCTTTTTAAGATCCAGCACGCGCGGCAGGTCGACGATCGTGCCTTCCATCGAGTAAAGGCCTTCCACAAGAAGCACAATCTTTTTCCACGGGCGATGCGTACGAGGCTGTCCCTGACTAATGCACTCACGCAGCACCGCTTCCAACGCCTCCATATTCCCGTGCTTGAAGGTACGAATGCTGGCACCGCTCATGCGCACACCAGCACGAAGTGACGTGTGGTTCAGTTCGTCGGAGATAATCAGCGTGCCGGGCCCAGCAATCGCAGGGATGGTCGTGCTGTTCGTGGCGTAGCCCATGCTGATCAGCATGGCATCCTCCTGACGCAGGAACCGCGCCACGAGCTTTTCCGCCTGGACCTGCAGATCCAGCAGACCCGAGCCCAGACGGGTACCGCCACTCGATATACCGTAGAGATCCAGGCCCTCGTCGACCACGTCAGCACACTCGCCATGCGACTGCGCAAAGCCCAGGTAGTTGTACGCACTAATGTTCAACGCACGACGCTTTCGTCCCGTCAAGTAAAAGTTGCGGTTGTAGTCGTTCGACAAACGCTCGAGTGTCATGACAGTACGGCCATTCACACCCGTCACAGGGCGCTCAAAGCAGTTGTCAATACGCAGCTTGAGTCGACGCGTAAAGAAGCTGTCAAAGTCCGAATTCAGCGCGGCGTACCCGTTGCTCTCCCGCAGATGCTCAAAGTCTTTCGGGTAGAAGCGACGGCCGATGAAATCACGCACATGGCTGAATAGGATCAATACAATGTACGACCAGTACGTCGAAAGCACGGTCAAGTAGCTTGCACTCTCTTCTTCCGTGTCGGCGTTCAGTTGACTTTGGTCGTACTGCGACGTCCAGCTATATTCGTTGTCCTGACTCAGACCAAACTCAGAGTGCTGCAGCTGAGAGCTCTGGCCATTCTGCGCTGACGCAGACGGTGCCAGCTGCGTGCCCGCACTATACACCTCGGCTCGTCCCATGCCAAAGCCTCGGTTGCCTAGGGCTGGTGGGATAGACGTGCGTCCCTTGCCGGCAATCGTTCATCTTTCGTATGGGCGTATCGGCCGAAATTCAGCCTATAGGAATTCACGCTTTTTGCCCCAGCGGACTACGACGGCCGCCGGCGTGCGGCGGGCCTAGTCACGTACGTCAGCCTATGACGTAGACCACCTCCCCAACGCCGTGACCTCATGCCAAGACATCAGCCTCCAGTGGTTTCCATACTGAGATGGCACGTAGCATCAGATTCATAGCACACAAGGACGACGGCCAGGTAACAAGTAGCTTACTTGCTAAGAACGGCTACACATAGCACCGTTCTGGCAAAACACCAAAAAGGGGCATACTACAAGCGGGACTGCACCCTGTGCCGCTCACGCGAAGCAGCTTTTTAAGCCTTCGGACCACCGCGAACGGCGCCCTTGGCCTGCTGACGCGACATCTGAGCGTTGGCACCAGCGGCAGCGCGGTTGGCCTTGCGCTCAGCAGCGCGAGCCTTCTTGGTCTCCTTCGACTTGGTGAGGTGCTCCTTGCGAGCAGCCTCACGGACCTCCGGCTTCTGGTTGCGGCGGGCGTTGATCAAGTCAAGCGACGCACCCACAACGCCACGCTGGTGCTTGACCGTGCGGCGAGTGCGCTTCTTGGCGGCCTCCTCCGAGATACCCTTCTTGTGCATGCGGCGGTACAGCACCGTCCAAGCGATCTTACGCGGGTTCTTGCGCTGGTGGAACAGCGACTCCGGCTTCGAGCCGAGGAAGCGGAAGACCTACGTCTGTTAGTCACCATTCATGGTCGTGGACCGACTTGCTTCCGATAGTGAACGTCGACATTGTTCATGCATACGCAGGTAACCGACTTAGAGTAGGCATGCCGTTACGCTAGCCCATCATTCACCGTCCTGCACGATGCTTTCATCAACGTCGACCTTCGCCATGCAGAGGGCCGTCGCCTGGTTAGTGCGTACCTTGCTGTCACCGCGGACGTAGAGCTTACCCTTGCCCCTGTATCAGTTAGTCCATCTGTTCGTCATGCGCGCATTGGTCTCGCCTGTACGTTCACATGCCAGGCGAGCACAAGCGAAGGTGAAAAATACGTACGGGTAGATCTTCCTGTTCGAGAACGAGCAAATCTCGACCTTCATCTGTACGAAAATGGGGTCAAATAGGAGACCCAGATGTTAGTACCGATGTCCTCTCCTTAGCTCACATGTAACGGAGCACATAGTTCCGCCACACGTTCTCGCCCAACGTACCTTGATCTATCGATTGCCTTGAAGACGGAGGACGACGTGCGCCTAGTCGTTTCACGACGAGGCCCCTTCGTTCGTGGAATATAGTTCTACACGTGACCACACTAGGTACGCATCTGCCCAAAGAGTGGAGGTCTGATCATACTCGCCACGTGGCCATGCCGCCGCGGCCGCCGCGTCGTCGCCGTCCGCACGCGCGGCCGTCCGACGCTTGGCTGTTGTTGCCTGTGCACGAGCGCTGTAGAGTGGCGCGACCTAGCCCAACCTGTCCTTCTTCCAGACTCCTAGTGCTGGCGGGTGGGGTAGCCGACCGGCTACAACCACTACGCCGAATGTGTCGGCAGCGACCAAAGTCGCTGGCGAACAGGACATTGAAGTGACCCCAGGTGCTAATGACACTGTCTCGGCCCTGGCTTTCTCCCCCACAGCTGACGTGCTTGCTGTGGCTAGTTGGGATACATTTGTACGCATTTACCGCATAGATAAGACCAATGCACAACCTGTGCAGCCATGGCAACAGTACCAGCACGAAGGTCCTGTGCTGGATGTATGCTTCAATGCGGAAGGCAATAAGGTTATCTCTGTGGGCACAGACAAGGTGGCGCGCTGCTTCGATCTGAACACCAACCAGGCTTCGGTGGTGGCCCAACACAATGATACCATTCGTTGCGTGCGCTGGATTCGTGCGTTTGGCGGTGCGCTTGTCACTGGCAGTTGGGACAAGACCGTCAAGATCTGGAAGATTGAGCCGCAGCCGACGCTGATTACGTCGCTCGATCTCCCTGAACGTGTGTATGCTATGGATGTGATTGGCATCGTCATTATTGTGGCGATGGCGGAGCGTAAGATCATAGCTTTCCAGTGCAACGAGGCGAATGGGACAGCACAACAGGTGGTGGACCAATTTAGCCCGCTCAAGTACCAGACGCGCTCTATTGCTGCGTTGCCTGATGGCGACGGGTTTGCGCTGGGTGGTACGGAGGGCCGTGTGGCTGTACACTATTTCCATGACCCCCCGGACCCGAAGGATGGTAAGGTGAAAAAGTTTGCGTTCCGATGCCACCGCCGAGCGAATGCGGACCATCCTGATGTGCCACGGACGGAGACACAGCTGTTCCCTGTCAACGCAATCGTGTTCAACTCCCAAGGCACGTTTGCGACGGGTGGTGGTGATGGATCGATTAGTTTCTGGTGCAAAGCGAGCCGAACACGTTTGAAGAGTACGTGCCATTGTCCCTACTAACCTATTAGCGTTTGAAAACAAGGGTACGGCTATGGCACCGAAAGAGGTGTTTAAGACGAATCCCAACCGTCTGCCTGTGACGGCGATTGCCTTTAATGCTGACTCGTCGATCTTTGCGTATGCGTGTATGTATCTGCATCTACTAACATTGTCTAGTGGGATACGACTGGCACAAGGGCTACCAAGGCGCTACCAACGAAGCGCATGTATTTATTCATCCTGTGAACCCTGAAGATATCAAGAAGCGCCCTCCGAAGGCATGATGTTTGCTGTGGCATAGTCGCCGTAGTTTTCGATGACATTTGTAGCCCGATGTGGATTACCAGGCCCCGATCTGCTTGCTACCTTCTCTCCGTGCATGTGGCTTCGCTTGGCGAGCACGGTGCGGCGGCGCATCGCGCATGGGCCTGTATGTGCCGTGCGCTCGTTTCATGTATGTGCTGGCTCCCACTAATACCAGGCCTCATCCACCAGGTGGCGCACGCCCATTCCATACGATCTGCTGGAAACGCGGACCTTTTCGATCATTGCGCATATTGATCATGGCAAGTCGACGTTGGCTGATCGGCTGCTTGAGCTGACCCATACGATTCCTAGCGATGCATCGAACAAGCAGGTCCTAGATAAGCTCAAGGTCGAGCGGGAGCGCGGCATTACCGTCAAGTCGCAGGCTGTGAGCATGCTATACCAACCGCCGACGCGGTCCCAGCCCCTGCTGCTCAACTTGATCGATACGCCAGGGCATGTGGACTTTGCGTACGAAGTACGACGGAGCTTATCCGTGTGTCAGTCTGCGCTGCTCGTGGTCGATGCGACGCAGGGCATTCAAGCGCAGACCATCTCTGTGTACAAAATTGCGCAGCAATGTGGCCTGACGGTCATTCCTGTCCTTAACAAGGTCGATCTGCCTGCGTCTGATCCAGAGCTCTGCATGCTGCAGCTAGAAGAGATACTAGGGCTGGATACCACGACGCATGTGCCTTTGCAGGTCAGTGCCAAGACCGGGCAGGGTGTTGACGCGGTGCTGCAGGCACTGGTCGAGCGTACGCCGGCGGTGCCAGGCGTGGATGGCATGTCGTTAGCGCAGCGCGAGCCGTCTGGCTTGCGTGCGCTGGTGTTTGACAGCTGGTACGACAAGTACCGTGGCGTGATTGCCTTAGTGAGTATCCATGATGGGGCTGTGAAGAAAGGTATGTGCTACGCTGGCTAAAACGTAGGCGATATCATTGTGGCCTACCACAGTGGGAAGCGCTATGAGGTGCTGGATTTGGGCGTGAACAACCCTGAGCCTGTCTCGACGCCCATCCTGCGCAAGGGGCAGGTGGGGTGGCTTATTACCACGATGAAGGAGACGGCCGAAGCAAGTATTGGCGATACGTTCCATCGCGCTGGCGAGACCATTGAACCGCTGGACGGCTTCCGTCCTGCACAGCCCACCGTCTTTGCAGGTATATTCCCTACGGACAAGGCCGACTTTTTGAAACTGGAAGATGCGATTCAGCGGCTGTGCATCAACGACCGCTCGATCACGCTCCAGAAAGAGTCCATGACCGCGCTGGGCCAAGGCTACCGCCTGGGCTTTTTGGGTACGCTGCATCTGGACGTGTTTCGCCAGCGACTCGAGGACGAGTACGATCATGAGATCCTCGTTACGACGCCGACTGTGCCGTTCCGTGTCACGTACAAGGATGGGCGCCAAGTGCTTTGCTCCAACCCGGTGGATTTTCCCGACGAGGGGCAGCGCAAAACGCAGGTCGAGCGACTGGAGGAGCCTACCGTGCTGGGCTCGCTGGTGTGCCCGGAAGAGTACACGGGCGCAATGATGGAGCTGTGTGCAGAGCATCGTGGCGAGCAGCTGGACATTGATTTTACGACCTCGGGACAGTCGCAAGTCCACATGCAGTACCGATTGCCGTTAGCAGAGATCGTGACAGACGTACGTACCATGGCTCTTACCCCAGTTTTTCGACAAACTCAAGTCACGCAGTAGTGGCTTCGCTTCGTTTGACTACGAAGACTCGGACTATGTCGCATCGGATTTGGTCAAGATGTCCTTCCTTGTCGCTGGCACGCCTGTGGATGCGCTGGAACTGGTCCTCCATCGATCGAAGGCCAGCTTGGTCGGCCGCTCGTTTGTGAAGCGGCTCAAAGAGGCCATTCCGCGCCAGCAGTTTGAGATTAAGATTCAAGCATGTATCGGGAGCAAAGTGCTGGCGAGTGAGACGCTCAGTGCGTACCGCAAGGACGTCACGGCCGGCCTCTATGGCGGCCACTACGAACGGAAACTCAAGCATCTCAACAAACAAAAGGAAGGCAAGAAACGTCTCAAAGCCATGTCCCTCGGCAAAGTGCAAGTACCTCACAAAGCGTATGTATTGTTTCAACGACTAACGACTAAAAAGTTTCATGGATATTCTCGACACACGTGTCAAGTCCTAAGAATTACCACAGCGCGAAAGCAAAGCTGGCCATGACCAACGCCGTAGACCACGCCAGGGGTGCAGCCAGCTGGGCAGCGGCATTCTTATCGCTCTTGTCGTCATCACTGCCAAAGATGCCCGTGACACTGCTGCTCGCCGAGTCGTTTGAGCCCGTCGACGGCGGCTCCACCAGCTGCGTACCGTTCGTCAGGATGAACGGCGAGAGACCGATGGGCGGCGTGTAGTTCGCCGCCTTCGAGTCGTTCGTCTGGCCGTTCCAGCAGTACTTGGTCATGCACTTCTGGCACTTGTCCGGAATCTGCGCCTTGCTGCGCTGCAGACCACGCATCGTCGCCGCACACGCTAAGCACTCGTGCCAGTCAGCCTGTTGACCACCCATCGTAGCCACATCCATAGCGTTTTGCACCATGGCCTGCTGGTGGTCCTTGTTGTACGCCAGCTCAAACGTGTTCGAGTTGCCCCAGCCCGAGTACGGGTAGTTCGGGAGGTACACCAGCAGCGGCGCCGACTTGTCCACAGCCGAGTTGGTGTTCGTGGCGTTCTGCGCATTACAGCCGAAGAACACAGGGCGCGTGTTCAGACCTTCGTTCACAAACGTGTTCTGGTCCGGCACCTCGGGGAACGCCATGTACGAGAACATCTCGAGCTTCGCACGCTTCTGCGTCTCCCACAGAGCTGTGCCGTTCGGCCAGTTCATCGTGTCGCCACTCGCATCCACAGCAATGATCATGTCGAGGTTGCGCGCCGGCTGCAGCAGCGGCTCAAGCGGAATGTTCTGGTTCGCCTCACCACCGTCCACCACGTCAATGTACTGCGCCGTGTTGAAGCCATTCGTCGTTGGACGGTAGCCACGGAACGGATTCGGGACAGGAGCCACATCGTTATCGCCCTTACCAATGTCCTGCAAGATCGACTTGATAATGTCCGTCAGTACACCCGTCTGGTTGCTCTGCAGAACCGCAAGGTAGGCACCGTTGAACAGCGTACTCGAAGAACCAACCACGTAGCCAAAGTTCTCAAAGCCTGCCACACACTTGTTGTCAGTCGGCTGACCATTGTTCAGCACCGAACCGAGGTAGCCTTCCGGAATGAACGCCTGCAGCGCCGGCTGCCACGTGCCAAACTCGTACGGCGTGTACTCAAAGTAGGTCGCGTTCGGGTCAATCATAAGCTCTTTGTCGTGACGGCCAATCGCCAGCACGATCGGGAAGGGGTAACTGGCATCCTGGAAGTGCGTCACGTTGACAATGTCAGAGTACACTGTCGCTTGACCCTCGTCCTTGTACATGGTGTCGTTCAGCAGTTGGTACGACAGCGCACGGCCCCAGTAGTCGGTGATCGACGTAGGGTAGTGCCTGTCCTTCTTGTCACCAACATCGTCAAACAGGTCCATGTAGAAGCTCAGCTCATCATCATCGGGGAACACCAGGTTCGAGTCCAGGTTGTAAATGGACTGCAGCAGCTCCTGTGTAGTCGGCCAGTTGTTGATGGCCATCGAGCCCGTAGCCCACGAACCACCCGAGAGACCAGACACATAGTCCACAGCCTGAAGCAGACCACCTACACCACGCTGCATAGCGGTCTCGTTACGCGAGTCAAAACCTTCCACAACACCCACACCCAAGAGCATCGCACGGTAACCACCACCACTGATCGCAATACCGACTTTCGGCTGGTTCTCGTTCAGGTACTGGTCCACACCACCCGGCAAATCACCGTCCAGACCGGCACGCGTAAGCCAGTCCTGCCACACCGGACGCGTCTTTTGACGATGACGCTTCATGTAATCAGCCTCCTGACTGTTCATCTTAAAGTCCGACGCATTGCGGATCATGCCCACGTAGTTGTTGCCCTGCGGCATCGGCGGGCACGCCACATCGGCAGGCACGTATCCGTTCGAGGGCGACCAACGGCGCTGCTTCTGTACATTCTTGCGTGAGTCAACCGCCTGACGAGCACGCGCCATCTGCTCCAGATGGTAGCGTGCATCTTTCTGACCCACGAACGCAGCCAGCTCATCTTGGGTGTACTTGTGCCCACCATGGCCATCACTCTCAAAGGCAGATACCTGGCCTACCGCCACAGCACTCACAGCCAAAACAGCCGCCAGTGATGTGATCTTCATCGTCGCTGTTCAAGGTCAAAAAGAAATTCCGCGCCTTTCTTGGCTTGCACCGATATGTCCGTTAGGATGAATCGAGAGGCAAAATCTATGACATATTATTACCTAAGTCCACCGTGTAGCTTTTCTCTGCACGCTGCCACAAGCTCGTCAGAGTCGTCGCTTGTGCCACGTGCTTAGATCGTCGCGTCTGGGGGGCAGGGCCCAGGTGCCGCGTATCATTGCGCCGAATGACACGAACATGCGTCTCGGTGGCCTTCGTGGCAGGGTATACTTCCATTGTGAAAAGAGCTGTGTTGTCACTCCGAATGTAATACGCGCTCGAACCTTGTCGTAGCGTCGGCGCATGCTGCGTGAGAAACGCATTGATCCATTGTCCATGTGTCACCAAGACCAAGTGAGGTAGGCTGTTTAGTTCTGTTACCGTAGCTTCGTTGTCGGGTGTCGCTTCACGCGACCCCGCTTGCGCCTCTTTGGCATACGTCTCTAGCCATGCCAGCCATTTATGCCCAGCTATCCATACGCGTTTTGCAAAGCGGTCGTAGGATTCTGCTCGTCCCAGCTCGGACGCTGGTGGCCGCTCAAATCCAGGAACTCGCTTCGAATGCTTCGTGCATTCATTGCTGCCATAATGTCGCTCTGCCAGAGCGGAGTCTACCAGCACTGTGTCGGGGCATACATGCGGGGGTGGCACCTCGCTAGGCGGCGACTTGTACGTCGTATCGTCTTCTTCCGGAACCTCTACAATGCCACAACCGCGCGCAACAGCTGCTGACGTTTTTCGTGCGCGGCCTATTGGGCTGGTAACAAGGACGGATGGTGCGGGTAGCTCGTACATGTTCATGGCCGTCTCTGAAATCGGACGCCATGCTGCTTCCAATTTCCGCAATTGGTCCTGTCCACGCTCGGATAAGGGCGCATCTGTCACGCCTTGCAGTACACGCTCCACGTTCGCGCGGGACTCGGCATGCCGAATGAGCGTGAGAAGGGCTATCGGCTGCCGCGGCGCGTCGTCCATCCTGGTCCAGGTTCAATGAACCCTAGTGGAGGTGGAGAGGGAAGCCTACTCTATCATTATGGTACCCAACATCAGATCTCAGTTGCAATTTATTTAATCTATCAAACGCAACTCTTCAAGCCGTAATGGTGCATACTTGTCCTTGTTCTCATTCCACAACCTGTCATGTGAGCTGATCTCCATACGTACTCAATCAGTGCTTCCACGTATCGATCATGCACTTCTTGGATCTGTTCTTGCGTTGGATTGGCGCAATGCGGTACAGGGATGGGCTTGCCAACTGCACGGTCAGTTTTTATATTGATACATACTAACGACGTCAATTGGCCGTCGGTAAGGTAGCCATCCATAGTATTTATGCAGAAAACCACGGCCAAAGAAAATGGGCATGGTAAACCCGGCTGCCGCCTTGATTTTCTGCTGGTACCAATAGAGCCATGAGCCTTTCCTGTTCTCTGCCTGGCCCAAAATATCGTTTTCACCGAAGCCGATGACAGGCACTAGATCCGCTCTGGTCTGATTAGTAGGCCATATACATACCCAGTGTGCATCGCCACCTTGACGAATCCAAAACGCCGTCGCAACGTCAAGTCCATATGTCCGGCATGTGCAGCTAGGCTTTCCTGCGCACCGCCAATGACAATGACAATGGCATTGCCTGCTTTCTGGCGCAGAATGTTCTCACAGCTCTTTCGCGACACAGAGCAAAACCCTGCAGCCATAAGATAGTCTCGGTAAAATGGTACGATGAAATTGCTGTTCAATGTCAAGATATGTGTCTTGATCCCCGGAAATTTTACCGGGAAGTCGCAAGCATGCGATGCGAGAGCCGAGACACAACCCAAGCCAAAGATGCCATGTGGGTGGTAACCCATCAAGTAGCGCCGCGATGGGTCCAAATCCACTGTCTTGTGCAGCGAGATCGGGAAATACTTTACAAACCAACGAAATAGGAAAAGTTTTCGCATCCATAAGACAGAGCGACCGCCATTCTCTGGTGCCTTGTCGAAAAAGAGGAAGGTCATATAGATGATGAGGAAAGGCCACGCCTTAGGTATGGTGCTGAAGTTAGTCACAAATCACATACCAAAGATAGAAGAACAGACTCACGCTCAAAAATGGTGTGATGAACCACTGGAACAGGCCCCACACGTAGGGATCCGTCATAGGCCGCTGTTCATCATAGTGGACGATATCCGCTAGGCGTTGCCTGTACGCCTCTTCGTCCCATGTTTCTCTCGCTCCGTGCTCTGGCTTTGGGCGGGCCATAAGGACGAAATCTTCTATCGATCAATGCCAAAATATGAGCCGGACCGCACAAGCACTAGGACGCCTCCGGGGTATACCCTGGGTGTCTATATGCTCGGCGCGCATGCATGGGCAGCTACACGTGGGGATGACGATGCCACGTGATGTGGTTGGACAACAACACTTGCGCGCGTGAAGGCGTCGCATCGTTGGTGGAGCGACATTGATAAAAATGCTGCCGTTCCGTGCGCCGAGTAGCGGTGCGGCAGGCATGCGGCGCGATGCGTCAGGTCTGCAAGATAAGCGTGTACCATCGCAGTCTGCTGTGGGTGGTCGCCGTATTGTATCGCAGGGCCTTGCGCGCAAACCGTTGCGTACTCCGACAGAGGCACCGTCATCGGCCGCGAACGCGCCCCCCAGTCTGCAGGTGGACACGACCAGCTTTGAAGAATGGATGAAAATGGCGACAGATAACAAAATCAATGCTACCAACACATGGAACTTTGCCTTGATTGACTATTTCCATGATATGTCGCTTCTTCGGTCTGACTCGGGCGATGGCTCGATCAATTTCCAGAAAGCATCGTGTACATTGGATGGCTGTGTCAAAGTGTGGACGAGTCGTGTGGACAGTGTGATGGCAGAAACAGGCCGGCTGCTTAGTGGCTTACAAGACGAAGATGCGTCTGCGGGCACCGACCCTTCTTCGATGGATCCTGATCAGTCTGGGTTGGCCGAGGATGACGATGACGCTGAGGCGGGTGAGGGCCGGAATACATCCACTCGGAAGCGGCGCGGAAAAGCGCGAGAAGCAACGCTGGCAAAGAGCTTTGCGCAGCTGCAAGTCAAGCGCTACGACTTGGAATTCACAGTCGACCCTCTATTTAAAAAGACCAGTGCTGACTTTGACGAAGGTGGCGCTGGCGGTTTGTTGATGAATCACTTGCACATTGACGACACTATGAAAGTCGTATTTGATGCATCTGACGTCACGGCTGCCGTGGATACCGAGAAGGAAGAAGCGGCCGTGCCTACAACGGACGACGCTCCTGCGATTGATCTGGGCAAGTTGCAGTCGCGTTTGCTCGCTGCTGCCGCGCAGACCCATCCTGAGAGCATGGCAGAGAGCCAGACCTTGGAAGACGTGCTAGCCTCACGCATGCTATGCCCTTCCACGTCCGCCTTTACCTTTGCGGATGACAACGAGGCGGCCTTGCCCACACTGACGATGTCGTACGATGACATGGAGGCTGAGATGGATATGGAGATGGATATGGAGGAGGATCTGCCTGACATGGACGGTCTTGACTTTTTCGACGGTACGACGGAGCCCGGTCTTGCAGTGGGAGAACAGGGCGAGCGTGCGTTTGACGCAGCTGTTGCGCATGACAATCACGACATGGCCAGCTCGACCACTGGCCCGACGCAAGCGCATGAGCAGCTGTTTACCTACTTTGACAACCGCATGCAGAAGAACTGGGCTGGTCCTGAGCACTGGAAGATGACGCGATTGCATAGTGCTGCCTCGGCTCCGCGTTTGTCTGGCCCAGCGTCTGACTCAGCACCGGCCACGTCCGAGGCGAAACCACGCCGTGGGAAGGAGGCCATGGTTATCGACTTTCTGTCGTCTGAGCCAGGTCCCTCTACCCAGACGCTCTTTGCTCCGAGTGCGACGCCTGCGTCGATTTGCTTGCCCAAGGCCGCCCAAGCCGTGACAGCGCGGCATCTCCTACCGGAAGACCAGCACTTCAACTCTCAGCGTCTTTTGCGTCTCTTCCTCAAACCCAAAGCGACCATTCTCCTGCAGAAGCGTCGTCGTGAGGCTACGCCTGCGCCGATGAGTCTGTGGGACGACGATGGTCTCGGTGACGTCGTGGACGATCGTGCTACGCCTTTCCGGACCGACCTGTTTGAAGATGTGAATCCGTACGAGGATGTTCTGCCTCCTATGTTGGATACGCTGCCGTCCGGCGACGCGGAGCTCGGAGGCGACGATGACGTAGAGGCGGAGGATGACGTCTTGCTCGGTGGCGAGGCGCTTCGTCGTGTGCGCCCCGAGTTTGTGGAGCATGCTCGTCGTGCCAAGCAAGTGGACGTGAAAAAGCTCAAAGACAATATCTGGAAAACACTCGCTCTGTCGTCCGAGCCGCAGACCTTTGATACAGCGCTGCAGGGACTCCAGTCGCTGTACCCACGCAAACAGTACGACGAAATTAGCACGTCGTTCTGTTTTATTTGTTTGCTGCATCTTGCCAACGAAGAAAGTCTCCGTATCGACGTAGCCTCTGCGTCATCGGTTCCTCATGGCACCGCTTCTCCTGGCGCGTTCCTTGCCGCTGCAGCTCGTGCTGGCCGGGTTCTCTCGTCGACGGACGACGACGATGCTTTAGGGGCGAGCCCTGCGCCGAGTGCCAAGGCGGACGTGGACGATGCATATGCGGACGAAGCTCATGTAGGACAGCTTGGCACGCTCCGTATCCAGCGCGACATGGCCTAAGGCTGCTCACGGTCTATAGACAAGATACCCCTACGTTTGGTGCCTACTGAGATTGCTCGACACGCGCGTGGAGGCCTAGCGAGCGCACGTGCGCGAAGGACGCTCGGAGCATCGCGTGCGTACCGTGCGCGCCGCGGCGCCTTGCCTTTTTTTTGGACGTGCCACGCCGCCGGCCATGTACCATTACCTTGGACCTACGCACCGTGCGCAGCTCGCCACATACAAGTACAGCAGTGGCGGATCTTCGTTCATCTCGACGTACGTTCTCGGTCCGTACTGGAATTGGCTTGTGACGCTCTTCCCGACATGGGTCGCGCCCAATACCATTACGCTGAGTGGCCTGCTCCTTGTGTTTGCCAACTTTCTGAGCTTGGTGGCGCTGGATGGTGAATTGGATCACTCCACGCACATGCGCACCTATGTCCTAGCGCCGCAGGCTGATACACTCTTGCCTGTCGTGCCGCTGCTTCCCCACGCCGGTCTGCCTGCCTCGCTGGCGACGTATACGCCCACGTCGGAGGGCAAAGTGCCGTCATGGCTGCTTCTCGTGTGGGCCGTGTGCCTGTTTCTGTACCAGAGCTTGGACGCCATCGACGGCAAGCAGGCGCGGCGTACGAACATGGCAGGCCCGCTTGGCGAGCTGTTTGATCACGGCTGTGATGCGCTCAATACGACGCTGGAGACGATCATGGTTTCCGCTGTGACGGGGTTGGGTCGTTCGCACTGGACGATCGTTGGCTTGGTCTCGGCCATGTCGAACTTTTTCCTGACGACGTGGGACGAGTACCATACCAAGACGCTCTTCCTTTCGTCGTTCTCTGGACCGGTGGAAGGTATTCTGATCATTTGCGTACTGTTCATTGCTACCGCTCTTCTCTCTCCGACCATGTTTATGCAGGGTGTTCTACATGTGCTAGGCCTCGAAAAGAGCGCTTGGGTACGTGAGCATATGGCGTTCCTCAACATCCCGTTGGGTGATTTCCTGATGGTCCTCGCGAGTCTCGGCTTGCTCATGAACGCATGGACAGCGTACCAGAACGTCCGCAAGCACTGCCGCCAGGAGCGACTCTCGGTTTGGTCGCCCCTGTTGGGACTTTTCCCGTTTGTCGTGCAGTGTGTCGCGAACATTACCTGGCTCCAGGGGCAGGGTATGCGTATCATGACCCATGGTCGTGTGTTTGTGCCCTTCCTGGTCAGTTGGGGCCTGAGCTTTGCTTACCTTGTCGGCCTGGTCATTCTCGCCCATGTGTGTCGTCGTTCGTACCCCTTCTGGAACATGCTACTTGTCCCTAGCGTTCTACTCGCGGTGGATGCGCATCTCTCGTCGCCTGTGCTGCAGCATTCGGTGGCCATGACAGAGTATGCTGTGTACAGCTATCTCGCACTTTCTTTCGCCGTGTACGGCTACTTTGTGTACGATGTGATTCAAACGATCACACAAGAAAGTATGTATGACCTTGACTCACCTGGCAGCTGGCAAGCCATGTTTCCATGTGGTGCAGAAGCACAACGAGTAGGCATGGTAGGCATGTATGTAGCCTTCTACGTGATTGTCATACTATGTGATACAGGGGCATGGGTATGCGTTCGCACCAGTGCAGATACGCGCTGGATATGTGTAGATACAGGCACCGGTTCAGTATGGTGCGTCGATGTACGTGTCTCCACGACCATCGGGATCGGCGCTTGCAGGAGCGCTGGCTCGGCCGCTGCATCGATGCGCGAGACGAGGCGGAGGTCGCGACCGGGCAAAACCTGGATGAGGTGGCCTGTCTGCGCGTCATGCAGTTCCAGAAGCGATTCGCCACAGGCGATCACTACGCCGTCCGAGTAGGCCACATACTGCACAGGCACTTCCCACACCATACGGCGCTCGGCATGGACGAGCTGGCCATCGTCATCCACAAAGTACGCGCCACGATCAAAGCACAAAAGCCAGCCCACCGACGGTACAGAAAAGGCGCCCAGTGGACGTGCGCCATCCCATCCACGCAGGAGGACCTGTGCCGCCTCGTCATGCTGCCGTGGTGCTGGGTAGGGCACCAATTCCGCCTTGGCGATATGGTACAAGTAGAACTGCCGCGGCGTGCATACAACCAGCGCATGCGGTGTACACTGAATGCCCGTCGCTTCCGGGTACACGTAAAATTTCTGCGGTCAGTCAGTCATACCGTGCACATACCTGTTGCATGTGGAAACCCGTAAGCACGTCTTCGTCGGTGCCCGGCACACGAATCGTGATGGGGGTCAAGAGGCGGATGCTGGACTCTGTCGCCTTGCGCTTGGCGTACACCAGCATTGGCCCTTGCCATGTTTCGCCAAGCGCAAAAAACTGAACATCGCGTGTACCGCCCAAACGAATCGGCGCGACACTCGGCGACGCGCGACCTCCGCTGGGTACGAGGGCCTCCAAATCGTAGGCGACCAACGTGCGATCGGCCAGCACAAGGAACCGACGATGTCGAGCGAGGACCGCGACTTGCGTCACATGCTTGGTATAGAGCACCTTGCGCAACGAGGCAGGCTGGCCCCTCCGGCCGAACCACACGCCCTCATTGGTACCGATCGCTACCAAGACGGTATCGGAGGCACGATGAGACCAGGTAGTGACACATGTCACTTGGGTCGGTGTCCACGTTGCATCACGTGGAGTCGTGGCCGAGCTTAGCAACGGTTCATGCGGCCCAGGCGCAAACGCGTCCCCACTCACATCCACACGATGGAACGACGGCGTGGTATGGCAGTAGGCTTGGGCACTTTGTAGGAGGACTGTACGCCAAGCCTCTCGCTCTTCCTTGCTCGTCACGTACAATGTCATGGGCGCCGACGGTCGGAAACGATGCCATACCGAGAAAGCGTACATCTCGCCGGCCGGCGTAGGCCATACACGCCGACTTCCCGTCGTACGAACGAGGGGCGGGTCAAGAAACCCGCCCGCCTCGAGGCATGACACAGGGATGGGCCTTTTGCTCACAAACAGCGGGGTCGTATGCGAGGGCTCACGCAGCATGCTTTCCGTTTCTTCTGCCTCTTCTTCTTCTTTCTTGGGCTTGGCCAGAACAAAGTAGTTGTCGAACAAAATCGCCTCCAGCGCCGTCCACTCGAACTCAAAGTTGTCCGGACGACGATACACCGTAGCGCGATGACGCAGTTGGCGATCGGGATGTCTGAGATCCATATCCACAAAGCTTTCAGGACGTTTGGAATGGAGGCGCGTCGACACCGCACGGACTTCCAAGTGCTGCTCTGCGGCAGTCACGCCATCTTGGGCGATCCGGCACTGCTCGTCGATAATGTGCATCGCCAAAGTCAGCGCCTCGCGATCGTCGTTCGCTTCCGCCGTTCGTTTCCAGATCGACTCCAAATGCAAATGGTACCGCTGCAAACGCGCTGGTGGTCGGAACAGGAAATGCTCCAACGCATGCCGCTGAGCCGCCGGATCACGTCGACAGTCATCGATAAACTGCTGCATACGTGCATTGCTCGCCGCCTCCACCTTGACTCGCGCCTGTGCGTAGGGGTAATGAGCGACGTACGAAGTATATGCATCCGCCCACTCCAACGCGGACTGAACCACAATGTCGCCCAGGGTCTGGACGACAATGCCCTGCTCCCGCTGGCGCTCATGCAGTCGGTCGACAAACACTGCAATGTGTTGATACAGCGGGTCGACCAGCCCAAAGACATCAGCCACAAACGATGTAAGAGTATCGCCTCGCAGTGGGGCATCGACGCGAAGGGTCGTCGAGTGACTTGTCTGCGCTAACGATTGCAGTCGCTGTGCATACGTCTTCATAAGCGCCAAGTCGCTCAGAAAGCTCTCTTCTTTCTGGATAAACTCATGAATCGCATTCTGTCGCTTTACCTCGTCTTTCGGGAGCGACGCCACAATCTCTGCTGGCACGGTCTCGACCCATGCCAAGGGCATGGGGGCTGTCGTAGAGGCTGGCGTCGATTCCTCTTTGCCACATACGAAGCCACGCCGGAATCGGGGGCAGCTGGGAACGTAGCAACTGGACGTATGGCTAAGCGCACACGTGGGACTGTAGCACGCTGTGAGAGGTGTCATCAGGCCTGTAGGCAGCTCGTCCCATTGCGCTGATGCACAGGCGGCAGCGCCCGTCGCACTGAGAGCGACACTGGAGGTCGCATCGCGAAGAAACAACTGGTCCACAGGCAAACCAGGCGCCGAATCGAGTCCAGAGCCATGCTTATCGCTGATGGAATGGTCGGAAAACAACATAAAGACGCCATCGACATCGTCTGTGAGCACATGCTCTTCCCAGTCCACTTCGTGGACAAACAGCTGTGTCTTTAGCGAACGAGCTATACTCAGGGCCATTTGGTGCGCATGCACAGGTAGGATAGAAGCATCATCGTCCATAATTGGCGAGATCGTAATGAACTGAACAAGCATAGCCGCGATCGTATGTACAAGAGTACGCCCTGTAAAGCTCATAGGGTACTTGACACTGCCTTTGATGAGCGGCTGTCGCTCAAGCACGCGACTGAGTAGTTGAGCCATGTGCGATAAACGAGATAAGTCCACATGCGTGCCGAGCAACGAGTGAATGGGGGTCGTGGCATACACGCTCTGCGACGATGCGCTATACTGCGGCAGGGCGGCGTCCTTCTCGTCCCCCGCTGTCACCGAGGACAGAGACGTAGTGCGTGCCATGGGTGTAGCTGCTTTCGAGGCTGATGTGGGCTTCAGCGGGAGGGGAGGTAGCGGTTGCGGAGGCGACATGACCCTCGCTGCCGACGCACCCGTTGATCGTGAGGATAGAATGCTCTCAGAGGCCCGTCGTGCTCCGCCTCCCTCTCCTTGCGAGACGCACGTCGAGGCCACAGAAGTTCGGCGCAGCTGGTCGGAATGCATGGGCGCCGCAGGGAGGGGCCGGCGTCGAGTGCCACATAGTGAGCCTACACTGGCCGCATGAGGAAGAGGCCAGGCGCCCTGGGGCAACGATGGCCCTGATGCCAGCCCCGACACTAGTGGGGACTGGGCCATGGACATGGACGATGAGGGGCGCGATAACTCAATCATTTCCTGGATCTCTTCCACCAGAGAATCCATGGAGGACTGCGTGCCTGGCGCCTTGGGCGACTGACGTTCCTCGGATGTGGGGCGGTCCCTCATCCTACAGTCATGTGGAGAAACGGGGCGACCTGGTTTTTTTATCTACGTGGTCCCACGAGCGTGGTCTTCCTCCACTTCAAGTTCGACAACTTCCTCTCTCTACCTACCCTCCAAGATATACCAGATGCAAGATTATCATATATATTCATATACAGCTAGCTACAAACATACTATAATACAACAAAAGTATAAGGACGAAGTTTATGTCGACGCTTTGTCGCTGTGCTCCACAGTCTCCACGGAATGGTGCTTCACATCCCCATGACCAGCGTCGGCCCCTGCCTTGCTCTCTGTCGCCGCGGACAAAGCCGCGGCCAGGTCGAGATGGAAGAAAGGTGTCATCTCATTGTTCCACATAATAGGCACGACAATGCTTTGATCCGTGCTGCTACTATGCCGTTTCGAATCCTGGGCATACATGGCATCCAAATGCCGGATCTCAAAGTCCATCCGATCCATTTCCGGGCCCATGGCCGGTGTTTCACGCGCAGGTATCTGCGATTCCAGGTCGTCAAAGGGGCTCCCGCTAGCACCGCTCTTTTCACCAACGCCATAGTGCATGTGATCGTCCCCCTGAGCTTCTCGTCGCTCTTCAGCTTCACGCGCGCGCTCCGCGACATCGCGAGCATCGCCTTGCTGCACCACCGACGCAATTTCCGTCACGTGGCGGTGAATACGGCCAGTACCAAAGCCGCCGGCCAGTAAGCCACGACGGATCCACGGACTGAGGATATGCGCAAAATGGAATTGCACCGGCTTGCCAGCATACCGTTCCAACGCATTGCGTAAGTCGACAAGCACCTGGACCGACGTCGAATCCACATTGCTCACTGACCCAAAGTCAAGAATCAACGCATGAAGCAAGGGCCGCGAGTCATGTGCTTCGGCCAAGGCCGACTGCTCCAAGTCTTCTTCCACAGAAGGTGCGCCACGGTGACGCAAGTAGTACAGCGACACGCCACGCCATACGCGGAGGAGCGTGGCGCTGGGGGGGCCAGGATCGTTCCATGGCCGATCACCTCGCTTCGTCGATCGCGCCTTGCCAGGCCGTGTTTGCGCCTTGATCTTATCGCCAATCAACTCCGCCATATGCGATGCATTGGGGTACGTAAACGATTCTTCCACACGGTACACAAACACGCCAGGCGGCGGCGGCTCAATGTGCACTGAGGGATCACGCAGACCATCCTTGACGTCCATGGGCACAAAGACATTGCGTTGTTGCGCACCACCAGCAATCGTGTGATCGTGGTGCTCGACTCGTACGACACCCAGCCAGTGACCACGTGGTCGCGCAATGCGAATGAGTAGCAGTACGACAGATGCGGCCACAGCCGTGTAGACACCGTAGTCCACAGAGGTAAAAATCGTCACCACCACAGCAGCGACCCAAATAAACAGCTCCAAGGGACTCATAAGCCAGAACTTGTACAGCAGCGCCGGCGGCGCAATCAGGTCACCCACCGCATGGATAATCACAGCTGCCAGAGCCGCATTCGGAATCCAGTAGAAGACACCGGAGAGCGCGTAAATAGCAATCAGCACCACAATGGCTGTGATCCAGCCAGCCAAAGGCGATCGCACGCCGGACTTGGACTTGATGGCCGAGCGCGAGAACGAACCTGTAGCCGCGTAACCACCGAAGCAGGGGCCAACCAAGTTGGTCACACCGATCGCAATGAGCTCCTGGTTCGGGTTGATTTTGTAGTTGTTCAGACGTCCAAACGACTTGGCAATCGCAATATGCTCCAGCAGCAGCAGAATCACCGACGCAGGCAGATTGGGGCCGATGTGCGTAAGTACCTTGGTCGGCAGCTGAGGCTGGCCCATATGCTGGAAACCACGTGGCACATGCTTGATGAGACTGATCGGATATTTCTTAGGATCGTACGAGCCCAGCCAAATTCGGCTCACAACGAGCATGATAACGATGACAATCGCACTGCGCATCACCGATACGAAAAAGGCGATGCGTGCCCATTTTGGGTAGCGTGCTCCTAGCTGGTTGCAGCCCCATCGGACAACGTACAAAAAGGCGAGGGCTGTCAGGCCAAACGCCACATCCAATTGTGTCTTGGGCAGGTTCTTGAAGAAGCTAATGGCCACCTTGTACATGGCCTCGTTGGTATTGACGTTGCGCTCACCAAACAATTTCGGAAGTTGGCCTACCAAAATCGTCAGCGCGGATCCTGTCATGAAACCACTCACGGCAGGCGCAGGAATGAACTCGACCAACCAGCCAATGCGGATCAAACCCACACCCAGTGTAACAATACCACACATGAAAGCCAGAGCAGATGCAATGAGCTCGGGCGGATATTGATGCGGAGCCACAGCGGCATTGATTTTTTCAATCACGGCTTTGGTTTGCAAGGACATGACAGCCACAGGGCCAATGGTGACATCCTTAGAGGTAGCAAAGAGTGCATAAATCACCACACCCACAAAGGAAGAATACAATCCGAATTCGGGCGCCAGTCCAGCCACGCCTGCGTACGACATGGACTGCGGAACAAGGACAAGTCCTACGGTGATACCTGCGATCAGATCACCCGAGAACCAGCCAAGGTTGTAGGACATAATCCATCGGCGCATAGGGAAAAGAGAATCAAGGTAGTCTAGCGTAGCCCGGCCCGGATGGGTCCAGTGCTCTTCAATAAAGTCGTTGACACCGACCATCGGTACACCTAACCGATTCGCCTCCGTGTCGTCATATCGCACGACCTTTTTAGCAAAGGCCTTGGTACGATCCCACATCGTCCGTGCTGATGATTGGTATACCATCTTCACGAGAGGGCCGTACTATATAGTCGTAGTAGCAATTCTGCGCAGTCAATGTCGTTGCGTAAAGCAGCGTTGTACTGTCGCCATCTATCCTATCTTGCTACCTGGGTGCTCCCGCAAAAAAAAATCAATCACCTCATCGTGGCGAGTGGAGGGAGAATTCGCCGGAGAGCACGTCATAGCTGCAGAACCCCAGGCCACGCCCCGTCAAACCCTGGCTTTGGCGTAGGCCACGTGATATACATCCCAAGGCACACGCTTCGCGCGTGTCGTTGGACGCGATCATGGCGTTGACGCGCGTGTGGGCCGACGTGCGCTTTGTGATAGCAGAGAATGTACTTCCGGAGCGAGCTGATACGGTAGGTAATGGAGGAGCTCATTCCCAGTTGGCGCAACAGCTTAAGGAGGCCGGGGCTGTTCATGTAGCATGGTCCACGTTGCGTCGTGCGTCAGACGAAGAAACGCGTGTCTCTTTCCAAGATACGGTTACCCATTTCATCACCGACTCTATCCATGCACCGTACGTTGCATGGTGTACCCAACCGACGGACGAAGATATGCATGTAGATGGCCCCGTGGCTGTCACGGTACGTACCTCTCTTGCCTGACGATCATGCAGCCTGCATGGGCCACGCGTTCGTTGGCGCTCAACATACCCCAACCCCCTCACCTTTATTCCCCAGATCCACAAAAGATCTTTTCTGGTATCGTCATTTGCTGTGCCCATTTATCGCCTATGGATACAGAAATGCTTTCCTCTGCTGTTGTCTCTTTAGGCGGTGGCTTCAAGCAGACCCTTTGTGAAGACGTGACGCACCTGGTCGCCATTTCGCGTGAGAACAGCAAAGTGCAGGCACTCCAGAACCACCCCGATGTATCTATCCAAGTCGTCGCGCCACACTGGATCAATGATTCGTTCAGTGTAAATCGCTTGCTGCCACTAACAGACTACGTGTTTGATATGAGCCAGCCCGACTCGCTGCCCATCTGTCTGCGCGCGACATGGGACGTACCACCTAGTGCCTCTATTGAGCCAGATCCATCGCCTTTGGAGCGTACGGCGCAGGCCTCGGTCCTTGCGTCCAAAGTCGTACTCTTAGCGCGTGATGTGCATGGGGGCGCGCTGGAATCGCATCCTCAGCTCCACTCGCTGCGCGATCGTATTGGCCGAGCGGGCGGTGAATGTGCGCCCACCTTGGAGGAGACGGTCTCGGACGAAGACGTGCGATCCGCTGTGCAAAAGGCGGATATCGTAGTCGCACGGTACCGTGAGTCACCAGAAGCCCGGTGGGCGTATAGCCAGGGCAAGACGGTAGGCACCTTGGTATGGCTTGTCAAAGCGCTGTCCTCTGGGCACATGACGTCGCCACGCGACCGTCTCTTGCACTTTCCTTATCCCCATACCCCGATCCCTGGCTTCTCCAGTATGACCATCACACTGACCAACTATACTGGCCAAGCGCGGACTTACCTCAAAGAGCTCATTATGAAGATGGGTGCGACGTTTACCCCGGAAATGCGGCCGACAACCAATGTGTGTGTTGCGCTGGCTCTGCAAGGTGAAAAGGTGACCAAGGCACGCGAGTGGAACATTCCCATTGTGAATCACATTTGGCTGGAGACGTGCTTTGCGACGTGGACGAACCAGAACCTGGCGCAGCGTTCGTTCATTACATTCCCTGGCGCTGCTAAGTTGGCGGCCGTGGTGGGGCGTGTAGGCATTGACGAAACAAGTCTCGCGCCGTGGAAGACACCGGAGGCGGCCACCGACGATCGTTCTCCTACCCCTGCTGCGGACGAAGTGCCGCCTATCGCTTTGCCAGAGACGGATGCGCCTACGCCTACTCCGCCACCTTCGTCTCCCCCTGAGGCACAGGCTGACAAGGACGAGACGCCTCTCGACGAAGCCATGGCGCCCATCGATGAGGACGTCGGTGACACGGAGGCGCCGCCCAAACGCGCAGCGTCGCCTCCACCTAGCTCGCCCCCTGCGCCGAAACGGACCAAGCCCAGTACACCGATTTATGCCACAACGTCTGTGGATGTCTCTGATGCCGACGTGGCCGCCCTGGAGGCGCTCCATGTGCGGCGCACGGACAACATGGCCGAGGCGACGCACCTCGTCGCCAAGTCGCTTACACGCACCGAAAAGATGTTGTGTGCCATTGCGCGTGGGCTGCATATTGTGAGTGTGGCATGGCTTCAGGCGATGATCAAGCAGAATCAAGTGCTGGAGGCCGACGCGTTTGCTCTACGGGACAAGGCGAAGGAGAAGCAATGGGCCATCAAGCTGAGCGAGGTGCTCGCGAAAAGTCGCGCTCACCCTGCCAGTTTGCTGCAAGGTCACCAGTTTTTCATTACCAAGCAAGTGCAGCCCTCCCGCGAGATATTAAGCCACATTATCGAAGCGGCCGGTGGTCACGTCGTGGCGGCCACCGCGAAAACGCGCGGCACGTTGCTCACGCCCTCCACCTCGCATGTGATTGGGTGTGAGGACGATGCGAAGGTGCTTCAGGCCCTTGAGACGAGCTACCGCAAGGCGGGTCATGAAGGCGACGCACCTTGGCGCGTGTACACACCGGAGCTGATTCTCGCGGGTGTGCTTCGGCAAGACATGGATTGGTCGGACACGAATGCGCTTACGCTCTCGTCGTAACGTGCAGCATCGACTCGTTGGATGTATATCGACTGTCTGACACTATGATACCCCCACGCTTGTCGATGCAATGGATTACAATGTAATTTGAGCGGCATCGAGATTGAGCGCATGGAGCTAGGTGGTGAGTTTCATAGCTAAGTATACGTACCAGTAGATTAACGTTGCGAATCCGCACGTCTTCGTCGCCAGGCGCCGTCGAGCCAGTGCTCTTGGCCTCCTTCGCTGCCATGACATTCGACAAGATCTTCTCACGCAGCTCCTGCACAAGGACCTGTTGCTGCGCCAAGTCGGCGTGAATCGCAAAGAGGGCCATCAAGTTCCACACAGGCTCGTCTTCTACGTTGGCATCGGGGGCCGAGCTGCCAGTACGGCGGCCGGCCATGTACATATCGACGCCAAACGGCAAGTACGTCTGCACCCGTGACGAGAAGAAGAGCTGCGCCAGTTGGTGGTCGGCGGACAAACGGTTGAACAACACCCCAAATACACTGCTCCACTGCGACAGTTCGTCAGGCGTAGGTGCATCCGTGGTGCCTGGCTGGCTCGCTGCCTGCTTCAGCGACTCTGCGCGTGAGAGCAGCGCGGTGAGCAGCGAGACACCTGGGCGAGTCTTGGCACACACCAACACGTCATTGCGCTCCATAAGCAGCGCAAGCATACCACAAACAATGCGCAACGACATACTGCTCACGAGCGACATCATAATGAACAAGACAGAGTTCGAGAACGCATCAATATTGCGGCCCACCTCAGCTGCCTGGGACGGCATGAGCGTCGTGCGAACATGGCGCAGTGTCTCTGTGACCTGGAACTGCTCCCACGCGGCATAATCACGCACGGCATCCAACGACTGGAACGACGCAATGAGCATAGTAAGCATCGTCAGCGCCTGCTCTGTGTCCAGCAGACGCAGAACACGCGGCAGCATACGCTTGCCCTTCACATGGTTCAGCAGCGAGACAAAAGGATGAGGATCCGAGACGCCCAATGGCTCAAGCACACGCAATTCCTTCCACAACTTCTCCGTCAGCACCTGGGCTTCCGAGTCATCGTCACTCGGCTCGCGACGCAGCTGCTCGAGACGCAGCACCATGGAGTAGAGGTGCTCGAGAATGACCATTGATTCACGTCGCGTAAGCGCTTTTTGCGTCGCATTCTGTGGCTCGCGTGCCACGTCGCCCAGCGACGCACCTTGCAGAGCCAGTCGCATCGCATCCTCGTGATTCGTCGCATCGGGGACAGCCGCAGTGGCCTCCTCGGGCTTGTTAATCAGCTGCAGCATCTGACGCGGCTTGGTCGCAGAGCCAAGACTAACACGACCCAAGGCGCCTTCCAACGAGGCATCAGCGCCTTTCGCCTCACGCTTCTTACGGTTGTCGACCAAGCGCTCCACTTGCTGCTGCATACGTAGCATCGCATTTTCATGGCGCGTCAGCTTACGACGCGATCCTTTGCCGCCCGAGGAGCCACCCGCCTCGGCCTTTTTGTGCTGCTCAATTGCCTCCACTGAGCCATCCGGCACGGGCACTTTTCGTGCCCCGCCACGCACAGCAAAGAAAACATGCGCATAAAAGTCATCCGTATACGGATCGGGCGTCACCAAATGACTAATTTGAATGCGCGTGATAAAGTCTTTATCGGACCCTGACATCACACCATTGTAGCGGGCAATGTGCGCGAGCTTTGCTGCCTTGGCACGACGCTTGTCCTCTGCCTTTTGCCACGCCTGCAAACGAGCAGCGGCTTGCGACGTAAGCATTTGCACAGCAGCGTCGACATCGTTTGTCTCGCCACGCACAAGCGACGGGAACTGACGCACCACATCCTCCAGTGAGTCAAATTGAATAGGAGGAGGCAGCGACAATATTGTTTGCTGCACAGACGACGGGCACGCTTCCAGCATGGCACGCATACGCGCCAGGTGCTCGGCCTGTGGTGTTGGTGGTGCTGCAGGGCCACTCGGCGTAGGAACCGAGGCCGGTGAAGGGATAGGCGCTACGGTAGGAGCCGCAGGCGGCGCGGCAGGCCGCGCCATGGGGCCTGACGCCGGTCGAGGAGCCGCAGCTGGTGGTATACCACTCGGCATAGGCATAGGTGGACGAGCACCAGCTGGCATGCCGGGGGGCGGGCCAGGCGTAGGCATCGAAGCAAGACCAGGCGGTCGCTGAGGCATACCCCCCGTCGGAGGCACTGACGGCGAAGGCATGCCCATACCTGGCATCATCGGCGGTCGAGGCACAGCAGGGCTAGCTGTTGCCATGCGACGCTGTGCCAGCAACTGCGCTTCAACTTCACCGAGAGTAAGAGGTCGCGAGGCCTCTGGAGCTTTCGGCGCACTTCCAGTACGCTGGGCAGCGAGTTCTGCTTCCACATCCTTCAATGAGGTAGGCGCAGCACCACTGGGAGTTGACTTGGCAGGTGCCCGCGTCAACGCGGGAGTATCCCAGAAATCGTCCAACGATGCAGCAAACGCAGACGCATTGCGGTCACTCTTGGCAGGGGCGGCGGCGGGCGCACTATGACCGAAATCAAAGTCCTTGCCTGGATAGTTAGAGAGAACCCAGAGTATACATACCAACATCCTCTGCAAACGCACCGAAAGTGTCCTCGTTAAAGTCGTCGTTGGTCTCGACAAGCTGGTCACCCAATCCATCGTATCCATCCTGACCCCACGTGTACACTTCCACATCTTCTTGCGCGCTTGCTTCTAAAGCACGCTGAATCTTATCATTCAGAGCTCGTTCTTCGTCAGTTGCGAGAGCAGCCGCCTTATTTTCGGGCGGCAGACTCGTGTCGAACCCAAAGAACGACATGGTCTGGCGAGCAAGGCAAGACGCAAGCGGTACTGCGCTGCCACGCCGTCATCGCGTCACGTGATAGAACCGCAGGATAGACTGCTGGGGACCGAGCCTGGTCCTGTGTGCCTGATGAGACAGTACCACCGGCATAATGGATCGAACAAGGAAGGCAGCACTCGTATCGTAGTCCATAAAAGAGCAAAGAACTCCTGGCGCAGTAATCGGTTTCGTCTGCAGTACATTTTATTTGTCTGACGGCGAATGACATCCAGCTACGGGTATCGAGTCGTAATTGTTTGCCCTAGCACTCCTATAGTGTCTTCTACCATGCGCACGAATAGTACCAAATGCCCTTTGGTGCATGGGGCCTGGCCTCCCGTCTATGTGTTGGTCAAGCACACCATGGCTGTTTGTGTGGAGTCGGACATAGTATGAGTAAGCCTCCCAAAAGTCACGTTCCACGCCACTGCGCAGGGTCCAAGCGCCAACGCCTCTCTCTCACATCCATTTGCTTTGTGCTGGTAGACAGAGTAGCGATGCCGGCAAAAAGTCTGCAGACACTAGTCAAGCAGAGTGTGTATGACGATTCACAAACGTACTAACTTACGTAGGATATCTGGATGCACTGAACACAGTGCAGCCAGCCAACCGATGGAAAAACCTCATTGTGGACTCACATACCATGCAATACCTGTCGGTTGTCATACGTATGTTTGACATTCTAGAACAGAATGTGACCCATGTGGAAAACATTGAAAAGATGCGTGATCCGCAGCCGCATATCGAATCAATGTACCTATTGTGCGCTACGTCCCAAAACGTAGACCGGCTCATTAAAGAACTGGCTCCGCCCGCTGGTCAGCCACCTCAATGCGCGGCTGCCCATGTATTCTTTGTGGACGCCATTTCAGATGAGCTCGTGACAAAGCTTACGAACTCCGCTGCCGGTCCACGACTGAGGCAGCTTGTTGAACTGTTCATTAACCTATGGCCTATCGAGTCGCAGGTGTTCTCACTGAAACATCCCAGCTCGTTCTTCACGTTGTTCCAGCCTATGGATACCAAATTTGCGCCATCCATGGACGAGTCATTAGCTCTCTTGCAAGATGAGCTAGATATGGCTACACAGTCGCTACTAAACTTGTGCGTCACATTGAACGAGAACCCTAAGATTCGGTACTTGAACGTCCCCGGTAAAGTTCTAGGCCCTCTTTCTGCCGAGGCCCAGGCAGATACCATTGAAGGTACATTTGCCGCTGATGATCTTCGTAAAGGGCAGGGAGAAGGTCGGGTCCAAATTGGTATGCCGTTCACTCAACAGCTTGCTCTTCGTGTTCAAGATGCCTTAGACGAGTACTGCAAGAATGGCCAGATGCTGGGTGACCCTGGTCGGCCCCAAGGTATTCTCTTTATCACTGATCGCTCTATGGATCTGTTTTCTCCTTTCCTACACGAATTTACCTACCAAGCCATGGTATATGACTTACTCCCCATGACCGATGGCAAATACAAGCACACGTATACCAATGCCGAGGGCGAAAAGGAGGTCATTGAAGTGGAGCTTAATGAAGAAGATGAAACGTGGACCAAAATTCGTCACTTGCATATTGCTGAGGCGATTGAGTATCTCACGCGAGAGTTCCAACTGCATATGGGTGAAACGGCCCAGTTTTCTGGCACACAATCCATTGATGGCATGCGTGATATGTTGGCCTCATTGCCTCATATGCAGCAGACTAAGGAGAAGCTCTCTGTACACCTCTCCCTTGCTCAACAATGTATGAACAAGTTTGAAAAAAGTAAATTGGCGGCGCAAGCTATGGTGGAACAAAATACCGCTACCAATCAGACACCCGACGGTCACCGTCCTCGATCCCTAGTCGAGGATATGGTGCCCATATTGGACGACCCTAGTATCTCAAATGGAGATAAAGTGCGTATCATTGCCCTGTATATTTTACAGTGCGATGGTGTGCACGAAGAAGACCGTCGTCGCTTGTTCCAGCATGCTCGTCTGACCGGTGGTGAAGCTGTGACGATCAACAATTTGGCGCATCTGGGCGCACGTGTAGTGCGAGAACAATCGCAATCCAGCTTAGATGCGATTTTCCGCAAGCGAAGAAAGACATTGGCGCCCAAACTGCCGGCGGCTGGGCAGGCAGAATACGAATTGAGCCGATTCCAACCTCTGATTCGAACAATGATTGAAGATCACGCTATGGATCGCCTTGAACAATCCATGTTCCCCTATGTGCGTGATGCGCCTCCTGAGGCGCCCTTGTCAAGCCAGATTGCTTCGCGCTCAGCCTCGATCACAAGCAGTGCGACAGATATGGCCACATCTATGCTGCATTCTGCCATTCATGCTACTGGTGGAAAAGACTCGCCATTGGCTCGTGTTGGGTTTGGCTTTGACGGGTCCAGCTCGTCACGCAATCAGTCGCTGAGGACTGGTACGACGAGCTTGCGTAGTGCCAGGCCAACATGGCACCAAAAGGGCCGCTCGGAATCAGTGCCGAATCTCTCGACCACGGGTGTGGGCGCTGGTGCTACGACAGCGGGCGCGCGGACGACGTCGAGAATTTTAACGGAGAGCAGCAACCCCACGTCGCAACGAGTACTTGTATATATGGCAGGCGGTATGACGTATTCGGAGATGAGGACGGCGTACCAAGTGGGAAAACGCATCAATGCAGATGTATATCTGGGTATGTACAATGTAACTGACCACCCAGGATCTTCGCATGTTATAACACCGACCAACTTTATGGACAATCTGCGTGTGATGGGTACACCGCGGCAGCCTGTGTCTCCTGATCTGCATGTAGAAGCGCGCCGAAAGGCGCAAGAGGCAGAGCTCGAGCAGATAAAGGCGATTCAAGAAGGCAAAAAGCCGCCGAAAGGGCACATGCTGAAGAAGCCCAAGTACCCCCAGGAGTTGCCTCCGCAGCAGCGCTACGACTTGCGGTACTCAACCCCAGACACGGTATCGGCCGAGGAATCGAAACCACAGATACCTGAAAAGTCCACCATGCGTCGTATTTCAGAGAATGTGATCCATAAAACCAGGGACAATTCGGAATCGAGTCTCTCGCCGCCCTCGCTGGATCCGTTGCAGTCAGCCAATTCGACACGTCGCGGCTCCTCGATGAGCTTGAACTCAGACACATCCAAATCCTCGTCCCTTTCTCAGGGAGGTAGGCTACCTACGCGCCCCAAATGGGGTCGTGATATGTCGCGCTTCAAAGTACGTATGCCTTTGATCAGCCTCACTAACCAACAGAGCGCATTCTCCATTAAGAAGTAGTAAGCATGCCCGAACTACTTGGTTGCCTCCACCTGGTGGCCAAGGCCTTTGCTTAGTCATCGACCTACGCGCTGCGCGGTGTTGTTGATGACGATGGCTCTGTGACAGACGTTTGTATTTTCATAGAAACGACCACCATGTCTCAAAGTATGCCTATGTCAGGAGCTGCTCTTACGTCGGCAAAAGAGCGGCACTATGCATACTTGTCATCTCGATTGGATGCCCTGTCTACTACGCTGCAGCATTCGCAACATTATTTGACGATAGCCAGTGAACAGGCCGCGTACATGAAAGATCTCGGCGTAGGCCAAGCTGCCATGTATGTATTATCGTTACTCACAGCAGCTTTATGGCTGCCTTAGATCAGGTGGACCGTGAGAATGAGCAGTCGTCGTCGTCTACGAAATAAAATGGATCTACACCAGAGGTGGAATGGCATCATACCCCGCATCTTTCCAAGCCGCTTCCACAGCCCTACGAATACGGCGTAAACCCTCTTCCATGTCCTCTTCCCCAATCAAACTGAAGCTCACACGCATGTATGGGGTACTGCGTTGGTCTGAGAAGAACGAGTTCCCCGGCACAGCCAATACGTTTTCCTCGACGGCCTTGGTCTTAATCACTTCAAAGGAGTCACCTTCCGGTGCTTCCGGTGTGGGTGGCAGATGAAGTTTAATCCAGAAAAACATACCGGCCACAGGGGTATTCCAGCTAGCGACGGCAGGCTGACCATCAGTGCCGCGGCCCAAGATGGCGTCCAATTTGCTGCCAAACACATCACGACGATGCTCATACATCTTCGATACGGCATCCACATGGTGCAAAAAGCCTGACACGCCCCAGTGCTTCAAAAGCAATCCAGCGAGCGCTTGGATCGGGGCTGATGTATGCAAGTTGGATGTGGCCGTGTACACAGCAATGGCCTGGATCAACGGCGTGGGGCCCACAGCGAAACCAAGACGCATGCCAGCCGACATGATCTTCGAAAAGCTCTCGAAGCGAAGTACATATCCATAGCCCCATTTGTCGGCCTCTTCGTTTTCAAGAGCAAAATAACTAGGGATGCGGGGACGCGTCACTGGGTCCTCTCCAAGACCTTCAAAAGCAATGTAGTAATACGGATCATCTTCCAGAATCAACAGGTTGTATTCGCGAGCCAACTTCAGGATAGCACGTTTGCGGTCCGCAGAGGCCGTGGTACCTGATGGATTACCACCACAAGGCACCGTATACACGGCTTTAGGGAAAGGAAGGTCAGCCGTAGCTGGCGTGGTCTTCCAGTTTGCCAAGGTATCTTCGAGTGTCTTGTCCGAAATACCCTCGCTGTCCTGTTCAATGTTCACGGTGCGGACACCACGCGATGCAAAGTCGGGCAACAGACCAGGGTACATGGGCGATTCCACGAGGACTACATCGCCCTCATCAAAGAGAGCAAAACTAGCCTTAGCCAGCAAATCTTGTGAGCCTGTGCCAATTGCCATGCTGAATTCACCAGCAGGCGTTCCATCGCCGCGTGTGCGATGATGCACAGCAGACAGGATCGCATCAATGGTCTCATGGAACACTGGCTCGCCTGTCGTAATGCTGTATTGAAGCACTCGCTCTAGATCGTCGCCATCAATCTTGAGCTCAATAGGTTCATTCGTAGCGGGATCAGTCGACATCACAGCGCTTGGCTTCAGTTTCACTGTCATGGATTCAAAGGGGAAGCCGTTGGGATTCGGCTTGCCTGCCAAGAACGAAATCATTCCAGGACGACTCTCCAACTCCAGGAGTGAGCGAATGGCCGGCTTGGGTCGACGCTGCGTCGCCTGAGAGATAATCCTTCCGTAATCTAAAGGCATGGTTGGAGGCGTGAAAGAAGCCAAGACTGATGGATGGCTTGTGCTTTGCGCCCTATCTATGACTAGGGCGTCAGTCCATCTTGGAAGACACCACGTGGGCATCACGTGGGAGCCTGTCGTCTGTCTTCCTCGGTCCATCGCGTAGGGAGCGTCGTCGGCTGCCGCGTACTAGCACAATGGTATGTAATGTGGTGCATCTGACATGATTAGCCACCGGTAAAGATTAAGGGTGGCCGCATGATGAACCTAATCGACTACCGTCTGCGGGTCACGCTCAATGACGGTCGTCAGATGACGGGTCAACTGCTTGCGTTTGATACCCACATGAACCTTGTCCTTGCGGATAGTACGTATATTTTGCCCTGACATGCACTAACCTCTAAGCTGAAGAGTTCCGTCGTATCAAGTCGAAAAAGAAGAAGGCATCCAAGCCCAATAAGAAACAAAAAGTGTCGCACGGCGATACCGCTGAAGGCGCACGCGTCGAAGATGCGGACGACGACGAGGACGACGAGGACGAGGTGCCACCGCCTGTGCAAGAGCAGAAGCGGACATTGGGATTGGTGATTCTCCGTGGTGAAAATGTTATAAGCATCAGTGTCGAGGCCCCGCCGCCAGAGTCGAAGCGAGATGCTGCTTCGGTATGTACCAATGATCGACTTACATCCCTAGCTTGCGCCAGGTCCTGGTCGCGGGATTCCTGCCGGTCGCGGCGCTGCTATGGGCGCGATGCCTATGGGTCGCCCGCCATTTGGTCCCCCACCCGGTATGCCCAGCGGGCCCCCGCCGGGCTTTGGTGGCCGTCCACCGATGGGTCCGCCGCCTGGCTTTGGCGGTCCACCACCCGGCTTCCGTCCCCCAGGTGCTGCGTAATAGATAGTAAGCAGATTGCTTTGTAGGCCTAGATATGATAGCGTAGATCGCTTCTACTTGTCTTTCATGTTACTCGAGTACGGGGCCCATACCAATGCGGCCCAGCATCATATTAGCGAACCACAGCGAGCCAGGTGTCTTGTGGATAACAGAAATGGTAGGCACAGGTTCTGAGAGGTGTGACTCATCGTCCAGCGTTTCTTGGGAGCTGGTGCCCTGGGATGAGCCAACTTCATTGGCAGAGCCCTGTACCGATGCCACATCCGTTTTGAAGCGGCCAGTGTAATCTTTGCCCAGATCGCGGCGGCTAAAGGTAAGTCGACAGCAGTAACGTACTCAACAACACAAAATCCACGCGTAAGTTGCCCTTCCGTCTCGATGAGAAACTGACGCGGATTAGCGCCCCACCTTTCGGTATCGCTTCCAAAGATCGCATGAGCGACAGCCAAGGGATCATGGGCTTCGAACAAGTCGTACTTGGATGGGTCAAATGGTTTGTCATGAGGTGCGTGCGAATTGGTCACGGCGCGGGGCTTGCGCAGGAAAAGAGAGATGAGACGAACGAGGTAGCTCTTTTGATACAAGGAATGTGTTTCATCAAGGACCAGCTTGGAGTATGGCACAGTGTGCACAGTGGTAGTATCAAGAGGGAAGAGATGAATGGGAAGAGGGGTACCTTGGTAGTACGAGTCGACCAACAATACTTTCGCAGCCCATGGATCGGCGAAGAAGTTAAACTCGGCTGTGGGCGACGTGTTGCCAGGCACATCAATGGCACCGCCCATGATGCTAATCATTCCAACGCGGCGGAACGTGACTGGGTCTTTTTGGTAGGCCAGCGCAAGGTTGGTCAGTGGGGCCACAGCGGCAATGCGGACCGTGTGAGGCTCGTGCTTCCGAAGAATGTCCAAGATCAAGTCAGCCGCAGAAAGCGGGCTAGGACTAGTATGGAACAGTTTCGATGTCTTTGACTCTGGATACGGATCGCCTTCCATGAAAGAAACACCTGACATGCCATCGCGGCCATGGAAATAGCTCGCGGTGAACAAGCGGCCGCCTAGTGGCTTGGATGCACCGAGACCCACAGGAATCGGTCGCCCATTCATGCCGTTCTTGATTCGATCCACCAGTACGGGGTTCTCAATCGCATTATCATAGCATGCTACATCAAGTGCATGCGCCAGACGAAGGACGTTGCTGTGGGCATAATCCAACGTGGTGTTACCAAAATTGAGGGTGACGGCTTCAATCGATACTTCCGGCGAGCCCAAGGCCTAGGCAAGTTAGTACTTCGACATATACGTACAAGAAGAATGGCGAGCAAATCGTCGACACCGGGATCGGTACTGCCATGGCATGAGTTTCTCTGTCGCTACGTACTCAATAATCAAAGGAATGGGAGGCGACATGGTAGTGGAGAAGATGCAGGACAAAGATACACGTGTTATATTGTGGACCTACGAAGGGAGGCGTGTCCTTGGAACCTCTACAATGTGGGGTACAGATCCACACGGCGTTGCTGCCACAAGGGCATATCGGTACGAATCTTGTACAGCGAGTCCATATTCTGTGTCAAACTAACGTAGACGTACCAAATCAGCGAGGCAAAAAGACGCAGAGAACGGCGGCATGTCGCTGGATGTCAGATAGCCAGCGTGTACGTACCTGCACTGCGCAACAATCGAGCCCCAAGGATCCACAATCATCGCATGACCCCAGCTGGGTGTGAGAAGGTGAGTACGTACGAAGAGCGAGTAGTGCCTGGATGCAATCCAACTTGCGCCGCGGCAATCACGTAGCACTGTGTATCGATAGCGCGCGCTTGAAGCAGCGGCGCCCAATGGGCCGCACCTGTTCGGACCGCAAACGCGGATGGGTATGCCAAGATCTCGGCGCCTTGACGGCGAAGTGATAAGGATACTTCGGGAAATCGCATGTCATAGCAGGTGAGAAGCTGCAAGGTAAGTCCAGCTGTCACGTACGCCCAGCTTGCCGAATGACGTAGAGACGGGGGCCTTTAGAGATTCGCCGGGGATAGTCGTATTGCTCTCCAGGATCGTTGGACCGTTCTGGATATCCACATCGTACAAGTGAAGTTTGCGGTATCGCTCACAGATGACGCCTTGTTGGTTGATCAGCAGATGGGTATTGTAGCACCGAGTAGGCTCTTCCTCCGGCTGTGGCGACTCGTGCACACCGACACTAATCCAAACGTCTTGCTCCTTTGCAACGTCGCATAGCCCATGCACAAAGGCTGCATTGTCATCTGAACGCGTGAGCGTAGCTACGTCGCTGGGCGGTGCGAGAAAGTCGGCGGCTACGTCGTGAGTCATGGCAGCGCATACCTTCCGGAAGAAACACGGCTCGAGCACCACTCGCTACTGCCTCACGAACGAGACGCTGGGCCGTAGCCAGGTTCTCGCGGATCACGCCGCCGCTGGTCATCTGCGTCACGGCCACGCGCATGGTCTGTGTGTGGAGAAAGAGTACGTACGAGTGGAGTGGCAAACGTCATTGCAAGGAAATACTTGTCTCTCATTACGTGCTAGCTACAACTTTGAATGGGACTCCCTTCCTGCACATGAATGCGGTCATAAAACATGGATGGTATATGCGCAAACCGCTGCTCATGCCGAAACAACGAAGGAATAAAAAACATGGTCCACGTAGACCTAATCATACATCAGTCAATCACAGACATCATATTATCAGCAGTGTACCCGCACGCGGAAATAGGGGTAGACAAGAGCGTCAAGGGCTCAGAATCATGGACGCTGACACACATTTTTACCACCACGACTGGCCGCTACCGCTGTGGTCCGGCGCAGGCGGGCCATTGTAGAAGCCACCGCCGCCGTAGCCACCGCCGTAGCCGCCGCTGCGGGGACCAAAGCCGCTGCTGCTGCCGCCCATACCCGAGCGAACATCGCGCGAGCCGATGTTGCCGCCCATGCGGCCACCACCCATGCGGCCACCGCCCATACGGCCACCACGGCCACCACGGCTGCTACCGCCAAAGGCACTCTCTGATGCAATCATCTCGAGCCACTGCGGCACCTCCTGGTGAGCTTCCTGCAACAGCTTGATCAGGTCACGCACAATGTTGCGGTTGTTGCGGTTGAAGAACGCCGTAGCGTGACCGACGTTACCCGCACGACCGGTACGACCGATACGGTGGACATAGTCATCAATATCAGACGGCAGGTCGTAGTTGACCACATGCGTCACATTCGGGATATCCAGACCACGCGCGGCCACCGCCGTAGCCACCAGAATCGGGGTGCGGCCAGTACGGAACAGCTCCAGCGCATACTCACGCTCGCGCTGCGTACGGTCACCGTGGATAGATGTGGCCGCAATGTTTTGGTAGATTAAAAAGTCGGAGAGCATGTCGGCCATACGCTTCGTTTCGACGAAAATCAGCGTGAGGCCGCCCTTGGGCATCGCAGCCAGCACGTCCAGAAGCACAGACTGCTTATCCCGGTCCTCGACAAACTCAATCTTCTGTGTGATGTTTTCAGAGGTCGAGCCGACACGGCCCACCGACAGGAACACATACTCCTTCAAAAAGTCCTTCGCCAGCATTTGGATGTTCTGAGGGAACGTAGCAGAGAACATGAGCGTCTGGCGATCCATCACGCCCGGCATATCCTCACCCAGCACAATGCGGCGGATCTGCGGCTCGAAACCCATATCAAGCATACGGTCAGCCTCGTCAAGCACAAGGAAACGGACGTTGGCCAAGCTGATACGGCCACGCTCAATCAAGTCCACAAGACGACCAGGCGTCGCGGAGAGCAGATCACAGCCGCGCTCAATCTGACGCAGCTGCGCGCCCATCTCGGCACCACCGTACACGACAGCGGGGCGCACCCACGAGCGATATGTGAACTTGCGAGCCTCGTCATGGATCTGCGACACAAGCTCACGTGTCGGTGCAAGAATCAGCACCGAAGGGTAGGCCTTTTGGCGGCCATACGTCGGCGGTTGCGGTGGCATGGGAGGTGGGCCATGCGTGAACAGCGCCGAAAGAATAGGGAACAGGAAACCACCCGTCTTACCCGAACCGGTCTGGGCACAACCCATCAGATCACGGCCTGCAGCGACGATGGGGATCGAGTACTTCTGCACGGGGGTCGGCGTCGTGTAGCGCGCGAGCGTAATGTTAGCAATCAGATGCTCATCGACCGGCGGGTGAGTGAACTCTGTAATCGGCTCCGGCACATCATGGCCAGTAGCTTCCACGGGAATATCGCCGTACTTGTCAAAGTTAATACCAGTGCTTTGGTGGATACCGTCGTTGGCCTCACCGAATAGCTCGCGCTCCTGGCGCTCGTTGCGCGGACCAATAATGTGTTTACCGTCTTTCCACATGCCAAAGCCATCGTTGCGGCGGGCACCACCACGGTCGCCCCAGCCACCGCCAGTCTCGCGGAGGCCACTCCAGCGGCCACCACCGGCAGCACCGGCACCCACGCCAGCGCTCGGAGCGTCGCTACCGCCGTAGCCACGACGGCCACTGCTGAAGGCAGGCGGTAGCGTCGAAGGACCGCGGCCACCGCCCGAACGAGGCGGGGCGACACCCTCAGGTTGGTTACGGAGGTGCGGCGGCACGTAGCGCTTCTTCGGCGCAGCAGAAGCGGTCGAGTCCGACGAGGAAGTGTTGCCGGTGGTCGTAGGCGTCGACGAGCTCTTCACGCTCATGTTGGAGAGCGAAGACTCGAGCCCTGTAGACCCTACACCATTGGGTTGCGTATCATTAGACATGTTGCTGGTTAAAGTTTCTAGGAGAGAGCTTCTTCGCCTTCTGCCGCTTTTCGCGGGTGAAAAGAAAATTTTCTTACGAAAAGACAGGTGCCAGAACTGGCATCACGGCATTTTCACGCAAAAATACACCTACAGCAAAATATCTAGCCAACCAAATATGAGTGCTTGGGATTCTCGGCTTATTACCAACCCAATCATGAAAGGGATATGCAAATAGCGCGTCGCGCATCTCATCTCGTCCGCGTCAGTCTTCACACCCTCAGGAGCCCTGAGCGACGCGAGCCAGCGTAGACATACATCAATACTATTGCCGAATATCTATACAAAATATATATACCAGAGTCAAATAGGAGAGTATTTGTACTAGAAAAAAAATTCAACAGCACAGTTACATCGCAAGGTTCACATCATACTCAGTTCCACTCTCGCCAAGGTCCGCCACAGGACTGTCCATGCCAACGTGATCACGCGAGGGTGGAGCAACACCAGAGTTGCGAACCATGGAAGGAGCTGAGGAACGAGAGGACAGCACAGGGTTCGTTGCAGGTAGCAATGTGGTATCAGAGCTGGCACGTCGCAACGGATCACCAACGACATCAATCGCCGAGGGCGGGCCGGACGCTGCGGATACGCCAGGCAACGGAGGCGGGGGCTTGTTCAGGCCAAATCGCTCCGCCAGGGTCGATGCAAGCGTCGAGCTAGACGAAGGCAACGACTCCGTCGAAGAGCTACCCGCCCACATCGGCCCAGGACCACGCAGTTGGCGCTGCCGCTCCCGTGCCGCTTCAAGATCCGCCAGAGGATCGGGCGTAGGAGAACTGCCATACTTCGCCGGCTCTACCACCATGGGCGCCGCTGGTTCCGTAGACACGGGCGTTTCCCATCCCGAAAAAGGCGCAGGACCTGTTGCAGGGGTAGGCTGTGGGTTTGGCGTCACATGATTCATGGCAATGTTATGCCATGCACGGTAGGCTGGCAGCGAAGGGTGATCGTCGGACATTTCCACTTTGGTGCGGCAAGGAAGACGAAGAGAGCTCCAACGTGAAGACAGTAGATCCATGGGCATGTGCAAGTCACGAAGCTCCAACAAATCATTCCTATCCAGACGTTGGTGGACAGGCAAAGCCTTGCGGTCGTATTCCACAGGACTATGCGTTCGTCGCTCTTCCGGTGGCTTAGTGCAAAATCGAACGGACCGTTTTTTGCGTTCGCGTGAGCGTCCACGGTGCACATCAGGCCCACCCGCGTCACACAGCGCAGACTTGAGTGGCTTTCGAGAGAGAGCTGATAAAGACGAGCGACGTTTGGGCGGTATGATCGTAGCAGCCAAGTCAGATTGTTGTGCGTCGCTCATCGTCTGATCAGAAGAACTCTCCGCACCAGCTCGGTCAGGCGACGTTTCTTCTGTGACATCACTAGGCTGAATGCACACGCACAAAGGGGACGGCACAGCAGGCTGTGTATCCAAAGCTGTGACTGGAGGCTGCGGCGGAGGTGGCTCCACAATCTCACCGTCCCAATCATGTGGTGCTGGTGTAGGCACAGGGGATGACGTGCGTGAAGAATCCTCACCATCTAGCAGTAATTCAAACACACGCCCTTTTCGTGGCTTCGATGCAGGTGGTCCGGGGGAGACAGGACGCTGTGATATGGCGTACGAAGGTGTCCAGCGCACGGACGTTGCATGAGTAGGATGGGCTTCGTCCTGCAATACAAGTGAATCCATCAAATCAGTGTCAAGATCATCTTCTGCAGTTTCTGTCACTACGCTAAGCTCTGGCTCGTGTTCATCTTCGGTATCAGCCAACTCGCCTCGACGATACGAGGCAGAGCTCATGACGCTCGACATACTGCTAGGACTGCCGGGTGGGGAGTCTGTGCATCCAGGACTGTATCCAAACTTCGGGGTCGTAGCGTCAGTGGCCACAGACGATGTGGCAGAGTGAGGGGAGATGGTGTGTGGATGAGTGTGGGTAAACGATGATTCATAGGGTGAGTTTAAAGAGGATTTGGCGGTAGAGGGATTGACAGGCGTGTAGTCTAGAGGCACGGATTTTGCTGGGCTGTATCTAAACGAAGATCCCAAGGCTGAATCCGGCGGCTCATCCAAGGAAGATAGATTCCCAGACATTTCCTCTGTATTAGATAAAACCATATAGAATGTAGATATGAGGGAAGAAAAAGTGATGTACAAAGAAGAAGCAATGAGACTGAAGTAGGCAGCTACAGTTGGTTCATGCTCTCCTCAAGAAGAATAGAAAACTGCAGTGTTGACTCTCTCTGTAAGAGTCTTTTTTTTCGTGTACAGAGAGACGGTGCCTTACTGATAAAGGCGTATGATCAACACGTTGGTAGGGTGTATTGCTGAGTCCGAATGGAAGGTGGGAAGGATGCTCAGTAGAACCGCCGAAGAAATCCAGGTTAGGTTGTTGGCTCGGGCACCATGCGTGTTGGCACGTCACTGGATACAACAGGGGACAAAAGTACGCACAACGTCAGGCTCTAAATCGAGGCGCCTCCTCCAAGGGCCAATATACGACAAGCCAGACCTGCGGGGTGCAGCCCCACACACGCCACTCTGTATCATTGGCCTGGTGTATGCACATGATCTACCCAATGACCATAATTCTCTCGACCGCTCTCGACCACACTAAAACTGTACAATAGTCACGTGGTATATCACATGACATGGCCCAGCGCTCCCAAGACAACGTAGGGCCCACCGTGAGACTCTTCTTCACGTCGACTGCGACTGAATTCACAATGGCGGAATCGAGCAAGGCGATGTACGTATCATCACGAAAAAGACGAATAGCATACTAACATGCGCAGCAACCCCATGAGGGTACGTATTTGACGTCGGCGTTGAGAAAAGGGCGGTGAGCCAGGCATGATGTTAGGTCGGCATGTTGAGAAATACAACTTGAATACTCTATGTGCCGTGCGATGCATAGTAGTAGGAACGTATGTTCTGTTTTTGTCGCGTAAGGCCCTTTCAGCATGTTTGACAAGCCGTACTCTTTTAATGCCGTTTTGACGAGAAGAAGGGAATACTAACAGAAACAGGAGCTTAAGGTTGACAAGCTCGTCATCAACATCTCGGTCGGTGAGTCGGGTGACCGTCTCACTCGTGCCACCAAGGTGCTTGAGCAGCTTACCGGTCAGACCCCGGTGACTAGCAAGGCTCGCTACACTCTCCGTGGTTTCGGTATCCGTCGTAACGAGAAGATCGCCTGCCACGTCACTATCCGTGGCCCGAAGGCTGAGGAGATTCTCGAGCGTGGCCTGAAGGTCAAGGAGTACGAGCTCCGCAAGCGCAACTTCTCGGAGACCGGCAACTTCGGTTTCGGTATCACCGAGCACATTGACCTGGGTATCAAGTACGACCCTGGTATCGGTATTTTCGGTATGGACTTCTTCGTCTGCATGACTCGTCCGGGTGCCCGTGTTGCCCGCCGCAAGAGCCGTCAGTCGCGTGTCGGTGCCCCCCACCGTGTCAGGAAGGAGGAGACCGCTGCGTGGTTCAAGCAGCGCTTCGACGGTATCATCCTCAAGTAAACTAAAAGACATAAGCGCTAAGCGCGTGCATATGATGCGATGATGCGTGTTCTCCATACCTATTCCGGCTTCGTTTGCCATAGTGCTTTGCGTACGTACCCAGGCGCCCTTGGCGCCGTTGCCCAAAAATTCTATGTCATATGACGGACTGTGTGATGAGTGTCTGTATAGCTAGCTGGCCTAGGCAAGCTGCGTCTAGGAACAAGTTGAGTGTGACACACACGTTTGCTTATACGGTGATCGTGCTATGTACCTAGTCTGATAGGTGGGCCAGTGGCCTGCCCTGCCCGCACAGCCCTTCGACCTAGGGAAGAAGGGCACATCAGGCGCGGGGCGCACAGCGTGCCAGTCCACCCACCCATGTGGCGACCCGGCCGAGACGCGACGGCCAACGCTGCAGGTCCGCTGGCGTGGTGCGGAGTAGCAGCGTCGTGCACGTACGCCCACGACGGCTATTGCTCTTTATCATCGCGCTCCATGATCCGAGGGCTCGAAGGGTTTTTGCACGATACGCAGTTGCTTCGGGAGGAGTCCCTGAGTGTGCTGAAGAATACGCGACTGGGCATTGACTTGTCCTACTACCTACGTGAGGTCCTGTCGCATGCCTCAACCGCGGAGCCGCTGGTCGCCGCGATCGGTGGGCAGCCGTTAGCGTTGCTCTCGCATATCGAGAATGATATGCATGTGCTGGAGCAGCACCGGATCAAACCGGTGTTTGTCTTGAATGGCTTGTCGCCGGCGAAGCGAACTCGCCCGTTTAGCTACGAAGACCGTCGACCGGGTCTGCGCAAACGTGCGTGGGAAGCGTACGAAGCGGGCAACGTTACGCTGGCGCACCAGCAGTTCACGGCAAGTAATAGAGTGCACTTCCCTGACTTGTACCGTGCGGTGTTGCGTATGTTCCGTCACCGGCACATCGACTATATGATTGCGCCGTACCAGGCGACGGGGCAGTTGGTGCTGCTGGAGCAGCATGCGAAGCAGTATGTGCATGCGATGTATGGCCCCATGGAACTGCTGGCCTTCGATGGCGTGGACAATGTGATCCAGCACATCGACTTCAAGAGCGGCAAGTTTACGTTTGTGTCGAAGCTCTCGATTCTGCGTGAGCTTCAATGCCATGAGGCCGAATTTCTCGATGCGGTGCTCCTGGCTGGTATGGAGTACTGTACGACATTCCCTGCGCTGCAGGATGAGTCGATCGGTCTTCTGCCTGGTGGTGGGGGCCCGCCCAACCTGCGTGCCATTGTTATGCTGGTGAAACAGTACCGCAGCGGTTTCGCGCTGTGCACGCAGTTTGCTGAGCACCCTGCCGTCGTAAAGAGCTCGTACTTGGACCAGTTCTGCCATGCACGTACCATGATCAAGTTTAGTTTGGTGCTGAGCAGCGAGGGCGGTGTTGTCGTGCCATTGCCGCTAGCGCTGTATGAAAAGGGCCCGAAGCCGGAGATTCCCAGCGACTTGCACGAAATCTTTTCGTTCCGCCTGCCTGACCAGGCGTTGCTGTACCTGTCGCGGGGCCTGATGAGCTCCAGTGTGCTGGGCAGTCTGCTGAGTGGCTACGTGATTGAGCCGGCTCCCCTCGACAATGGCGAGGCGTTGGAGTACCGTGGGTTTGTGCGCAACTACCTTACGGAGACGGCGACCAGCCCGCGGTGCATGGCCGTGGCCTTGGCGTGTGCATCGCTCCATCCGTTCTGGCGCCAGCGCAAGGTCTCGGCTGTGTACTGGTTCCAGCCGATGCTGGATTGCCCGCTGCCACACGAGGCGCCTGAAGCACAGCAGCTCTTGGCACGTATCGACAAATGGCACGTATCGGCGTCGGTGCTGGAGGAAGAGCTGCGTCGCCAGTCGTCGTCCACCATCGATATGCTCCTGTGCCTCAATACCACAGCAGAGGCAAGCCGCGTAGCAAGTACGTTTGCCTCACCAGATGCACCTGTGCGTCTTGAAAAGAAGGATGAAATTGTGGCGAATACGTTGTGGCGGCTGTTGGAAGTACGCTCGTTCCTCACCGCCGAGCATGTTCACACGCCGTACGGTCGGGCGCTGCATGTCGCACTGCAGCATGTGCGCATCAACGACCGGCTGCAAGAGCCGCTGTACCTGGCCGTGGAGCTCTTGCGCGCAGGTGTCCTCCATGCGGAGCTGTACAGCGAGACGAGTTACAGCGGCGGGCCATCGCTGGGGACGGAGAAAGAGATGCAGCATACGCTGCTGGTCATGCGGGCGCTAAGCCTGCTCCCGATGACGTTCAAGGCGCAGGCTTGGGACGCGCCGCTCTCGCGCGAGCTATTGGTTTTCAACTCGTTTGCAAAGGCGCTCTCGCGTTCGCTACGGTCTCTCACAGAAATGGTCACGCTGTCCCTGCTGCTGCGTGGCGAGTCGCGTCAGCAGCGTGAGGATTACTTGGACATTAGCCTGAGCTTGCCGTTCCAGGCAGATACCAATACGGGCATGGGGATTCTGATCAAGTGCTACTTGGATGCGCTGTATACGCTCCATGGGGGTGCCTTGCAGTCGGGCGAGGAGACCTCGGACGAGGTCCTGGAAGCCAAGTCTACGGTGGTCGACATGCTAGTCGAGACGTTTGACAATGTGCGCGATGTCACACATGAGCTGCATCGGGCGAGTCGGTTCTGGACAGCGCTCATGACCGCGGTCGAAGTGCTGCACGAAGAAAAGGCGCTGGAGGAGAGCCTTGTGCAGACATTCCGTGAGACGGATGCGCAGCTGCAGCCCTGCTGGCTCCGCACGACAGCCCTGTGAAGGGTCCATATGTACATATGTGAATATACAACAACTCTACAGAAAAGTACTCTGTGCGAACCATGGATGCAGCTGCGCTTGCAACAACGTCAGACGTGTCGTCGGATCCTTGTCCAGCAGGCGGTCCAGCAAATGCATCGCAGCGCGTGCATCTACCCCGACGTCTGCCAACGGCGCTGTCGTAGGCGGCACAGAGGCCATAGCAGGACTGCGCGGCAAGGCAGCGACGGGCTTGGCCTCGTCGATGTCCTCCAAGGATTCGCTGGCCTCAGGCTCATGCCGTGGAGGCCATCGAGGCGCACGGCCGGCCACAGGCACAACCTCGCGGCCCATCGTCATCGGCAAGGTATAATCGTCGTGCATAATGACTTCCAGCAGTAAGAATTCCGTCTCAGCCCAGAAGGGGGGCACGCCAAACAGGAGGCAGTACATCGTCACGCCGAGCGCCCACACGTCAATAGCCTTCGTAATAGACGGGCCCTCTGAAGGACCACGGCACAGCTCCGGCGCAAAGAAGGCTGGCGTGCCGGCCGTGCGGCCCAGCATGGGATCACTCGCGCTTGACAAGTCGTCCGCGGAGCCAGCGCCATGGCGAACGTAGGCACACCCAAAGTCGGAGATTTTGGCGACGCGGTCCTTGGTCCACAAAATGTTCCCAGGCTTGATATCGCGATGAATTACGCCTTGAGCGTGCAAGTGTACCAGGCCTTGGATGACATCGCGCAAAATCCCGCGCGCTTCCGACGTTGTGAGGGCAGGTTGGTGATCGCGTGTGGACCACGGAATATCGCCGCCGTCCATGTACTCACAAATCAAAAAGAGCTTTCGGCACCGCTTATCGTCAATGACATCATAGAGCTGCACGACGTTGGGATGGTGGCATCGCGCCATGGAGCGAATCTCGCGCTTCACACGCTCGTCGGTTTTCCGGGGCCGCGTATGCACGCCTAGGCGTTTGGGCGCTTCGCGAGGAACGATTTTGATCGCTACAAGGCGTCCTGTATGCACATGATGTGCCAGCTTGACTGTCCCATACGCACCACGTCCAAGCTCGTCGTCTCTGGGCTGTGTAAGAAGACGCGCGCTTTTGTACGTACACGACATAGTCGTTAATCATGCGGTGCCCTGTCTCCAAGTCCTTTTGCACATCCAGCGTCGACGTGACCTTCATAGATCTTCGTGCTAGCACGGTCGTCGTCGTCACCGCCGCTGTAGCTGCTGCCGCTGCGGGTGCTTCCGTCGCTGCACTCGACCTTCGCGCAACAGCGGCGGGCGGCAGTGCGAGCGCAAGCCCTTGCATGTTGATGGAGGTGTGTATACTATGAAAAGCTGGTCAGATGCCACCACAGCGATCGACGTGGTGCCTGGCGCCACGTGGGTGACCCCACACGGTAAACGTCAAAAAGCCGGTGTCGGTCCAGCGCGGGGGGCTTGCCGAGCTACGGAATGGCTCTTCCTGCGCTACTTCGCTCAACGGCTCTCCGCACATCACAGCGCTCTTTTAGTACGACAAGTGCCAAACGCATCATGCCGTCTATGCTTACACGCACGGTCCCGACGACCTTCCAACTGCAGTCGTCGCTTCCCCGGTTGCCGGTACCCAAGCTGGAGGACAGTCTCGCTCGCTACCTCAAGAGCTTGGAGCCGTTCCTGCGTCAGAAGGAGGAACTGGGCGAGCTCCCGGCGGGTGCCACCGCCGAGAGTGAGCTTGCTCAACGTCGCGCCTGGGCCGATGAGCTGATCTCCAGTGGCCTCGGTCAGCGCCTGAATGAGCGTCTGATCGACGTCGATCAGACCACCGAAGACAACTGGTTCGACGACCGATTCTGGCTCGAGAAGGCGTACCATGAATGGCGCGCCCCCTTGCTCGTCAACAGCAACTGGTGGAACATGTTTGTGGCCGATCCCTCGATGCCCGCTGAGCTGAGCGAGCGTGTGGATGCGCCGGCGTACACGGAGGAGGCTGTACGTGTGCAGAACTGGGACAAGGCCGAGTGGGCCGTGCGACGCGCTACGTGGATCCTGTACCGTGCGGCGCTCTTCAAGATCGCGATTGATCGCGAGACGATCAAGCCGGATGTCGCGCGTATTGGTGCGTTCTGTATGCACCAGTACAGTCGCATGTTTGGTGTGACGCGTATTCCCTCGCGCCCGCATGACTACAACACGGCGACGTCGATTACGGCGGGCTCGCGTCATGTTACTGTGATTGTGCGTGACAACTACTATGAGCTGCCAGTGATCAACGAGCAGGGTGAAGTGTACCCGCTTGACTCGCTGGAGAAGGCCATCTGGGCGATCGTCGAGGATGCGAAGAAGCAAGACGGTGCTGGTGTGGGTGTGATGACCTGCAACGACCGTGATGCGTGGACGCTGGCGCGTGAGCACTTGCTTTCGCTCGGCGCGACAAACCGCAAGAGTTTGCAGTCGATCCAGAAGAGCATGTTTGTGCTCTCGATCGACTCGAACACGATCGGCAACCCGGTCGGTACCAACCCGCCGTCGGGCTCGGAGCCTGAGTATGCGGGTGCGATGGCGATCAGTGCCTCGGGTGGTGGTCGTTGGGGCCACAACCGCTGGTTCGACAAGGCGATTTCGTTCACGGTGGAGTCCACGGGCCGTGCTGGTCTCATGGGAGAGCACTCGCCGGTCGATGCCCTGATTCCCTCGATGCTGGCAGAGCGTGTGCTGGCCGACTGGATGCCGCCGCCCAGTGAGCCGATGCCGGAGAAAGCGGAGGGCGTGTCGCTCCTGGACGAGGCTCCAGCGTGGAGCAAGCTGGAGTGGGTGCTGGATGACAAGGTCCACGCCGACATTCAGGCGGCCGAGACGACGGCCAAGACCATCACTGCCGACGCCGACATTGGCATGCTGTGGTTCAGTGAATACGGCACCGACTGGATCAAGAAGGTCGGCAAGCAGTCGCCGGATGCGTACATCCAGATGGCGCTGCAGATCGCCTACGCGGATGTGCACGGCCGCCAAACAGCGACGTACGAGACTGCCAGCACGCGTCTGTTCCGTCACGGCCGCACGGATGTGATTCGCTCGTTCAGCAACGAGGCGTACGACCTGGTGAAGGGTGTGCGTGAGAACAAGTCGCACGAGGAGCTCTACAAGCTGCTGACAGCGGCCACGGTGGCGCACACGCGGCAGACGCGCGACCACTCGTTCGGCAAGGGCTTTGACCGTCACCTGATGGGTCTGCGCCTTGCGTACCGTGCGGAGGACGATGGTGAGGCGCCCAAGCTGTTCACGGATCCGCTGCTGACAGAGTCGGCATCGTGGAAGCTGAGCACGAGTGGTCTGAGCGCTGGTGAGCGGTTTGTTGGTACGGGCTTTGGCTCGGGCTTCCCGGACGGTTTCGGAACGAACTACTTGACGGGCAGCAAGACGCTCAAGTTCGGTATGGAGTCGAAGCGTTCGAATCCGTTTGGCAATGGCCATCCTCTGCACATGTACAAGCAGAGCATCATCAAGGCTCTGCGGCTCATGCGTGAGATTATCGAGAAGGGCGCGCCACCGGCGGAGGCCAAGCTCTAAGTAGGTGTGTGGACGAGATGTAGGACTACCGTAGATGAACCAACTGGTTGCGCTGATCGACTATGGCAGCACGGTCGCGACGATGCGACGTGCATGCTTCTGGCGCCGGAATTCACATAGGTACTGCGTGTAAGTGGCGAGACAACGTACCACGCCTTGCCATGTGCCGAGGTTCAGGCGGCCGTTCGTGATGGGAATCGTCACCGAGGGACCGATGAGCGACGACTTGGTATGCGACACAGAGTCGTCGGGACCCTCGTCCGTGTGCTGCCACGGGAGCGATTCTGGGACAATGCGATCGAGCGCCTGCGTATGTCAGGAAGGGCAAATGAGCGCGTCAACAGTCG